TTGATTTTTGATTCTCTACAACTTTTCCATTGACACCAAAATGGGTTTCTTTTGAAGAAAGTGCTCAAACCTCATCGATGACAATAGCCCGCAGTTTTCAATTCACCAACCTAATATTTTAGACAATTATCGTAATCAAACCGTCACTTTTCATCTGATCAGCCAAATTTTGGTATTATTGACGAAATCTTATGATTTCTTATCGATTTCTCATCGATTTCTCATCGAATCAATACAAAAATTTGAAAATTAAACAAAATTAAATGAAAACTAATGGTTTAACTAGGGTAGTTTTTGAAAATAGAAAGTATTTTAGAAAATTAATTGATCAAGATCAAGACTATAATCGATTTATCAAGAGGAAAACACTCTAATCCTGAGTGACTGATCCTGAACTTGAATTTCCCCCAAAACGATGCACTAAAGAGCTTTTGTATAGCACAATGCAAAATGTTTTGTTTTGTTTTGTTTGTTGTTTCCAAGTAGGCTTGTCTATCTATCTATTTTACTTTAGAATCTTATCAAACTTTTTGGTTTTTACATCATTTCACTATTTGCCAAACTGATATTTAAAGTCATGATCCCAAATGAAATTTTCGAGTATCATGTGTTCAAACTTTTTCTCAAGATGACCAATACGATTTTTGGATACGAAAAATTGACTATATCAACGATTTGAATGGGAATATTAAGCGCTTTACATATTTTGAAACATTTAAACTTTGAGTTTCTCAAAATGGCCTTTGAGAATTGTAGCGCTTTCGCTTTTCGCTCACTCGGCACTCAGGTGAAGCAAGCAGTGAAAGTATGAGCTAAATCTAGAATTTTCTAAAAGAAGTATTTCAAAAACGTAATCATAAATCGTTTTTTGCAAAAAAGTTAAAGAGAAAAGAGCTATTTTTTCATGAAGAATTGAATTCTTCTTTCCAAATCTTGACTATTGCAAATATTTCTTGAGTATTTCTTTCTTTTCTAAAAGATCTCTTTAAAAAGTATCGTATTATGATGTCATTTTTTTGATGGAAACAACAACTGCCAAACTCTCAAATGGATGGAACCGGAGTATGAAAGCTTAAAAATGGGAGCCGGAGTACGATAGCTTAAGAATGGTAGCGGGAATATGATAGCTTAAGAATGGTAGCCGGAGTATGATAGCTTAAGAATGGCAGCCGGAGATGATAGCTTAAGAATAGTAGCCGGAGTATGAAAGCTTAAGAATGGTAGCTGGAGTACGATAGCCTAAGAATGGTAGCCGGAGTATGATAGCTTAAGAATGGCAGCCGGAGATGATAGCTTAAGAATGGTAGCTGGAGTACGATAGCTTAAGAATAGTAGCCGGAGTATGAAAGCTTAAGAATGGTAGCTGGAGTACGATAGCCTAAGAATGGTAGCCGGAGTATGATAGCTTAAGAATGGCAGCCGGAGATGATAGCTTAAGAATGGTAGCTGGAGTACGATAGCCTAAGAATGGTAGCTGGAGTATGATAGCTAGTCATGAGTTGCTTTAATTTGCATTCAAATTAATTGTGCTCTGATTCAGACGTAAAAAATCTAATTCTTTGTTCTTTTCCCTGTGAAATGTTGACAAATTTCACCTCCGTACCGGATATTTTCTCCCAAACAAAGAGCTTGGGTCAGATGGGATGAGTGGGGGTGGTTTCTTCTCGGAAACGTTTTACACGTTATGCACACCCCCGTAGAGTCCTTTCGTAGCCCTTTCTTTCTTTTTTTTTTCTATTTTCTTTCTATTTTCTTTCATTCACCCATTCAGTTCACCCAAAACACCGGAAATTTCCCCTTATTTCCTTTTCGCAGACAATTATGAAGAGTATAGATTCTTTTCCCACTGATTCATCGCTTAACACTCAACTAGAAAGTTTTCTAGAAAGAAAATGCATACTTTTTCTTTCTTTTTCTGCTTTACCAGCTTTCAAATCAAATGTATAAGCCCAAAGCCTTATTTATTTTTGCAAAAAATTGACTTTTTCAGCTTCTAATTTCATTTCTTTTCATTTCCAATCAAAACAAGATTTTTCGAGGGTACACAAATCCTCATCCATCAAAAAAGATGACGAAGAAGAAGAGGACCAGAGCGGGAAGAAGTCCCAATTGTCTTACCCTCATAATATTTTGGATCATTCTATCTGAAGAGAGATTTCATTGAAATATGTCTTTCATTGAAAGAGGAAAAGAAAGCTTAGAGTGTCAGTTCAACGGAAAAGAGAAAGAGAAAAGGGGTGACGAGAGTGGACATGAGATTAGACCTCACTGAGATGTAGTTCCGGCTTCCCCGACACTAACCATCGTTTACAAAATACAAACTTATTGAGGAAATGGGTAAGTTTTGGTAGAAAAGCTTTGGCTAAGCCATATTTTGGCTAAGCTATATTTTTGTTTTGAAATCTATTTCCTCGTTTGCCTCATTGACTTAAACAAATTTAGCTTTCAGTTTAGCTGGCCTTCAATTTAGGCCAAATCTAGGCTAAATTTAGGCTAAATTTAGCCTAAATTTAGCCTTCCTTAATAGTTTAGCTGAAAATTTAATTCTGACTTGACACTACTTGGCTAGCTACTTGACAATGGGTTCTAGGTGTATTAGAGAATGCATAAACTGAACGGAAAACACTAGATTGAAGTTAGAAACTAAATATTTAGTGGTTAAAGGTTTGGCTCTAGTTTTAACCTAGTTTTAACCGTTTTGGCTCTAGTTTTAACCTAGCTTTAACCTAGTTTAACCTAATTTAACCTAGTTTTAGCCTAGTTTAACCTAGTTTAACCTAGTTTTAGCCTAGTTTAGCCTAGTTTAGCCTAGTTTAACCTAGTTTACCCTAGTTTTAACCTAGTTTTAACCGTTTTGGCCCTAGTTTTCACCTTGAAAAGTGCCCCAATAGTCGATAGCTTTCGCTCTATATAGTGAAGTACACTATGGAAGCTTTGAAGCCCTGAAACTCGGCTTGAAACGCCTTTTCCAAAGCTCTCGTTGTGTTTTTCGGAATCTACGCATAAAACTACTTGAGAAAAAGTGGTTTTGAAGCAAACTCCCCAAAAAAAGATTTCAAAAACCTTCAAGATTTACAATTAGTGTGTTTAAGTTGCATTCCGTCGTTTTACCCTCACTTTATTTACCCGTGAACATTTTTGGGTGAGGATTTTTTGTTTGCTTAGTTGTTCAATATTTCCTTGCTGCCCAATCTTCACCTTGAGATTTTTTTAAAAGAAAACAATGGGCTTTCGATGAAGAGAAATGGGAAGGGGAACACAAATCGAAGAGAATGGCTTGTCCCCAGATGTCCGCTAAAAAGTAGCTAGATTTTGAATCCTGCTTACTGGATCATGGATCCTGTTTACTGGATCATGAATCGTGTTTACTGGATCATGAATCCTGTTTACTGGATCAGAATCCTTTTACTGGATCAGAATCCTGTTTACTGGATCATGGATCCTTTTTACTGGATCATGAATCCTGTTTACTTGATCAGAATCCTATTTACTGGATCATGGATCCTTTTTACTGGATCATGAATCCTGTTTACTTGATCAGAATCCTGCTTACTAGATCAAAATCCTGTTTACTTGATCAGAATCCTGTTTACTGGATCATGGATCCTGTTTACTGGATCATGAATCCTGTTTACTGGATCAAGAATCCTGCTTACTGGATCAAGAATCCTGCTTACTGGATCAAGAATCCTGCTTACTGGATCAGAATCCTGTTTACTGGATCAAGAATCCTGCTTACTGGATCAAGAATCCTGCTTACTGGATCAAGAATCCTGCTTACTGGATCAGAATCCTGTTTACTGGATCAAGAATCCTGCTTACTGGATCAAGAATCCTGCTTACTGGATCAAGAATCCTGCTTACTGGATCAGAATCCTGTTTACTGGATCAAGAATCTTTTTTACTGGGTCATGAATCCTGTTTACTGGATCAGAATCCTGTTTACTGGATCATGAATCTTTTTTACTGGGTCATGAATCCTGTTTACTGGATCAGAATCCTGTTTACTGGATCAAGAATCCTTTTTACTGGGTCATGAATCCTGTTTACTGGATCAGAATCCTGTTTACTGGATCATGAATCCGGTTTACTTAATCGTATTCTATTTTATTTTGGAAGTGGTTAAGTACTGGATTTATTAAACTACTTGATTCATAGCTATTTTTATTAAAACTTTTTGTGTTAGCAAGGGAAAAATGAAGTCATTCTTGCAAGCTTTAATTCTGCAAGAAAATTCTGCTCACTTTTCTGAGCAGAATTTTCTCGCTCAAACCTTTCTATAACTTGTTTATAACATTTTTTGTTTATAACAACACCTTTTTTCGGTTTATAACTCAATCTATTTTAAACTGTAGCCTAAACTTCAAGAAATTCTCGAAGAAAGAAAGAAAGAAAAAAGAAAGTCAAGTTCCTTTTGACGTTCTCGCGTTCTTTACTAACCAAAATTCGCTCCGTTTAACAATTTTGATTCAGAAAACATTTCCAGATCCGCTTTCATTTTTTTTTCCCAGTAACTCTTTACCGAATATTTTCTCTAAAAAGGAAGCTTTTTCTTCAAACTTGTCTTCTCATTTCTTTTTCTTTTTTCTCACCTCGATTTGTCGCATTTTTGTGGAGAATTTCCGGGATTTGCAAATATAATTTGAGAGGTAAGTGAAACGGGAAAACTTTTCTCAAACTTTTCTCTCTCACTTTGATTTCCTCTCGATTCCCCGATTATTTCATTTACCTAGATTTAAAAAAAATCTAGAATTCACCATTCAGAATTCCCATTTTTCAGCTATTAGATCCATCTATTGTTGAGTTAGAAAATAGAAATCGATAAAAACAAAGAGCTCATGAAGAATGAATCATGAGATCTTTATTCTATTCAATTTAAACTATTCAATTTAACATTTCAATTGTTCTCGGATTAAATTCTCTCATAATTACACAACTTTTTCTAGAAAAAGATTTAGATTTTTTGAATTGAAAGCGAAAGAAATGTGACGGACTCTTAAATGGCAGACGAAGCGATTTTTCAGGTGAATTTGGCTTTTGAATTATTGGATTGGTGAATTGAAAACTGCGGGCTATTGTCATATGTGACAGTTTGAGCACTTTCTTCAAAAGAAACCCATTTTGGTGTCAATGGAAAAGTTGTAGAGAATCAAAAATTAGGCTTATAGCCAAATTTCCAAAAAGATACACTTAGTAGTTCCGCTTAAAATTTGTGTGCTCGGTGTGTTCCTTGTGCGGCCGCGTAATCGCTCGTCGTCTGGCGCAGGGCTTTTACATAGCCCCCTTCCCTCTGCCTTTTGCAACTAAACTGTCGGGTCCGAATCCTCCGACCGAATCCGAATCCTCCAATCCGGCATTGACTTCTCCGCAAATCAAGGCTGATCTCAATCTATTGGGTTGGTGAATTGAAAACTGCCGGCCATTGTCATATGTGACAGTTTGAGCACTTTCTTCAAAAGAAACCCATTTTGGTGTCAATGGAAAAGTTGTAGAGAATCAAAAATCAAGCTTATATCCAAATTTTCAGAAAGATTCAAAAACTGGTTTTCAAGAAATGCCAAATTTACGAATTTTCACGAAACTTGCATTTTAAGCGAAACTACTAAGTGTACCTTTTTGGAAATTTGGCTATAAGCCTAATTTTTGATTCTCTACTACTTTTCCATTGACACCAAAATGGGTTTCTTTTGAAGAAAGTGCTCAAATGCTCAAACTGGGACATCTCCAGTCCTCCATTTTTGAGTCTCACACTTGTCTCACACACAAACCAAAACCCTACTACGAAAGAGGAATCCGCAAATTGCCTGTAAAATGGGCAGAAGTCGTCAATAATAATGGAAATTATTTGGAAAGGATTTATGGCTTTATGTTGAATAAATTTTAGTTCAAAGTCCCGCAGTTTTCAATGCACCAACCCAATAGTTTGGAATTCTTTGAATTAGTTTTCAGAGATTTAAATTTTATCTGATTCAATATGATTCAATGCAAATTTGTCCTGTTTTTAGGTTTTCAAAGGGGTAGCCCTGTTCCTGTTAGTGATCTGGACGGTGATCGCGAATGCTCTCGTTTTCGTGGTTCTCAAGAAGAATCCCCGGCTACAAACAGTGCCAAATTTATTGGTAAATATTAATATTAACATTAAAGCTTAAGATATTAATATTAACGTATTGAATTTAGGTGGGTAACTTGGCGTTCAGTGATTTATGCCTGGGGTTGATTGTGTTGCCGTTGTCGTCGATTTACGCCATCGCTCGAGAATGGCTCTTTCCCGAGATGCTGTGCGAGATCTTTGTATCAGGTATTGGAAATAATAACATTTTAGAATATTACTTAAGTAAAAGACCCCACAACATCAAAATACTTTCCAGCCGACATCCTTTGCTCAACAGCTTCCATTTGGAATCTTTGCATTGTGGGACTGGATCGATACTGGGCGATCACCTCGCCTGTGGCATATATGAGCAAAAGAAACAAGAAAACAGCCGGCATAATGATTCTTTCTGTTTGGATCTTCTCTTCACTCATCTCATTGGCGCCACTTCTCGGCTGGAAACAAGTGAGTGCCGGTAGTATCTAGTAGGTTATCCAGAAAGTCATTTCGCTCCTTTTCATCCTTCTGTTTAAAGCCAACAATTGCACCAATTGAACTACGGTTTGTTTCATTAGAAAGGCCAATTATTTTTCTACAAAATAACATTAAAACGGGTTTAAAATGTCTTATGTATGGACTTTTTTGAGAGCCTGAAGTCGGGTAGTCAAAAAGGCCGACGGTGACGGCGACGACGGCTCGGTGATGCGGTTTAGACACTCTAGCTAAGGAAAACTATCTTGGTGTCAATAGATAAAAGATAGAGCACAAAAAGTTCGGTATATAGCCAAATTTTCAGAGAAATTGATTCATCCAATTTCTTTGTAGAGGTTTTTATAGATTTTGACGAAAAACACGTCTCGTTCACTCTCGAATTTCCCTGAAAGTGAACCCAAATTGACTTAAAAAGATGGGAAATTGAGAAATAAACACTTTTTATGTAGAGAAAACCATAGGTTAATTGGTGAATTTGTTATTTTTCAAAAAAAAAGCACGAAAAGGAACGAAAAGACTTACAGGACTTACAGGATGACCAGAAATATCCCCCTACTTTTTTTTCTAACTTATATTTCTGTTATTTGTAGACCAAAACGATTGTTTTCTCTTTTTAACTAAAAATTCATATTGCTTTTTGTATATGTTCAAGATTTCATGATCATAGCATTGATAGATAATTTTTTATGTACGCTCAAAAATGGCTGGTCAAGAAAGAACGAGCCGCAATTCAAATTTAGGCTTTCATCAATGATCGATGGCCTTCATCGATATTAATCCATTTAATATTTTTTAAACTGAATCTACTTAAAAACAAAAAAGCTTAGCTTGAAGAAAAAACTGCAAAGAAAAAATTATTTTGTGGGGTTTTTCTTTTCAAAAATCCCAAATTTGAGTTGCGACTCGTTATTTTTTGACCACCCATTTTTGAGCGTACATAAAAAATTATCTATCAATACGTTCATATATGGTTCCAATATGGTTCCAATATGGTTCCAATATGGTTCCAATATGATTCCAATATGGTTCCAATATGATTCCAATATGGTTCCAATATGGTTCCAATATGATTCCAATATGGTTCCAATATGGTTCGGATACGGTTCCAATATGGTTCCAATACGGTTCCAATATGGTTCGGATACGGTTCCAATATGGTTCCAATATGGTTCCAATATGGTTCGGATACGGTTCCAATATGGTTCCCATATGGTTCCAATATGGTTCCAATACGGTTCCAATATGGTTCCAATATGATTCCAATATGGTTCCCATATGATTCCAATATGGTTCCCATATGATTCCAATATGGTTCCAATATGGTTCCAATATGGTTCGGATACGGTTCCAATATGGTTCCCATATGGTTCCAATATGGTTCCAATACGGTTCCAATATGGTTCGGATACGGTTCCAATATGGTTCCAATATGGTTCCAATATGGTTCGGATACGGTTCCAATATGGTTCCCATATGGTTCCAATATGGTTCCAATACGGTTCCAATATGGTTCCAATATGATTCCAATATGGTTCCAATATGATTCCAATATGGTTCCCATATGATTCCAATATGATTCCAATACGGTTCCAATATGGTTCGGATACGGTTCCAATATGGTTCCAATACGGTTCCAATATGGTTCCAATATGATTCCAATATGGTTCCCATATGATTCCAATATGGTTCCAATACGGTTCCAATATGGTTCGGATACGGTTCCAATATGGTTCCAATATGGTTCCAATATGATTCGGATACGGTTCCAATATGGTTCCAATACGGTTCCAATATGGTTCCAATATGGTTCCAATATGATTCCAATATGTTTCGGATACGGTTCCAATATGGTTCCAATATGGTTCCAATATGGTTCCAATATGATTCCAATATGGTACCGCAATCCAAACTTAGGCTTTTATCGATGAGCGATGGCCTTCATCGATATTAACCTATTTAATATTTTTTAAACTGAATCTACTTAAAAACAAAAAAGCTCAGCTTTAAGAAAAAACTGCAAAGAAAAAATTATTTTGTGGGGTTTTTGCCTTTCAAAAATCGAAATTTGAGTTGCGGCTCGTTATTTTTTGACCAGCCATTTTTGAGCGTTCATAAAAAATTATCTATCGATGTTATGGTCATGAAATCTTGAACATATACAAAAAGCAATATGAATTTTTAGTTAAAAAAGAGAACAATCGTTTTGGTCTACAAATAACAGAAATATGAGCCTAGAACGGACTATTTGGAGGGGTTATTTCTGGTTGTAGTAGTTGATCTGTTAGTTAAATCTGAAAATTCCTTCAGCCTGAAGATCATTGGTTAAAACAGGTGAGCCGGTGAAAGAAAATGGCATTTTTGTAAAAGATTCACGAGTCAGAACAGTGGCTGTAAATTTGTGGCTTGAAGTGAAAGACTTGCTGAGATTTGAGTGGATATTGGAAAGCTTTCAGGTAGCTCCCGATGGGAACATGGTTCAGGACAAAAACGGGACTTGGCAATGCACATTTCTCGATTTACCCTCATATACAGTGTATTCAGGTGAGCTGGAATATTTGCTAGAAAGTCTGAGAGTCTAGAAAGTAGAAAGTCATTTCCATCTCAGTAAGAAAAGCCAACTTTTCAGCAACGGGTTCTTTCTTCATTCCACTCTTGGTGATGTTTTTCGTGTACTTCAAAATCTATCAAGCTTTTGCCAAGCATCGTGCCCGGCAAATCTATCGTCAAAAGGTTGGCTTTCACGTTTTTATTCATTCAATTCCTAAGTTCAACTCCGAAGTAGACTAATCAATAGCTTATTTCTCTGGTTGTGACTGACTCTTGAGCGGATGCACGAGTTGCATGTGCATCTCTCTATCTCTCATTTCCGCTGCTTCGTAACTCTGTAATGACCCAGAAAAAAAATGTGAATTTTTACGTACAGTTCAAACTTTCAACTACTTTTTTTTTGTTCAACACTCTTTTCGCACAAGTTCTGTGCTTACTGAAGTGGTTGGGATAATGAAACGAGAAGATTAGGATTGAAATGGTTTCTGATACTGATCAAAAAACCGATTTTCTGATACTGATCAAACAAATACTACGATTCTAGAAATTTACTGAGGTACAAGACTAATCCAATTTGATCCATGATAAAGGAATTATCTAAGAAAATATAAGAATATCTTAGGCTTTTCATTCCTTTTTGTACTTCCGTTTAAAACCAACAAATGCACCAATTGAACTACGGTTTATTTCATTAGAAAGGTCAATTATTTTTCTACAAAATAACATTAAAACGGGTTTGAAATGTTTTATTTCTTGATTTTTTTGGGAGAGTGAAGTCGGGTAGTCAAAAAGAGCGACGGCTCGATCACACGGACACTTTATCTTCAGAAAAGACACACTTTAGCTAAAGAAACCTATCTTGGTGTCAATAGATAAAAGATAGAGCATAAAAAGTTTAGTATATAGCCAAATCTTCAGAGAAATTTAAACTCTGTAGATAGATTAAGATCTATGACCTAGATCTGAACCAAAATCAAATCGAATCTTATTTTGAGTTAAACTTTCAGTCATTGCTTGGCGTCACCCCTTGCTAGCGATTCTTTTGGGATGTTTCTGTGTCTAGTAGTCTGATGTGATCAGAGTAGTCTATATTTGGATTCCAGATTACGGGTTCAGGCACGCTATATTAGGTTCTCTAGCAAATCTCTTTTCGTTCCTTTTCGCACTTCCATTTAAAACCAACAAATGCACCAATTGAACTACCGTTTATTTCATTAGAAAAGTCAATTATTTTTCTACAAAATAACATTAAAACGGGTTTAAAATGTCTTATGTCTCGATTTTTCTGGAAGCATGAAGTCGGGTAGTCAAAAAGAGCGACGGCTCGATGATGCGGACACTTTAGCTTTCGAAAAGATACACTTTAGCGAAGGAAACCTATCTTGGTGTCAATAGATAAAAGATAGAGCACAAAAAGTTTAGTGTATAGCCAAATTTTCAGAGAAATTGATTCATCCAATTTCTTCGTAGAGGTTTTTCTAGATTTTTGCGAAAAACACGTCTCATTCACTCTCGGATTTGCTTGAAATTGACTCAAAATTGACTTCAATTGCTTGAAATTCACCCAGAATGACTTAAAAAGATGGGAAATTGAGAAATAAACACTTTTTATTTAGAGCAAACCATAGGTTGATTGGTGAATTTGTTATTTTTCAATGAAAGTACGAAATGGAATGAAAAAATTCATTTACCAACCTAATAAATAGATGTAAATAAATAGAAATAGAATAAATAAATAATAAATAGATGTTAGACTTGTCATAAAAACATCTGTCGGTCCTTTTCTGCCGGTAATTTAAGCACCAACCCTTTGATTTTGACTATTTTGAATATCATTTGATGCAGAATAAAATCGTGCGTCAAATGATATTAAAATTAACTCAAAAAGTAATATCCACGCAAAGCTATTGGCTCAAATGATATCGCAAAGCTATTGGCAAACCTAAACCGCCTAATATGGATGGGACTTAACCTCTTTTGCCTCATATCTTTGCATGAATATTACATTTTGAGTTCTTTTTGGTATCATTTTTATTCTGCATCAAATGATAGTCAAAAAGTCAAATCAAAGTCAAATCGGCATAGGCAGATAGTCAAATCAAAAGGTTGTTGCTGAGAAAAACACGAAAAACCTTAAATTGTTAACGGCAAATAAAGTTTTTTCGATTTCGACAGACAGATCCGATAGATTTCTTTTGCTACAAGTCGAGTAGATGTACAAAATTTCAAGCTCATACCAAAAATACTTTTAATTTTAAACTTTAGACTTTTATTATTGATTAATTAGGGGAAAAACTGTTCTATTAATCCTTTTACTTAACTGCTGAAGAGCTTACAACCGTCGCTGCTTTTTTCAGCATCGTGCTGATGCTGAACTGCGCAGTTAACATCGCAGTTAACTGCGAAATGGCTCATCTCCAAGTACGCCAGAAAAGCCAAGCCAAAATCTTGCTTTGGCTTTGGCTTTGGTAGCTTTGAAAAAAGCAGCGACGGTTGTAAGCTCTTCAGCAGTTACACTACTGCAGAATACCGCCCACAAAATGTCCCCATTCCCAGAGGCAAAAGTTTTTTTTGTGTTTTTCTCACCGCTCACTTGATCGATTTGGGCACAATTAGTTTCATTCGATAGCTCTGTTTAATATATATTGAATGAAACAAAGTGTAGCTAAATTGGTCAAGTAAATGGCGAGAAAAAACATAAAAAACGTAGTTTGCCTCTGGCAATGGAGCCACTTATGGGTGGTACTTTGGGAATACTTGGGGGAGGTACTTTAAAAGTATTAGGTTGTCCGGAAATAAATGAGCGTTTTCAACTCGAATATTTAAAATCTCATAACTTGATCCAAACAAAACTTTATTAATCGAAATAAGAACCATTCACTACTGGACAATGAAATATAATATTTGAAAAAAGATCGTCACTTTCGCGCGTCTGTAACTCCCTTGTCTTTACCGTATTTCTAAATATTAATCTTACCATTGTGTAGCCCTTGAAAAGAGCTTTCAGAAAATGTATAGCAATAAGAGTTTAAACTCAAAGACAAGGGAGTTACAGACGCGCGAAAGTGGCAATCGTTTTTCAAATATCATATTTCATTTTCAGTAGTGTAACTGCTGAAGAGCTTACAACCGTCGCTGCTTTTTTCAAAGCTACCAAAGCTTTAGCTGAAGCTTCAAAGCTAATTTAGCTGATTGATTACGTTAATCGTACTAATCCTAAACTTAGCTAAACTTTACTAAAAGACAAAATGCATCAAACTCTACTAAATATTTTCCATTTTACTTATTCATTTTTTTTTTAATTTTAGCTCGCCGTTTCTACGCAAGTAAGCGCTTTCTATCATTTTATTTTATTTTTTGGTGGCACGACGAGTTGCACACACTTTCTCTGTCCATTTCAACTCTTTGTTTTTTCTGTTTTCAAAAGAAATTTTATTTTGCTTGTTTGTCTAACATTGTTTATCTAACAATCACAAAAATTTATTCAATTTTTAAATTTTTAACATTTCAAGATCATCTATCAAGCCGTAAGCATTAGAATTGTGCATGAATGGAGTCAAAAATGATGTGAAAAGCTTGTTGCTTTGGATTTCTTGTATTGAAAGCAATAGAAAGCAATAGAAAGCTATAGCAATAGCTATCTTTTCCAATAGCAATAGCTATCTTTTCAACTAGCAATAGCTGTCTTTCAGTTCTATTTGTATATGACTCTTTGTAATGACAAGATGATTTTTTAAAAAAACTTCCTCTGTATTTCACTTGAATGCGTTCTTTTGTTTGGCAAAATCAACGCCACTGTCTTTCTGTGTGTGCAAAAGATTTTGTTCTGTCAAAAAAATAAAGAATGTTTTGTGAAATCAACAATTTCCAGGTGATTCGGAAACACATTGAATCAACGATTCTTCACGAGATTTCCCATGTTTTGCCGACTTCCGATGAGTTCGCAAAAGAGGAAGAAGATGAGGATGAGAGTGGGGATTTCGCTTTGTTTTTTCTTTGGAAATATTCTATTGGGTTGATGGGAAAGTTCTTTCCGATTTTTTGAGAGTACCTTAAATTTGTCGAATTTTGACGTTTTATAGCTCATCCTAAAGCTGAATTCAAGACGGATCGATTGGTAAAAACCGTTTTGAGATATCTTTTTTTCTAAAAGTTTTTACAGCTATTTTAGTAAAGGGCGGCAGAGCCAAAAAATGGCTGTTTTCACGTTTCGTTAGTTTTCCGTGCAGAAACCTAGGCTAAAAACATGTGTTTCGTGATCAGCGTCAAAAATAACCCCTAGATTTTTGTTTGTTATTTGTTAAACAAAAAAAAAAAGAAAAAACCGAAGGAAAATCGCGCGAAGCAGCGGGCGCTAATTGGTCTGTGGGTTCGGCCGGTTTCCGACTTCCACCGGTGACAATATTTTTCAATAATTTTTGTTAAGATTCTGAATACGGCGTGTGCGTGGCTAGGGGTTATTTTTGACGCCGATCACGAAACACATGTTTTTAGCCTAGGTTTCTGCACGGAAAACTGGCGAAACGTGAAAACAGCCATTTTTTGGCTCTGCCGCCCTTTACTAAAATAGCTGTAAAAACTTTTAGAAAAGAGATATCTCAAAACGGTTTTTACCAATCGATCCGTCTTGAATTCAGCTTTAGGATGAGCTATAAAACGTCAAAATTCGACAAATTTAAGGTACTCTCCCAAAAAATCGGAAAGAACTTTTCCATCAACCCAATAGTTTTAAGCAAATACTCTAGTTTTAGCTTTTTTAGCTTTAAAAAGAGAAAATTATACGTTTTGAATTTATATTTTTGTAGGTTCGAGTTCCGACGAGGTTGAGAACGGGATGGCGAATAATGATGCGATACCTGAAGAGGATGAGGTAGCCCTTTTAAGTCAAGTATTACACAAAAATGATAAAACTTAAACCGATTATCTTTTTAGCTTCTACAATACTAATATAAGCTTTACAGTTGGAAGCTGAAAGTAGTGGTCGAGAGGAGAGAAGTGAAGAAACACAGCACACAACAGCCGGCTCATCTACAGCAGCCTCGATACCTTCAAGCAAAGTAATCTTACTGTTGGCTATGTTCAATTGGCTATGGCTATTTGGCTAAATGTACTCGACTATATTGATTAGCAGAAGCTTCTTTGCCTTTTTGCTCCAGAAAAAAATTTTTTGGAGCGAAAAGCAAAAGAATTGGTGGGGAGAGGAGGCGAACCCGTGACCTCTCTCTGCCGTTCGTTTGAAAGACGCGCACGTTAACCGGTCGGCCAGTAGATGGCGCAGCACGAGCGTACTTGTCTCTAGCCCATGCGACCCAGGTTCGACTCTCGCCCGCGTCGGAACTTTTGGTTTTTTAAAAATTTAAAAACATGTTGCACAACTACATGAAATTCTAAGCCAAACTAACTATAATTTATTTGAAACGGCCCACTGGGTGCGGAGGAGGGTTGCGCAGACAGACAGACTGACAGACGTCTTAGTCCCTTTATATATAGTAGATTTTGTTTCAGAAAGAAGTATCGATAGCTCGAAGTCTACCGCCGATCAGTGATCGATCAAAGCGGAAAATGGAGGCGAAACCGGTGAAGAGTGTGGTGATGATAAGCTACGAGAAAGTGAAAAGACACAAAATACGGTAGGATAATGTTTATGTTTTTGTTTTGTGTTTTGAAATGATCGTTGAACTACAGGGTAGCACACGCTTATGGCACAGAATCATGGTGACACCTCTTCTTTAAAGTTGCTGGCAAATGCCTGACTTATTACCAAAGTGCCAAGTGTTATATAGAAAAATAAAGCCCTTTATCTTGGCATCATTTATCTACAAAGAACTTCCCGGAATCATACAACTCATTTTACAAGCTCTCGAATGAGCTCAAGTCGGCCTCTCTCCGGCGATCTGCCATTTTTGTCACCTTTCTTAATAAAAAAAACTGTTAAAAAGTTTTCTCGATATTTATTTCGTGAAAAAATAGGAGTTAGTATCATTTAATAGCAATTATTTATTCCACCAATTAACCTACCGTAAATAATGTAATAGTACCCCAGCCCCATCATGACGGTGCGGAGTGTTGCGTAGCCTAGCTTTGAACGAGTTTTTCTCGACACTGGTTTATGCTACAATGCGCGCTTAGGTATCAAAAAATAGTTGAAATTCAGGGCTATTTTTTGATATTAAAGACGCATTTTTTGAAAGTACGGGTGCTTTGAAAAAAATGAAATAATGAAATACTTGCGACTACGCGACTGTACGAGGGGGGGTGGGCTACTATTACAGTACTCACGGTATGGTTTGTTCTAAATAAAAAGCGTTTCTTGTTCAATTTCCCAAATATTACTGAACAAAATGATTTCAGAAAAGAGCGAATGTATCGCAAATCTCTACAACGAAAGCCGAAGGCAATCTCGGCTGCGAAAGAACGAAGAGGAGTGAAAGTGTTGGGGATCATTCTTGGATGTTTCACGATTTGTTGGACTCCATTCTTTATGTGAGTAAAGCCGAGCTTCAAATGCACTCTGAACAAAGAAAAACTAGTCACTAATTGTCTAGTCACTCATCTAAGACCTTTTGTTGAAGTTGAATTTCTGTAGAATTTTCAAAATTACTTTCAAACTTACTTTTAAACTTTCAAACAAACTTTTAAACTTTCAGAATGTATGTGGCTGTGCAATTCTGCAAAGACACATGCCAAGTGAATCCCCACATCGAAATGTTCATTACCTGGCTTGGGTACTCGAATTCCGCGATGAATCCCATTATCTACACGGTGAGTCATAGGAATTTTAAGGCGTAAATGAGTGATCAGTGATTCATTTATGAGTTATGGGTGAAGTTTTGAGGTAAGGAACTGATTGGTGAAGTTTGGAGTGAATGAAGTTTTATGATTGATTAATTTTTAAGTCTAGCACTAATTTTCTGTAGAATGTAGAAGCAAAGCTGATTGATGAAACAAGCAAAAGTAATAAGAGAGTAAAATCGAAAGAGGAAAGAGGAAAGAGGAAAGAGGAAAGAGGAAAAGGAAGAGGAAAGAGGAAGAGGAAGAGGAAAGAGGAAAGAGGAAGAGGAAAGAGGAAAGAGGAAGAGGAAAGAGGAAAAGGAAAGAGGAAGAGGAAAGGGTAGAGAATGACAATTGTGTTACTGTATTGATTATTGATTATATGTACCGTATTTCTTCGGATAGAAGACCGGGTAAAGAGTATCATCGCGTACTCCTGCGTAGCAGCCCTTTTTAAAATTTCTTTTCTGCATAAAAGCTTTCAATCAAGTGCTATAGGGCTGGAAAATGACTCAAAAATACCACATGAGCTAACAGATTTTTGAGTCATTTTCCAGCCCTATAGCAATTGATTGAAAGCTTTTATGCAGAAAAGAAATTTTAAAAAGGGCTGCTACGCAGGAGAGGGCTGCTACAGCCTGCTAAGGCGGCTGCAGGAGTACGCGATGATACTCTTTACCCGGTCTTCTATTCGAAGAAATACGGTATGTACGGTATGTATTTCTATGTACAAAAACGTATTGATTTTTCAGGTCTTCAATCGAGACTATCAGATCGCGTTGAAGAGACTTTTCGTGGGCGATAAGGGGAAACCGGCAGGACTCGGAGGACTCGGAGGGGGAATTCGGGCCTTGTAAACCGTATCAAAAAAGAAAGCAAAAAATTCTTCTTTCTTTTCCTTTTCAAGTTTTCTTTGATGGCAAATGCTAGAACTTTGACACGTCACTTGTGATTTTTCTCGTTTTTTTTTTTGTCAAAACGTTGTTGACCCTGAATTTTCGTGTTTCAAGTTTTTCGATTAGCCAACTTGACCAAATGTAGTCTCAAGGGAGTAGAGTTGAGGGGAAAGTTATTGATTTTGAACAAAATAAAACAAAATCCAGTTTGAACTTTAAAAGTTGATCATATTCTTGAAATAGTTTGGTTTTATAAGTTCTTAAACTCGCTTTATAAGTTCTTAAGCTCGCTTTCAATAGTGATCGTTTAATAGAGTTCAATAGAGACTCTTTAATAGAGTTTAAACAAATTCTTATTATTTGTTTTAGATAGCAATTTCTTAAGTTCTTAAGTTCGCCTTGTTTCGCATAATGTTGATAACAAAATTACAGTCATTTTGAGACAAAATTTGAATTTTAATAAGTCAAAACTCATTAAGACTTTGTTCAAACTATAACCTTCGTCAAGGCTGATCTAAAAAAAGCCAAAAGCCATGGTTAGCCAAGTCAAAGCCAAAGCGAAAGCCAAAAACCCTGGTTTTTGCATACAAATCCGGGTTTTCGCCTGAAAACCCGGGTTTTCTTTTGGTCTAGAAAATCGGCTTCAGAAATAGCCCTGACTTTAATTGAACCAGATTCGAAATTATCGTAAATACTGTAATAGTACCACAGCCCCCTCGTACAGTCATGTAGTCGTTGTCGGTGTTTTCGAAACAAAAGAATAATGCTGGTACCTCAACAATGGATTTTTAGTGGATTATGCCTACAGACACAGGAGGGCTTTCTTGTTTAAGTACCCGAATCAAATCCCGCAAGCCGGGTTTTGCCAACTGATTGGCCTGCGTCTGACCTACCGTAAATATTGTAATAGTACCCCACCTCCCTCGTACAGTCGCGTAGTCGCAAGTATTTCATTATTTCATTTTTTTCAAAGCACCCGTACTTTCAAAAAATGCGTCTTTGGTATCAAAAAATAGCCCTGAATTTCAGCTATTTTTTGATACCTAAGCGCGCATTGTAGCATAAACCAGTGTCGAGAAAAACTCGTTCAAAGCTAGACTACGCAACACTCCGCACCGTCATGATGGGGCTGGGGTACTATTACAGTATTTACGGTAGGTGGTTTTATTGACCCGGGAGGGGGGGAGGGGAGAATAAAAAAAAACAAAAATTGCTCGTTGCCGGGATTCGAACCCGGGACTCATTGGCAGACCTTTCGCCTACTGGACGAACGCTCTACCAATGGGCTACACCGAGCGACGCTCCCTCGCCACCAGAGTAGGGCCTTATCCCTTACTCATCGAAAGCTGACTGTAGTTTCAGTATTTTGATATCAAAGTCTCAATTCTTGTTATTATTATTGTCTAAAGAAAGCCATTTTCTGACATTTCTGTCTCCAGACATCATCTCTAATATATCGAGTGCTAAATGAATCGGGTATTTTTTGTTTTCCTTTTTTTCCTTTTTCTTCATCGAATTTCCTTTGACTGCCCCTTTTTTTCATTAAAAAAAGTTCATACTGTAAAACTGAAAGGAAATCAAAGAATAAATATTTATAAACCTAAAAATTGCTCCCAAATACAACTGAGTCATTGAGAAATTTCAGGAATTTTTATATAAATAAGCTTCCATCATGAGCAAGGCGAGCAAGGCGTCAAACTTTTTCCCGGCGGGAAAATTTTAAAGCCACAACTCTTATCTTTTGAAGCGCTTATTTCATGAAAGAAAATGAAGGAATCTACCCCAAAAATCAATCGATTTTTGGCTTTTTGAGAGAATTTTTTGGTGCTAAATTCTAATTCTTGAAAAATTCACACATTTTGGGCCTGTTTTTGTTTCTTGAAACAATTTTTTTTTGTTTCCGTTTCATTTTGTTTGTTTATTCTTCTTCTCATTTCCAAATGCCATTCTTGAAAAGTTTCAAAGCGATTTCCTGTTTATCAATATCGGATCTGCATCTTCCAAATCGAGATTCAGTGCAAACTCTTCTCGGTGGCGAGACCTATCATTCGAGTATGGGAACGCAAGGACAAAGTGATCGTTTAGCGATTGCAGGCATTCAGGCACAGCTGGGAAATCACTTTTTACCCGGTTAGTTGAATAGGATAATGATAGGCAGTCATGTTAGCTCAGCTCCGTTTTTCGATCGGTTTTTCGATCGGCAATCTACGAATTTTGATCGTTCCTTGACCGGGTTTGTTTGAAAAACGTTGAATTTGCTTTCATTCGACTCGAAATCAAATTTTCTATCGAATAGAGTAAAGTCAACGTGGTCGGTACTTGTGAATCTGTTGCACGAACATTGTTTTAAAAATTTGCACATAAACTGTTTGAAATGGATTTTCTAAAAACGCTCGGAAAGAACTCTAACCCTTAGTAGCTTACGTTCGCCCAGATGCAAGAATGTGGTCCAGGAATAGCTCATCACGTGGCTTCTCAGTGCACCTCTAACACTTAATAGCTTACGTTCGCCCAGATGCAAGAATGTGGTCCAGGAATAGCTCATCACGTGGCTTCTCATAGCACCTCTAACCCTTAGTAGCTTACGTTCGCCCAGATGTAAGAATGTGGTCCCGTTGGCGCATCACGTGGCTTCTCAGAGCACCTGTGGTGGGTCAATAAAAAAACACGGTGTGACGCAGGCCACTTCCCAGCCGCGCATCACGGGCTAGCACGGGCATCGCCTACGGCGCAATTTAAAAGCCATTTGAAACCTTTTAGCACAACCTTTTAGCCTTTTAGCCTTTTCAAATGCATATTTGCACAGATTATATAATGCGAATTTTCAAAACAAATGCTAATTAGGTAATATGGTTGCAACAGATTCACAAGTACCACGTTGACTTTACTCTATTCGATAGAAAATTTGATTTCGAGTCGAATGAAAGCAAATTCAACGTTTTTCAAACAAACCCGGCCAAGGAACGAGCAAAATTCGTAGATTGCCAACGGCAAACTGACCGAAAAAGGAACCGAACTGACCGAAAACGACCGAGTTAACATGGCTGATAATAGAATAATGAAAAGCTCTCTTGAATTTTGAAAGATTCCTGTGTTTAGCCGTCAAGAATGTGGCCATAAGTGGAAACGAACTGCTTCGAGCGTTTCAAGGTAAAGTTCGTTCGGAAGGCAAACTTAAGATTCATTTTTAGCTTGCTTGGAACTACAGGGTGCGACATAATTTTGCGCTTAATGCATCTTTGTGCCTTTCGAAGATAATACATTAACCTAAGCTGAAAAACAACAATTAATCATAAAATCTACGCGTAATTTTGCATAGAATATAGAATAGGATAGAATAGAAGACATAGAATAGAACCGTAACATTTTTTATTGACTTTGACAACCCTAGTAGAGCAATGGGTTTTGGGTTTCTACAAAATGGGTTTTGAACTTACGCTCTATCTAAATTTCTGTAAATGCATTTCCGTTAGACTTTTTTAATGAATTGATATATAGTTATCCTTTTCTTTTTAAATCTTCAATTTTGGGAAGCTAACTCTATTTTGAGCACACTAAACTTGTCCCTAAAGTGACTCGATTCCTTTTTTTGGTCACTCGCATTTCGCCCTCGAAATTCCTTCAATGGTTCGATCAATTGAAACACGTTTTAGCCTATTTTGTAGCGGAGATTTACAGCTTTCAAATAGTTTATAACATTCATCGATATCAGGTTTCTATCGTTGGAAATTTAAATCCGCATTTCTTATCCAAGTACCTAATAACTGTCAACTCTTCTGGTTTTTGAGAAAATCATCTTTTTGTAGAGCGCAACAATATATAAGTCGCATCTTGTAATTCTTGGAGACAAAAACACTCTATATTCATTCATTAGGTTGATGCATAAGTCTTTTCGTTCCTTTTCGTCTGCCGTTTCAAGCCAACAAATGCACCAATTAAACTACGGTTGATTTCATTAGAAAAATCAATTATTTTTCTGCAAAATAACATTAAAACGGGTTTAAAAATATTTTATGCCTGGATTTTCTTGAGAGTATCTTGTTTCTTGAGAGTTTCTTGAGAGTCGGGCAGTCAAAAAGGGCTAACTCGATGATGCGGTTTAGACACCTTAGCTAAAGAAAACCTATCTTCGTGTCAATAGATAAAAGATAGAGAAAAAAAAGTTTGATATTTCGCCAAAATTTCAGAGAAATTCATTCAGCCAATTTCTTTATAGAGGTTTTTATAGATTTTTACGAAAAAGGCGTTTTTCACTCTCGAATTTGCTTGAAAGTGAACCAAAATTGACTTAAAAAGATGGAAATTGAACAAAAAAACACTTTTTTTATAGAGCAAACTATAGATTAATTGGTGAATTTGTTACTTTTTAACAGAAGTACGAAAAAAACGAAAAGACTTATGCATCAACCTAATATATTCACAATATATTCACTATATTCTCATTCTCATATTCATTTAGGTCTCCAAAAAGCGACCGAAAACTATTGTGGCACATTGGGAGCTTTTGCTCGTTCTGCTAAAGGAGCTTCTCCAGGTGTGAATATACAAAATAATATATTGGATTGGTGAATTGAAAACTGCCGGACTTTGAACTAAAATTTCTTCAACATAAAGCCATAAATCCTTTCCAAATCATTTCCATTATTATTGACGACTTCTGCCCATTTTACAGGCAATTTGCGGATTCCTCTTTCGTAGCAGGGTTTTGGTTTTGAATCGAAAAACTTTTGGAGCCAATTTTTGACCGCTTCTTCCGAATCGAAGTGTTCTCCCGCAAGCTCATTACTCATGGTCCAAAATAAATAGTAATCAGAAGGAGCGAGGTCCGGACTGTATGGGGAATACGCCAAAAGTTCCCAAACAAGGCTATTGATTTTAGAGCGAGTCAGTTTTGCAACATGAGGGCGCGCGTTGTCGTGAAGGAGAACGATCTTTGACTTGGAGGGCCGATTCTTCTTCAGGGATTCATTCACCTTTCCCAACTGTTCACTGTATTTGATTGGTCGTCTTGCTATCCAGCAACTCCCAGTACACCACTCCCTCCATATCCCAGAAAACGCAAAGCATAAACTTCTTCTGGTGCAAATCGGGCCACTTTCGGGTTTCTCGCCTGGCCCCAGCCAATGCCACTTCCTCTGAAAGTTCACAGATAAAACCCATTTCTCATCTTCTATCAGAAAAGATTTCCTTTTGTATTGTGAGAGATGGACGGCACTGATCGAGGCGCGCTGCCACTTCTGGGGGTTATTGAGGTCATAGGGCACCCAAACCCCAAGTTTCGATTTAAATCCAAGGGTATGAAGGTGCTTTAGCAATGATCAACCCCTAACTCTTCTCCCAATTCACGCGATGATACCCGATGGTCGCGATGATACCAAACCCCCTTTCAGCTGGTTCAATGCTGTTGTTTTTTTTTATCTGCGAGTCCCGCGAAATAGCCGGCAGGCAGTTTTCAATTCACCAATCCAATACTTCTTGAATATACAAAACGAATCTTTTCTAGAAGCCGAAAAATATGGGAAAAATCTTTTGGAAATCAGTAAACAATTCAAAGAAGTTATGCAACATCATGAAAGAAGTGTTCGTTTGTGAAAAGTCATTCAAATCAACAGCGAATAGTTTAGGTGAACAAATTTCACGAGTTTGTGATCAAAACAAACAAATTTTCCACAGAAGAAAAGGACAAGCAAAAGGATCTTTTTGGGAGTTTTCAAAAAATGGAAAAGACTTTGCAGAAGAACAAGGTTTATAATGTCTTTGTGCTTTATGATGTAGATTTAGAACCAAGAGAAGCTGGACAGTTTCTATGCTGAGCAGAAAGGTACACACGTGCGACAGCAGGAGATGAGATACAAGTTTTTCATGGACAAGCATGAGGAATGGTTTCAGACGTGAGTTTTCAAGGGATTTTTCTGGACTCATGGATTTGAGCTTTGTAGCTAAACAGTAGCTAAACATTGTATTAGGCTGTAAACTGCAAAAACCTAATTCTAAAATCATTTTATCTTTTAAAGTAGTCATTTACTTCTTCAGATATGTTGACTTGATTGAATATTGTCAAGAAGTCGCTAACAAAGAAGATGAAAGATCAAAAGAAGTTGAGCAACCAAAGGCTGTGATTGCTGCAGTAACTGCTGAGGTTGTTGAAGAAGCACCGAAAGCGAACGGACATAAAGAAGTGAGATTTGGAAATTTAGAAATGAAAAGTGTTTTATTACCTTTTCCGTAGTTTGTATTGTGGATTCAGAGCGAAAGCAACAAAACAAGCACACGAAGCAGCAGTGCAAGTAGCATAGAAGGAGTGAGGACAAGGGTTTCGACTCAGGTACGGATTTTATGTCCAAGAAATAGCTACAGTGACATTACTAACAGCATCAACGACATCAGAGTCATGCATTTCCTCTATTTAAATAGCTACAGTGACATTACTAACAGCATCAACGACATCAGAGTCATCTATTTCTGATCTACTTCTCTATTTCTGATCCAAATCCCAATGAACTTTAGGACGATCCAAACTCGATCTCCTTGATCAGTGAGAAACAACGGAAATCAGTTCTTGTGGAGGTACTAGTAAAATTAGTTAAGCACTTTTTAAGCGTTGTTCTTTTAGCCTAAAACAGCCGCACACACTCTCAGTTCTACCGATCAATCAAGAGCCCAATCCTTTGTGGCTCCGTCACAACAGAATCAACCAATCTATCAAAATCAACAAAATCCTCTAGCTGAAATCGCTCAAGAAAATGTTGTCTTCACTCAGTCAAGGGTTTGTTTAGTAAAGAAATGAATGGCAAAGAATTTGGAACTCTGGAGGAATTGAATCCCCGACTTTCTGCTTGCTAGGCAGATGCTCTACCACTGAGCTATCGGTGTCTGAAATGCTCAAGAAGTAATAGAAAAGACAAGGAAGAAGAAAGAAAAGAAGAAAGAGAGGGTAACCAAAAAATTATAACCCCAATAACCAAACTAAAATCACCACCAGTTAACGCCCGGCTACACCAGTTAACGCCGGAGGTTAACTGTTGCTCAATTTGAACCGATTCATAGTTTACATAAGTCAAAGTTAAGTATTAATTGTTGATAAATTTACTACAGTTTACTAATTTATTAAAAAATATGAATTTCAATAACTAAACTGAGTTTGAGAGGCAAATTTTGACCCAAAATTCCCTTCACCGTCGCTTCCGACGCTTTGAACTTTTCCGTCCTTGTTGTTTTCTCAAAATACAAAAGTTTTTCAAAATGTTTCTAGTGCTAAAAGATAAGCATATTTGCCGCAATATATTCTCAGAAAAATGAAACAAAAATTCATTCTTAAAGTAACCTTTGATCTCACCGCCAAATCCTTTGATCTTGCCGCCAATTTCAGTTCTTTTAACGTTACTCAAAAACGTTAAATATTTTCAATTCTGATTTGACAGGTCAAATCGCCGTAGTCGATTACATATTATCCCAAAAAATCAGCCCAAAATTCCCACTGGAACTCGGGTTATGAGGCACACACAAACTTTTCGTCTTCTAATAAATAAGATTTGCAGGATTGGGAACTGAACCCGCCTCCACCAATCGAGTATCGTGCCCGTGATCCATCTCCTGTTCGAACTCGACCAGCTCTGCAACCTTTGCAAACTTATGCTGTAAGTAAAGCATCCGATCGCTGAACCGAAGCCTGAAATTCAGCCACCAGCTCCCGAGCCAGTGCCACAAAGAGCTCCACCAAAGTTCGGTTATCAAGTTTTTCCGCCAATGACCACTCCCGTTTATGCAGCCGCACCAGCTACAAAACCTACACCAGCTCCAAGACCCGGTTAGTGACAAAGGAGCAAATAGCAAAGCAAAGTTGCTTTCAAAGCAACGAAAATTGTTATATATCTAGGTTAATATTCTAGGATTTTATTGAAAACTTATATGGCAAATAAAAGTGGTAAAACTAGAATTAAATACTATTCGTTCCTAGGTATAAACGGATGTGGACTAGAATTTGGGCTAAGTTAAAGAGAGTGGATTCCTTTTGATATCCCGCCATCTCTAACACCCCGACAACCCAACTCAACTCCTCCAACGTATTAGAGGGGAGTCCCTGTGAAATGACCGACCTGTACTGCAGTTGCATAGACCCGGAAGATATGTATCTTTATTTACAGTAGTACAGTAAGACGAATAGATTACAAATGAGTGTAAGGGGAAGGGGGGACTCCAAATGAGAGTCTCATTTGTCCTCCTAGGCAATCCCAAGGACCGCCCCTTCTCGGCAATAAAAGGGATAAGCACAGGGGAGGACACATTTCCATAAGAATAGACAAATCATTCAATAATAACAATAGTAACTAAAATATCAGTTTGGCTCGGAGCTGACAATACGCATATTTTGCAAAAAAAATAATTAAAAATAGTAAAGGGAAGTCGAGATATGGGGGTAGGAAGAAAAAAGGGGGCACTTTGAAAATTTTGGCACTGTGTTTTTCTTTTTTTCTTCTCACCCTTATTTGGGTTTTTTTGAATTACCTTTATTTTGTAAAATATGCGCATTCAAGTTTAGTTTTACTGTTTTTAATTGGAGAATAGATGGCTCGGAGGAATCCCAGAATATTCCAACTAGAACCTAAGGAACTCTTTAGAGAGAGTAATCTCCCCATTTACACTTTGTAGATTTTCTCACCACCCAATAAGCCATTCGCAATGGTTTATACTTCAAAAGATGCGCAAAGAAATTTGCTATTGAATGGCATTATCCGATTATCCTAGAACCATCGACTGATTTTTGGGAAAGGGACTAAAAACTGAAAATTCAGAAAGTTCTGTCCTTTTTAAATTCTCTTTAATTTAATTCCCTTTGATTGTTATTATTTCATAAGTATTTATAGCCAAAAGATAGCCAATTTTCTACAGAATTTAAATCTCATTCCCTTTTTAAAATAGACCCACCTTTTTAAAATAGACCGCACCATCATTATGGGGGTGCGGTACTATTACAGGATTTACGGTAAGTGCTTATTGACCCCGAGCCATTTTAGGGACTTTGCAATTGGCTTTTTTTATTGAAAATCCTCTTTTTAACAAAAATTTAAATGTAAATGTTGAAAGTTATTTGTTAATTTGTTTTTTGATTCAAATTCTTTATCCACATGGTCGTCTAGCTAACCGAATTGTATCGATTTTTTTAGCGATTGTTCCAACTATGTTCTCTGCTCATGATTATGGGATGAGCTTGGAAGTGAATGAGGATTTTAATGCAAATGGGCAAGATCAACTGACCGTGAATCGAGGCGATCGAGTGATTTTGATCAAGTCGGGGAATAGAGGATGGATCTTTATCAAGGAGCAAGCAACAAATCGGTAAAGGAATTGAATCAGTTATTGAATGGAAATGAAATTGAATGGAAATGAAAACTTTTGTCAAAAAAAGGAATTGGAATCATTTGAAGTTTTAAACTTTTCTCATTAAAATAAAATAAAATAAGTGAAAGGAAAGTCACTGAAATCAAAACTGTACAAACGAATGAGGCTTTTAAAGGCAGTAGTTAATCTAAAAATAGAACTCTTTTCGAAATCTGTGCAACTTTCAGAACCGGATGGATCCCAGCGCAGTTCGCATCGAAAATATAAACATCTTTGTTGGCTCAACTTTCTTTCTTTCAATTTTCAATTTCCACATTTTCAAAATACTTTTTTCTTGAAATAAATCACTTTTATCCCAAGCCTGACAATTGTTTCTTATTCTTTTTTTCTATTTTCTTATTCTTCTTTTCTATTTTCTTATTCTTCTTTTCTATATGTCGTAGCCGATTATGAATGAAATTTTTTGGCAAATCTTTCTAGTAGAGCAACCCTTTAATGTATGAGGACAATATTATATCATCTTGTAGCTAATTAAATTCTGCGTCGATTGGTACCAAATTTGTGAGTTTAGGTTAAAAATTGTCGGCGCTACAACGTTTCATTCAAAATCGGCGGGACCCCCGTAGCCGATTATGAATGAGTGGGTCTAGGAGCGTTCAATCATCAAGTATTTAGTATCATTCAACGCAGAATCATTGATAACTATGTTAAATTTTTAAAATTAGCAAGATTTGATAAAAAGAAAAAAATTAGAGCAAAAAAAACTGTTTGTTCAAGAGAAAACTTTGAAGCCCCATAATTTGTGTTCCTTTTATCCAATCTTTCTAATTTCAAAAATTTAACATAATTATCAATGATTCTGCGTTGAATGATACTAAATACTTGATGATTGGAGGCTCTCCTAGATGGTTGGAGACTCTCCTAGATGATTGGAGGCTCTCCTAGATGATTGGAGGCTCTCCTAGATGATTGGAGGCTTCCCTAGATGATTGGAGGCTCTCCTAGATGATTGGAGGCTCTCCTAGATGATTGGAGGCTCTCCTAGATGATTGGAGGCTTCCCTAGATGATTGGAGGCTCTCCTAGATGATCGCCTAGACCCACTCATTCATAATCGGCTGAAATTCATAATCGGCTACGACATATCGAATTCTGATTTGCTAAATTTTGAGTTTATTCTATGAAATTATTTTCTTCAAACAGTTCATTTTTTACTTTCCATGACCTTTTTAGAAAAGTTAGTTACACTTTTTTTTGTATATTTTGAAATAAATCAGTTACAACCACATTTTTTCCTTTTTCAAATCATTCAATTCCAATAAAATCATTCATTTTCAAGAAATTTTCAAGAAATTCTTTCAAATTCTCACCATTCCTCTCATCATTTGTTTTGAATTGTTTTTATGACCAATCGACATAACAAAAAAAATGATCGAGAGAGAAAAAAAAGACGAAGAAACAGTGAAGAATGTAAAATTCTATTGTAATTCTATTGTAATTCTATTGTAATTGTATTGTAATTGTATTAAATTGTAAAATTATTTTCTAAAATCCTATTCTATTTTCAGAGAACAAGTTTAAGAGTGGAAAAAGTCTTGGAAAAACTTATCAACATTGTTTTGGCACGTGATTTTTTCGGCGAATCTCGATCTTTTTCAAGGAAACTCTCTCCCCGACAACCAATACAATATTTATTCGTTTTGGAAAAGAATTTGAAGTCTTTGGCTTAGGCTTAGGCTAAAAATATATTAGTCTATATGGATAACGAACTGTTTTTGTAAGTATTCAAGTGCAAGATTGCAATTTTTGGCTATTGGCTTTGGCTCTTTTTATTGGCTTTGGCTTTTTTTTAATTGGCTTTAGAAAATTTGATATCATTGTTATTCTTATTGCGACTCAAATCTGTTTTGATATCTTTCTTCCGATAAAAGGTTTTAAAAGAGCTCTATATCTAAACAGAAAGAAAAAGGAGCAAAAAGCAAAAGAGTTGGCGGGGAGGGGAGGCGATCCCGCGACCTCTACCATGCGTTCGTTTGAAAGACGCGCACGTTAACCACTCGGCCACTCGATGGCGCAGCGCGAGCCCACTTTTCTCTAGCCCACACGACCCGGGTTCGACTCCCGCCCGCGTCGGAACTTTTGGTTTTTTAAAAATTTAAAAACATGTTGCACAACTACATGGAATTCTAAGCCAAACTAACTATAATTTATTTGAAACGACCCACTGGGTGCGGAGGAGGATTGCGCACAGAGATGGCGCAGCGCGAGCCCACTTTTCTCTAGCCCACACGACCCGGGTTCGACCCTCCTAGTGCCATTCAACTTTGAGTTTTTTAATTTTTAAATTAAAATATCGCAACTACAATATATTCTAAGATTTTCTAAAGAAGTTTTGGCTTTATTGATCAAAAGATGGCCGAGAAAAAAGCCCGTACAGACGGACAGACTGCTTTTTTATATATAGTAGAAATTCCGTTGAAAAACTCTACACAACTAAACAAAAACTATCAAAATCACTCCATTGCTAATTTTCGCAGATAAATTTCGCTATTTTCACCTTTTCAACTTTGGCGCAGTGAGTAGCGCGCTTGTCTACGGCCCACACGACCCGAGTTCGAGTCCGGGCTGCGTTGTGACTTTTGCTTTTTTAAAAAACGAAACATAAAATATACAACTACAAAATATACAACTACAGAATTCTAACCCTAAGAAACTAAAAATTATGTAAATCGGCCCACAAGGAGTCGAGAACTCGCGCGTACAGACAGACAGACAGACAGACACCTCTTTTATATAGTAGATGATTCTTTGTCAACTAAAGCACTCAAGGATAGGTTCCAGGCTATAACTTGCCTCTGGATACTTCAGTTACCAATTTTTATCTAGTTTATTACTTGCTTAAGTCTTTTGCAAGTAAAAGTAAGCCAATTGGAAAGCCAAATAACGTCAACAACATTTTCGTAGATAAATTTCGCTATTTTCACCTTTTCAACTCTGGCGCAGTGAGTAGCGCGCTTGTCTACGGCCCACACGACCCGAGTTCGACTCCGGGCTGCGTTGTGACTTTTGCTTTTTCAAAAAACGAAGTATGAAATGTACAACTACATAGAATTCTAAGCCTAAGAAACTAAAATCAACTAAAATTTATGTAAATCATAGGAGATTCCAATTGTATTTGCCTCCTTTTCAGGCCGTTTGGCTCCCGGGCTACAATTTTGCCTTATCACCTGCCCAAAGTACAATTTTTATGGTGTTTATTCCTTTTCTTCTCTAAAACCAAGATGATTGACACTATCGACTTTTAAAATCTAAAGCAAATTCACTTTTCAAATCCAAGAAAGATCAAAAAACAGTGTAGTGTTGGTTTCTTTCGCTTCTTATCTCTTAAATCACCTCAAGCACTCGGATTTCGAATTTTTTTTTCAATTTTCCGGTTTATGCTAGATTTTTTGCATTTAGAATGAAAGCAAATCAGATTTTTCCCCAAATTTGACTCATTGAAATATTCAACCCAAGTTTTAGTCTCAAATTTTGTAGTATCACATGTTGATTGGCAATTTCCCTTTTAAATTGCCTTCTTCAAGCCATTCTTTTCAAGAATTTTTATGATTTTGAACTAAAAATTACCTGAAAAGTGTCATTTGGCAGGTGGGGAGCTGAAGGTGGGGGGGGGGGGGGGGGGGGGGGGGGGGGGGGGGGGGGGGGGGGGGGGGGGGGGGGGGGGGGGGGGGGGGGGGGGGGGGGGGGGGGGGGAAAATGCCTAATTTTCATTCTGCCTAATTTCCAATTTGGGAACGCAAGGACAAATCGATTAGCTATCGATTTGCTCGATCGATTAGCGATTGCAGGCATTCAGGCACAGCTGGGAAATCAATTTTTACCCGGTTAGTTGAATAGGATAATGATAGGCAGCCAGTAGCTCCTTTTTCGTTAGCTCAGCTCCTTTTTCGATCGGTTTGCCGTTGGCAATCTACGAATTTTGCTCGTTCCTTGACCGGGTTTGTTTGAAAAACGTTGAATTTGCTTTCATTCGACTCGAAATCAAATTCTATCGAATAGAGTAAAGTCAACGTGGTCGGTACTTGTGAATCTGTTGCACGCACCTTGTTTTAAAAATTTGCATATGGGAATCTGTTGCAAACTGTTTAAAATGGATTAAGATGGAAGAAAATTCTGCCTAATTTCTTCAAGTCATTCTTTTCAATAAGTTTTATGATTTTGAACTAAAAATTACCTCAAAAATGTCATTTGGCAGGTGGGGGAGCTGAAGAAAATTCTAGTTTCTAATTTTGTCTTTTGCGGGAACGCTCACGGGAAATTTGCAGGAAAAATATTGAAACGGGAAAGAAGGAAAAGAAGGAAAAGAATGAAAAGAATGAAAGGAATGAAAAAGAATAAAAAAGAAATCAACAATGAATTCTTGGATAGAAAAATCGCTGCATTCTTTAACAATAGTTTTTTATGCAAGTCTTGCAATTAGTTTTGAAATGAATGTCATAAAAAACCATTAGATTCATCAGAACCATCAGAAACCAGGTTCTGTCGAGACTTTTATCCCCACTAACTTTTTGTATTTGTCAATTTCTCCATCTTAACCGGTTTCATATTTTAAAACTACAGTCTCCAATGACTTCTAAGAAGTAAATTTTGTCCTTCCAACGGTGGAAAATTCTTTTCAAATCAACTTCTGCAAGCTCTCACAGCAGAAACGAATTGATGTTTTTTCCGTTTTCCCGAAGCAAAACATCAACAGAGCCATTGCTTCAAATTGCTACTTTTGCTACTTTTGTTTTCTTGCAACAAAATTCCTGAAAGTCTTTTTGTTTGTGTCTTTGGTTGGTTTGACTGGTCGTGCCCTTCTCTGCCTTGTGACTTTCCCATAGCCGGGAAGCCGCCTCCCTTTGCTCTTCCCGAAATTGTTCCCTTTAATCTTCTTTTTTTTCGTTAGACACACCTCATTTACCTGGCTGATTTGTTTGTTGGGAAAATTTTCAATGTTTATGTTTTGTTTCGTATTTTGAAATGATCCTTGAACTAGACCCATTGCTTAAAGAATGAAATCTAAAGATAAATGAATGGCTTACCTCTGTAAGCTCTTTGTAGTTCTTTGTAGCTCTTTGACGTTCTTTGTAGATAAATGATGCCAAGATAAAGGGCTTTATTTTTCTATATAACAATTGGCACTTGGGTAATAATCCAGCCGTTTGCCAGCAACTTTTCCAAAAAAGGTGTTTGCGGTGTTTCCAAATCAACCCAGAAATCAACCCTAATTTTGGCTATGAAGCTTTGAAAAAAGAGTTTGCCGTTCTTTTTATTGCTATTAAATGATATTAACTCTTATTTTTTCACGAAAGCCTTTTAACAGTTTTTTTTATTAAGAGAAGTATCAAAAATAGCAGATCGCCGGAGAGAGGCCGATTTGCGCTCATTCGAGAGCTTGTAAAATGAGTTGTATGATTCCAATCGGAAAGTTCTTTGTAAATAAATGATGCCAAGATAAAGGGCTTTATTTTTCTATATAACACTTGGCACTTTGGTAATAATCCAGCCGTTTGCCAGCAACTTTTCCAAAAAAGGTGTCACCATAATCCTGCGCTGCCCTGTAGTTCAACGATCATTTCAAAAACAAAACAAAAACATAAACATTATCCTACCGTATTTTGTGTCTTTTCACTTTCTCGTAGCTTATCTTCACCGGTTTCGCCTCCATTTTCCGCTTTGATCGATCACTGATCGGCGATAGACTTCGAGCTATCAATACTTCTTTCTGAAATAAAATCTACAATATATAAAGGGACTAAGACCAAAGTGTCAACTTACCAAAGTGCCAAGTGTTATGTCACCATAATCCTGCTCCACCCTGTAGACCTATTGCTTAAAGAATTAAATCTAAAGATTAATGAATGGCTTACCTCTGTATGATCTGTAAAATCTAGATTCTGATCTCATCGGATCTGAGGATCTGATTCAATTCTGATCTTATCTATCTGCTTCAATTCAGATCTCTTTGGATCTGATTTAATTCTTTTATAAGACATTTTATCTTTTATAAGACAAATCCGGTTTCCGGTTTAATGTTATTTTGGAGAAGAATAATTGGCCTTTCTAATGAAAAAAAACCGTAATTCAAATGGTGAATTTGTTGGTTTTAAACGGAAGTACGAAAAGGAACGAAAAGCCTAAGATATTCTTATATTTCTGGACAGCCTAATATATTCCTATATTATTATTAGCCTAATATATTCCTATCCTATATTATATAATATATAATATATTAGCCTAAGATAATATATAATATATTAGCCTATTAGCCTACTATATTTGTTATATATTAGTTCTTGGTTAAACGAATTTAAGACTTGTTTAGCTTTTGATTGTCAGTTTTTCAAACATGTTTTTCAAAGCTGCGTATTGTGCTTTGCTTATTTCCATCACCAAAACCGCTTAGTTCCTTTAAAGCTCCTTTATAGTTCCTTTATAGTTCCTATTTAGCTCCTTTAAGGCTCCTTTAAGGCTCCTTTAAAGCTCATTTAAAGCTCCTTTAAAGCTCATTTAAAGCTCCTTTAAAGCTCCTTTATAGTTCCTGTATAGTTCCTATTTAGTTCCTTTAAAGCTCCTTTCACCGCTCAATCAAATGATTCACTTATCCACATTTAAGCGGTTTAATATCAATGATCGTTTACTTTTGTATGTTTGAGTCTAACATTGGGAATTGAAAAAAAAGGATTGTGGGTGTCTCGTGTGTGGAGGGATTGTGGGTGGTGAAATAATTGAAAACATCAAAGAGAACGAACGGCTGAACGAACGAACGGCACAAAACGACTGAATCCCATTATCACGGACCAACACGAGCAAATTATTTCGTTTTTCGTTAAGTTCTTTTCCCTCCTGACTAGAAAAAACGAATTTCTCATTGATTTCTCAGTGGTTTATCGTAAAATGTATTTGTTTTTATTGATCTCCAAAATTTTAGTCAAGGAAATCTTTCATTTAACCCAGAGGCATTTCTCTTAAAAAAATTGATTTTAATTGTTCTCAAAGAGGAATTCTTTTAGCCGATTATGAGTAGAAAAGATCTGTCAATCCTCTAAAAAAATCTGCCTTTTTTTCAAAGATTCAATCATTTTCATCATTAAACTTGTTTCTTGGCTTGAATCATTCCCAAAATTTTATTGCTTTCCCATTTTTTTGGAATTCAAACTTTTTCTTGTTTCCCAGCTCTTGCTTCCATGCTTTTTTCATTATTGCAAAGATCCAATTTTATCCTAAAACTTTATGCCCATCAAGAGTTCTCAAAACATTTTTCTCTCAAAGGAATTTTCGAAATATGAAGTTTGCGACAATCACTTGGATTCCATGGGAGAAGAGAGCAGAAAAAGGGCAGAAAAAGGGCAGAATGGGGGTAAGTGAAGGCTGAGAAAAGGGAAATGGAATAGGAAAAGGGGGGCGATGAGAGAGACATCGATCAGTTTCCCCTCTTTCGCGCCTCTTGCTTGTTGCTTCTGAAACCTCTCATTGCTTCCCATTCTCTCATTGAACCCATTCTTCATTTCCTATTCGAATCCAATTGTTCCCACTGTTGACTGGCGTCTGTGTGCTTTCTTTCTTTAAACCTCTTCTATTCTTGTCGTCTTTCCCATTCCCTAAGATCTTCTCTTTTTTCCCCATCTCTTCTCTTTCCAATCAAATCTCCTAATCCCTTGTTCTCTTCCTATTTCTTCCTTTTCGAGAATCCTCCCACATCTCCCCTTTCCACTCAATCCTTTCCCTTCAATTTCTTCTCATGTCCCTCTCCTTATTTGCTTCACTTTCTTCAACTCCTTTTCCCTCTTCCAATGACGTTCTCGAGCCCCCTAAGGCTATTCGACATTCGGCCACACTCTCTTCCAAACCACAAACACTAAAAAGGCCACTTCTTCTCAAGTTCGATCTAAACTTTACTCTAGATTTCCTTCCTTCTTTCTTTCCTTTTAAAACTGAAAATTTCTTTTGAAACTCCAAGTGCATTCTACTTGTTTATTCGACGTTTTACTTCTTTCCTGTGATCAGATTTTTCACGTGCAACAATCCAAGTTTTGCGGTCAAAGTGTCGTCGAGTCTCCCCATTTCTCTTTCTTGTCTTTTACTCAGTGTCGACAGTTTGTTGACTCATCTGTGTGTACACACAGAAGTCCCCATCACCGAGAAAAGACAGCCGAGAGATTTGAAAAACGAAAAACTGTTTTCTCGTCGAATCCACCCGATTTTTCATCAAGTATTAGGCTATCCAGAAAGTCTTTTCCATCCTTTTTGCACTTCCGTTTAAAACCAATAAATTCACCGATTAACCGATCGTTTGTTTCATTAGAAAGGCCAATTATTTTTCTGCAAAATAACATTAAAACGGGTTTAAAATGGATTTTTTTGAAAGCATAAAGTCGAATAGTCAAAAAGAGCGCTCGATGATGTGTTTTAGACACTTTAGCTAAGGAAACCTATTTTTGTGTCAATAGATAAAAGATAGAGCATAAAAAGTTAGGTTTATAGCCAAATTTTCAGAGAAATTCGTTCAGCCAATTTCTTCGTAGAAGTTTTTATAAATTTATAGATTCGTAGATGTTTGTATAGACGGAAAACACGTTTTCATTCTTGAATTTGCTTGAAGATAAACCAAAATAGACTTAAAAAGATAGAAATTCAACAATAAACATTTTTATTTAGAGTAAACCATAGGTTAATTGATGAATTTGTTATTTTTCAACAAAAGTATGAAAAGGAACAAAAAGACTTTCTGGAGCCTAATATCTTTGGGTTACAAAGTTTCTATTGGGCAAAATCTGTGAAAATCGTCCACGGAATGCTTCTAAGAAGAAAGAAATCAAAAGAAAGAATTCTTTTTACCACTTTCCGCCATTTTTTTCTTTTTCTGTTTACCACTTCTTATCTCATTTCTTCTCACAAAATTCGTCTCACAAAAAAAAAGATTAAAAACTTGTTATACTTCTTGAATTTTTTACCAAACTTTGCGCTAGATCTTTGCGGGGTACTTATAAATTCTTAATTGCTATTGATCAAGCATAGCTCAACAAAACATGGCTCCATTCTAGCCGTACTTTGCCCCTTTTCCCCCTCGGGGGTCATGTCAGTTGGCTCGGGAATTGCGCTTGAAAAACTATGAGCGGCACAAATGATCTCCATTTCTTCTTTACCTGTTCTTTGCTTTTCTTTTTTCAAGCTCTTCAAGCCAAACTCTTTTCCCTCCGTCACTCCCATAAAAAGGCTAAAGACTGACATTTCCGCCATTTTTTTTTCGCGTTCCTCCTTCGGCCCCTATGAATATTTCCCCCGAGCTTTCCCTTTCTCCTTTCCTCGCCTTTTCCTTCCTCAAATTCCTCTAATCTTACTCTTGATTTGTTGTTTTTATGTTTTGTTAGCTATATTTTATTTTTAGATCCAAAAGGGTAATCGAAAATGGTGCAGACCTATCAGAGTCCCGTTCGGATTTACAAACACCCGTTTGAGATTGTCATGGCTGTGGGTATTCAAGTTAAAACTATATTTATTTATGATTTATTAAAACTATTTTAAATTAGCAATAATCTTGTAACTTTTCCAGGCTTACGAGAAGCGTTTCCCCACTTGCCCACAGATTCCGATCTTCGTCGGTTCTGAGATTGTGTACGACTTCAAGAGTGACGATGGTGCTGTGGAGGTTTGTAGTAAAATTGTACATTAGATTTTACATAACCGAGTCAAACAGCTAGTTTCAATTCTGATTTTGGATCTCAAATCAGTTCAAGAAATTTAGGTTGTTGAACGAAAGTGCCAGCTCAATGTGGAAGCCCCTTATCTCGTCAAAAAGGTTTGTTTATAGTGTATTCCTCGCGAGTAATTCTTTCGCGAGTAAGCAATTCGTAATTCGCGTAAAAGTAATTCGCGAGTAAGCAAATTCCCTTCAAATGTAAAGATGTTCAATTTACTCGACGTGTAAAGAGGATTACTCGTAGTTAGTCGCCCAAAAAAAACGTCGATTAATCGAATAAAAATTACTCATGCGAATTTTACTCGAGTTACCCGCGAGGAACAAACTCTATTTGTGTAATCACTCACCAAAAGCTGTACTAAGGTAAGCGTTATTTTTATAGATTATCCGCTAATTATCATTTCTCTTGAGTAAGGATATTTAAAAGTTAAACGATTTGGCTACAGCTTGATAAATTTTTGCAAAACAATGTCCCATTTCCACAGTCATATGCTCATTCTTAATTGTTTAGGTAGCCGGTGTTGACTATGTCTATTTCATGCAAAAGAACAGTTTGGATCGAAGGAAGCGAACTCTGTTCATCGAGGCCACAAATATTTCTTTTTCGCAAAGGATTGTCGTCAAAGAGGACTGCAATTATTACGTAAGCGTTATTTTTATAGATCATCCGCTAATTATCATTTCCCTTGAGTAATCAACTATTTTGAGGCCAAGAACTCTAACCTTTTTGGTTTCACGTTTTTTAAAACACAGTAGCAGAGAAATTTTCAATCTTTAGTCTCAAGTTGACGTTAGTCATGCCCATTCATGGGTAAAAATAGGATTGACGACAAAAATCTTGTTCAACAAAGGGGATTAGTAGAAAAAGTAATTTTTAATCTTTAGGTACACCCGGAAAACAACGAATGGACGTGTTTCGAGCAATCGGCCTCATTGGATGTGAAACATTTCTTCGGATTCGAGAGTGCCGTCGAGAAGTTGGCCGTTAAGCAATATGCTGCGAATTTGGCAAAGGTGGGAAATTTTAATAAGCACAATTTAATCTGGCAACTAGCAAAATTCATGCTTCATGCCGAGAAAATTCATGCTCAGTTAACTTTCACTTTTTCTAAAAAATTACTACGGTACGTGTAATTTACGTGTAATATGTATGTCATGTAAAAATACGTGTAATTTTTCTAGAAGTTGCGCTCCACTTTTTGGTTTACTTGCTGATTTGTGTGCGTGCTATGTTTAAGCGTTAGATAGGCCATAAAAATAAACTGAAAAATGATTAAAATAAACCTCCCACAGCTGTTAAAAGCTATCCCATAATCGAGTAAATCTATCAAACGCTTAAACATAGCACTAATCAACAAGTAAACCAAAAAAAATGGAGTGCAACTCCTAGAAAAAAATACACGTACTTTAGTAATTTTTTAGAAATAGTGAAAGGTAACTGAACAGGGATTTTCTCGGCATGAAGGCATGAATTTTACTAGTTGACATTTAATCTAAATGATGAAGGTCTGCTTTAACACTATTCTTGTTCCAGGGCAAAGAAATCCTTGAATGCTTCATTGAAGATCTCCTCAACTCTGGTGTCACTTACATTCCACCTTTCACGGTACTTAAACATTTGGAAACAAATTTAAATTCAAAAATTCAAGTCTTGAGTTAAACTGATTACCATTTTGTTTAGGATTCTCAAGAAAACGGGCACAAAGAATCAAATGGAGACTCGATCAGTATTGGCGATAGTGCGATTGATGTTTCAAAGGAAAAGGACGAAGATGAAGGGTAAATCGTGAGAATCAACGTACTAACTAATAAAAATCGTTAATATACTGAATAAATTGATTAATGAAGTACATAACGAATATTAAAATCAACGATTTAATTGTAAATTTTAGACAAATTACCCTGCGACGTGGATCTCGTGCCGATGTCCTCAAAAAGGCCCGCTCCACCAGTATCGATGATCGTGAGTGCTTACGACTATCGCAAAAAGTCAAAGGATAACCAATTTCTTCCCCAAATGTTCTGCCCCATTTTTTTTGGTTGTTATGGAAGAAATTGTTTGACTTGAAAAAACGAAAAAGCATGGAAAACATTTGGGTTCAACAGCATGACGAGTTTTGTTTAAATAGAGATTGGATGTGATCAGTTAGAGGAATAAATAGGCAAGTTATAGTCAGTCAAATGATTCTAGTGCAGTATTTGAATGCGTTTTTGTTCGATCCCAGCATCTTTCTCACACAGTTAGATTAGTATCACATCTTGGTTGATTGGGTAGGATGGCTAAAAAGAGAAAGGCACCGAGTCAAGCTGGCTTTTTGATTCGTGACTAAATCATCTTATAGAGTCGGCCATGGGGATCTCAAATCCGTTCTTAGTTTTTGCAGAATGCTTCGAAAACGCGAGATATCTAAATTTCGGACTCTTTGAAAAGCCGCTACACGCTGCCGTAACAGCTGCTTCAGTGGTCTAGTGGATAATCTGCTAGATTACCGAACCTATTGCATTTTTTGCTCCCAAGTTCGAGTCCCACTGTCGCTAAACTTTTTTCCTTTTTGAAAAAACTTTCCCTACGTATTTGCAATAAACGAGTTGAAATTTAGGCACCGCTTTCTGTAGCTTTCAAAAATTTGGCAACAAATGTGTTAAATTAATAAGGAGAGACCTCATAAGGACCTCAAAATTCAAGGTGATTTTCTTTGCCAAATATCTTGCGTTTGTCAAGCGTTCTGGAAAAACTAAAACGAATTTGAGATCCCCATAACCGACTCTATAACATGGACTTGGTCTTGAGTCAAAAGGCCAGCTTGACTCCCTTGTCCTTTCCCTTGTAAGTATTTTAGAGTATTGTAGATAGTATATTTTAGTTAAAGCATTTCCAGAGCTATGTATCAAAGGTTCATGACCCAAACCAAGTTCTAGAAGGGGAAAGAAAGGGGATATCGAGGGGATGTAACGGTACTCGCCCGGCGGCTCCAAACCCGCTGAGAGGGTAAATAGGATGAGAGGGCAAAGGGGAGTTGTGAAAGGGAAAAGGAAAAGAAAGACCCATTCTATCCATTGACCACAACTTCATTCACTGTTAGATACTAAATAGATACGATTAGTTGAATGCACCTTGATGCCTCTTGTTATTCTCACGATGGATCCAGATAGGCCAGGGCCCTCATTTTCTATGTTAACTAAACGATATGATCGATTGGGGAAAAGGCGTAGATCAGTACGTTTTATTGTAGCTGAAGCGAAGCTTGAAGCCGAATACATTCGTCGATTCCTTGGACAACTTTCTCCACTTGAGGAGTCGAGACTCTGTGAGCTGAAATATGGTTTACAGGCGTCACACAAGGTGGGTTTTCGCTTAGGTTTTGGATGTTTTAAGTACTAGAAACTGTTTTATGACATCGTAAGCTTAAATCAAATCGTTACTTTTCAGGGAAAGCTGCCCAATGATGCGCATTTGCTTCGTTTCTTGAGAGCTCGCGACTTTGATGTGCTAAAAGCCAAAGAAATGGTTCTCAACAGTTTGTTGTGGAGGAAACAACACGGTGTGGACAAGATTTTGCAGGTGAGTGGAATAAAAAAGAAAATCGAAATGAGAATTTCATCCTAAAAGCAAATTTTAGGATTGGCAGAGACCAGCAATCATGCAACAGTTCTTTGCTGGCGCTTGGCATCACCAAGACAAGGTGAGCTTTGAAAGAAGACTTCCATTTATTGTTTAGATATTTATTTAGATTTTTACTATTAGAGATTACTTTAGATATTACTCCCATAGATATTTATGTTTTTTTAACTAACAACCTTGACTAGAATATGTAGTTCGTGATTAATGCGCTTTCTAAAGCGTGCGCTTCAAAAAGACACTGTAGCTATATAAATTTGTTTATATGCAAATTTAAACTTTTCATTTCATCATTTGCAGGTGCTATTTCCCAATATTTTGAAGTATCCGTACCTTTTCTAACATTCTTGTTAAATATTTCTTCGGATTTAGATTTAGATCCCGAGAAAATCTGCGGGATAAACTATTTACAGTCAGTATAATGACTTAGGCAAATCTTATTTATAATAAAATAATCGCAGTTTAAATAGCAGCTGTTTTTTTTGGACCAGAAGTTTATCTAAAATGAAAGTTATTCAATTGAAAAGAAAGAAGCATAGAGAAAACGAACCAGTAGTAAGACTAACTAATTTAATCATGAGGAACACACTCTAGCGTTGACCATTTGATTCAAATCCCTTTTACAGAAAGGCCGACCACTGTTTGTTTTGCGTCTCGGGGCTCTCGATATGAAGGGTCTATTACGGGCATGCGGTTTGGAAGCGATTGTCAAGTTGACCCTTTCGATTTGTGAAGAAGGATTGGAGAAAACTGCACAAGCCACGAAGAATCTTGGAGTTCCGATTAGGTTAGCAACACTTTAAATATTGGCAACACCTCAAAACGCTTTCTTTCAGCTCTTGGACTCTTGTCGTCGATCTTGAGGGTCTTTCGATGCGACATTTATGGCGTCCCGGAGTTCAATGTCTTTTGAGAATCATCGAGATCGTTGAAGCGCATTACCCGGAGACATTGGGTCAAGTGCTTGTTGTGCGAGCTCCGAGAGTGTTCCCAGTGCTATGGACACTCATTTCTCCATTCATTGATGAGAACACCAGGTGAGTAAAGCAAGTAAAAAATTTAACTTCTAATACACTAGCAAGATTTGCTCTCAAAACTCAAAATCTTGTTCAAAATCTTTACTACATCTACTTCTTGTTCACCCATTTGCGTTTCCAGAAAGAAGTTCATGATCAACAGTGGAGAGAATATGACAAGCGAGATCATGAAATACGTGGACGAGCAGTACATCCCAGATTTTCTCGGTTCGTTTACCAATTTCAACTCAAGTTCAATTTTTTTGCAGGTGGTGTTGCTCTGGTGGATTGTGGAAATGGTGGCCACGTTCCAAAGAATCTCTATCAACCAGTGGATTATGAAGCAAAAGATGAAGGAGATGTCCTATCATCGACTTACACCAAAGGGACTCTATCGAAGGGTTCACCCATTGAGGTATTCCATAAATCCAACAGGTCCGCTAAATTTGCCGCCATGGCTGACTGGCTGAGAGCCCTGTATCTTAGTCGGGAGGTCAAGGATTCATTCTCGCCGGCTAGATTATTGGTTCTTTTTCCCAAATACAGTGCTGAACAAAATTATAAAACCTTTATATTTGAAATTTATAAAAATTGAAATGTAAAAGTAGTTTAACAGAAGATATGATACTGAAACTAAGTTTTTCAGGTGTAAAAAACTTCAAATATTATTTCTACAATTACAAAAACTTCCATGTCTCCTCCTTGAAGAATTACAGATCTAAAGACAAAAAAGTGGGGAAAAAAATTTGTATTTGAGTGATACTTCTTTAGATTTATGAAAAAAAATCGCTCAACTTTGAACTTTTGCTTAATTTCAAGAATGGACTGGTCATTTTTCCTCTAAAAACTCTTGGTCCCTATAATTTTGTCCAGCACTGTATATCGGTTTTTTTCTCGCATATATTTAGGGTTTAGGGGTTGTAGTTGTGTATTGTTTGTATCACACTATAAATAAATGTATTTTCAAATTGATATTAAAGATTGGAAGCTTTGTCATATCAAACTTTTCAGGTCTGTGTTCCCGTTTCTTCATCTGGTTGTGTGCTGACCTGGGACTTCGATGTGATCAAGTCAGACTGTGAATTCTTGGTCTACCACACCAGCAAGGTGAACAATAAAAGACACTTCGGTGATTCATAAACGACATTTTTAGATTATCACCGAACCAGCTCAACCACATTCTCCAACGGTATTGCACCCAGTGGACATGATCACTGCAGCTATTGAGGTTGGTTAAAGCATATTTTAATTGTCAGTAAGCGTTACAGCTTATTTCCTATAAACTATTAGAATTTAGAAATTATCAAAATTTTAGAACGCTCCACCACCAGCCGTGTGCTCTGATCCATCACTGAGGCTTGGGCCCGATCTCACGATTGTCGAGAATCCAGTGACTTTCAATGAAGGGGACAGCATGCAAGGATCACACTATTGCTCAAAGAGTGGAACCTACATTTTACAATGGAGAATACCACAGGTAATTGGATAATTAGCTATGACTTCTTTACCAAAGATATTTCAGGTTCCAATCGAGCACAACTCGTCGTTCGATTTCTCATTGAGCGGTCCTAAGTGCAAGTTGATGTACTATCATGAAGTGCTCGATTCGGCTGATTTCAGGTAAGAAAATTTTTGGCAGCTTCAATCGCTAAAATATTGTTAGATTTTGAGAAGAATTTTGTTAGTAATTTTGCGATTTTGTTAGATTAGTCCAGAAAGTCTTTTCGTTCCTTTTCGTACTTCTGTTTAAAACCAACAATTGCACCAATTGAACTACGGTTTCTTTCATTAGAAAGTCCAATTATTTTTCTGCAAAATAACATTAAAACGGGTTTAAAATGTCTTATGTCTGGATTTTTTTGGGAGCGTGAAGTCGGGTAGTCAAAAAAGGCGATGATGATATGGTTTAGACACTTTTCGCTAAGGAAACCTATCTTGATGTCAATAGATAAAAGATAGAGCATAAAAAGTTAGGTTTATAGCCAGATTTTCAGAGAAATTGATTCAGCCAATTTCTTCGTAGAGTTCTTTATAGATTTTTACGAAAAACACGCCTCGTTCACTCTCGAAAACACATTTTCACTCTCTGAATTTGCTTGAAAGTGAACCGAAATTGACTTAAAAAGATAAGAGATTGACCAATAAACACTTTTTGCTTTGGAGTAAACCATAGGCTCATTGGTGAATTTGTTATTTTTCAACAAAAGTATGAAAAGGAACGAAAAGACTTTCTGGACAGCCTAATATGAATAATCTTCTCCATCTGGCAATGATCGTATAGCCAAGGGTTGAGCTCAAAGGAGTTCAATGTTTAAGATAAAATTGACAAATTGTAAAAGCTAACTAACATTTTTACCTAAGATTTTACATTTTTACCTTTTACCTTTTAACCTTTTACAAAAGATACGAATTTCAATCTTTCAGGGGATCAGTGGCTTCATTGGAGTCTTGTCGTTCATCGTTCTCTTCAATTGCTCCTCCACATTCGGCTCCTCCAACTCCTGCCACGAAACGAGCTGAGTAACTAAATCAAACTCTAATTTCTTAGATTTTATTTATCACTAAATGTTCCCTCAAATTTTTCCTCAAAAATACTTGAGTGCCTTCTCGCCTAAAAACGATTTCGCCCCATGACTTCCACTATCAGTCCAAAAACTTTTTTTCTCTGCTTTTTTTCCAATTACTTCCATTTTTTTTCTGCTCCTTTCAAGTGATTTTCAGCTATCATTCCCGTTGTACTGTATTCTTTAGTCAATTTTCGCTCAAATTAAAAGTACCAAAGTTTTCGGAGGATTAGATTTTCAAAATTGTTGTGACTTATGTGTTAAGTGCAATTTTGAATATTTCAAAAAATTCTTCCTTTTTCCCAAAGAGCCCGATTTTGTCTTCAAAAAAAACTATTCATTTTGTTGTTTGGCGGGTTGAAGAATATTGTGAAAATTTTTGTCTTTGTCTAAATTTTTTGAGATTTTCTTTGTGAAAGCATAATTGTGATTTTCACGAAATTGATTTGCTAGGTTTTTTTTAAAATTTGCGATTTCAAAATTGTACAAGATACTTTATTTGTAAAACGTTTGATGTAATATCGATCAAAAATTGCATCAGATCACATTAAATGAAAAGTGAGACGTGAACTTTTCACTCAACGTAGAAAAGGAAAGAGAAAATCGTCAACAAGAGAAGAAAAATGATGATATCGATCCTATTTGAGGCGGAAAACTTGCTAATTGATAAAATCGATAACAAAAATGAGTTCTAAGCATTGAAATGTTGACATAGCTTTGACAAATCAACTAGAAAGTCCACCATCTAATCGGATTTGAGATCCAAAACAAAATGAGAAAGAAGAAGAAAAAAGAAATTGTAAACTAACGATCACAGGAAGTCTGCACTTGAACTCTAGCAAATACTACCCGATTGAAAATAAGGAAAATTGAATAACCTAATGGAAAAACTTGGCTTAACCAAGCAAAACTTTCTTCATCTTCATTTGGCTGCTGTCGGGCTCATCCTCGGTATCCGACGAGCTGCTCACATAGGCTGGCGCAGTGCTTGAACAACGGGGCGAGCTGAATAAATGGACCTCATCAATTCATATGCCAAATCGCATTTTTCAAGTAATTAATCGTTCTGGTGCGTGTACAGATTATTAGTCTTGATTGTCACTTTTTATTCTTACTTTTTGTCAATAAAGAAAAACGTTTTTATAGTGTGCTTAAGAATTTGATCGGGTTCAGCCTCATTACACAGTTAATGTAATGAGGCTGATTACTAGGTCAATGCCAAGGCCAATGAGGCCAATGCCAAGTCCTTGAATCGTTAGTTTACCTCAAATTTATTGACTTTTAAATAGATCTGTATATATCTTAAGTCCAAAACGGAACAATTTCCGAAAAGGACATCCGAAACGGAGCAAACATTTTTGTTTAGCTTTTTCGGACATCCGATTCCGAACCGGACGTCCGAAACTGAACAAGAACAAGCAAGACAAATACCGTATTCTCTCTAATAGCAGTGCACCATGAGCGTCGCCTAAATTGCTCGAAATCTCGAGAACCGCTTATCAGAACCTATCGATGTGGGGTCGGAAAATGTAGCTGACGATGAGATCTAGTGGGGGATTAGAGTGTTGAGCTTCTGCGAAAACTTAGAAATTGTAAAATAGTCATCAACTCGGCTCGCCGGGGTGCACAACTATTAGAGAGAATACGGTAAATGCAAATGTAATCAAAGGCGAATCTACGAATAATATTTTCTAGTCACAATGTATTCTTGTATAAAACTTCTATGGTGTTCACCGGCTCATCCTTTAGGATAATATTAATAAATAGTATTTGTCCTTTAGGAAACAACAACCATCCTAAAGTACGAATATTATTTAATACCATAGACAAATTATAAACGAATAAATTGTGACTAGAAAATAGTATTCGTAGATTCACCTTTGATTACGTTTGCATTTATTTGTCTTGCTTTTTCTTGTTCACTTTCGGACATCCGGTTCAGAATCGAACATCCGAAACTGAACAAAAAATTTTCGTTTCGTTTCGAACGTCCTGTTCGAAACAGGACGCTTGTTTCTTTTCGAATGTATCATACCGTAAATCTTCTATTAGAGCAGCACCTCCTAAGGTTAACTTGACACTGACTAAGAGTTAAATCTTACCCAAAACCATTTGGGTAGAATACTTTGTAAAAAGTGCCTAAAATGATTTGTACTATTATTAGGTCTAATCTACAGGCGATTGCACTAAAATTTAAACGAATTAGAAATAACAAAAGTTAAAAAAGTTTTTCTTAAAAAATGATAAGGGTTTTCTACATAGATTTTCGATGATTGACCCTTCAATGGTCAGATCAGAGGAAAAAGTTAGTTTTAAATGTTTTTCGTATATTTTAGACCAAAAGGAATCATGTTAGAGCAAAAAGAATTTATTTTTTCAACAATTTGATACTCCCTTATGTGATTGTTTTGGAAATCTGAAAAATCGGCACCGAACAATAGAGCAATAGAGTCTAATAGAGGATTTACGGTATTCGGTATTGGGATGAAACAGTACTGGGATGCAGCACATGTAAAGTGGATGGTTTACTAGTATCAAGTTCTACTAGAAGAGTATCAAGTTTTACTAGACCAGTATCAAGTTCTACTAGACCAGTATCAAGCTTTACTAGATCAGTATCAAGTTCTACTAGACCAGTATCAAGTTCTACTAGACCAGTATCAAGTTCTACTAGACCAGTATCAAGTTCTACTAGACCAGTATCAAGTTCTACTAGACCAGTATCAAGCTTTACTAGACCAGTATCAAGTTCTACTAGACCAGTATCAAGTCCTCAAAGCAGTAGTTAATCTCAAAATTGTTGACTTTGATCTGTCCGATAGGATAATCTGTTCTAAAGTATTTGAATGTCAATACCAACCACAAGAATTCGAGCAGCGGTACTCGATACTTTCCACAGAAATCGACAAATTTCACATGCTCAACGCAAGCCTCGAAGTAGACACCCTGGAATTGTTTTTGTATTATCAATAGCCCAATAAGTCCAATTCCTTATTGTTAAGTGAAAACTTGAATTACAAAGCATTTGAACCAACCTTGCATTTAGGGTTGACGCACTGGTTAGCTGAATGCAAGTAGTGGACCAACTCTCTTGGCAAAATCTCCCAAAGCCGCCATTTTTCAAGCTAAATTTCACTTTTCTTCTTTATTTATTAATTAAGGTTACCTTTCTTTGCACAATTCTTCCAGCCAATTCTTTAAGCTTTGGTGGTTCGAGTTGAATGTTGCTGACAAACTCGGCTACCAAGGGATTTCCACGAAGGGATAATTGAGCCAAGTTCCGCAGCTTGATGATCCCAGTGGGTAAAGTCTGAATGGAAAATCAATCAACTATCAAATAAATTCGACTTACCCTAATTTTGTTATTGTGAAGTGAGAGTAGCTCAAGCTCTTGGCATTCAGCTACAGTGGATGGAAGAGATTCGAGGACGTTGTCACTTAGATTCAGATTGCAAAGTGCTTTTAGGTGGCCGATTGTGGCTGGGATCTCGATGAGCTGATTTCCACCGAGGTAGAGGACTTCTAATCTAAATGGCTTGACCTTATCAACTCTGGTACTGTTTCACTATGGGAGAACTTCATTCACACATTTCCGTGGAAGCCATGGTACAATTAGAGCCATGGTACACTGACTAAGTGCCCTGTATCTTAGTCGGGAGGTCAAGGGTTCAATCCCGAACATGGAACAATTCCACCTTCGTTTTCTCAGTCGACTCTTGACTGGCTCTTGACTGGCTCTTGGCCGTCTCTCAGCCGTCTCTTGGCCGTCTCATGGCCGTCTCATGGCCAGCTCTTGGCCGTCTCTTGGCCGTCTCATGGCCGTCTCATGGCCGGCTCTTGATTGGCTCTTGGCCGTCTCATGGCCAGCTCTCAGCCGTCTCTGAAAGTTTGCTCTGCAAGCTGAGAATGCCTTCTATTTGTAAACGAAATTTCAGAACAATCGGACGACGGAAAACGAAGGTGGAATTAGGTTCAGGTTGGAGTTTTCTCATTACTAGTGGGCTGTGTCGTACAAAGCTACAAAGTACAACTCTAGCTTCACTCACTGAGTCAACGTGCCGATTCCAAACGGTAGCTCGGAAATATGATTTCCGCCAAGATAGAGCTGTCTCAACTTCAACATCTCCAGGCAAACAGTCGGGAAAACGGTTAAATGATTCCCAGCCACATTGAAAACTTCTATATTCGTTAACAAGCTCATCGAATCGGGAAACTGAACAAGAAATTTGTTTGATTTTTGAAAGCATTTGCTTACATCTTCAATCATGTTGTTTCTCGCCTCGAAAACTCTCAGCTTTCCTAGTTTTCCGATATCTTTTGGTACATCCATCAACTGATTGTTGCTCAGATCAAGGCTAAAACTTGGGGTTTATGAGAGAGAGAGAGATCTATCTCCTACCTGATGAGATTCTCAAAAATCACAATCTCATTAGCGCAGAGTAGACGATTTCGACTTAAATTGAGCACAGAGACACGGAGAGGATCGAACATGCCGGGTTTCTTCCTCAAAAGATCTTGCGGGATCTCCAAATAGCCCAGGTCTTGCAGGTTGAGCTCCATCGGTTGAGAGCTGAAAGTCGTGATGTGTTTTACTATGTTTACAGTATGCTAACGTCGATATGTTTAAATTGTGAAGGTTTTTAAAGTGTTTAAAGTTTAACTGTTTAAAGTTTTAACTTTTTAAAGCTCTTAACTATTGTATAGTATATTCCGCTTTTCATAAATTCAGCAGGCTTTTATAAAATCTTAAAAATTATGAAAATTAAACATATTTGGGACGATTTAGTGTTTTTTTGAGGCCGATTGGGCTGAAAATTTGCAAGAAAGGGTTTTCGAGGATGAGGAATTCGAATCTGTTATTAGTTTAGATCGAATCTGTGTTTAGATCGAATCTGTTATTAGTTTTTAAAGCAAACAGACTTTTTTGGATATTCCGTTTAATTACCCAAGCTTTAGAGTTTTGTAATGATCGTATTGGCTCGGAAATTAAAGTTTCTCAAAAACTAATAACGAATTCAGATTCTCTATCGCAGAATCCTGTAAACATCAGAATTCTATATTATCCCAATTCTCCGTTTACAAATTTGCAGCTCTACAACTAACATAAATAGCAGCGAAGTCGGCAGCCAAGCCAGGAAACGGCAGCCAAGCCAAAAATGGCTTTTTTTGTGAATGTGTTAAAGTGCAACTTCGGTTTATCTAATTTCATGATGCCATAGTTTTTGGTATCATGCAAAAACAAAAGAGTTCATGACGCTCAAAGTTTCTGAGGTCATTAAAGTTGCCATTGTATCTACCTTGACGGAGCTGGTTCCTCTTGAAGTTCTTCATCATCCAAAAACTCGTGCGCCATATTTTCCGCTTCAGCTGGCACTCGTCGCTCGAAAAGAGATTTTGGTGTCATGTTTCTAAATATTGTCAATAACTTTTTCTTGATCTTCTTCCAGAAGAGAATAAAGGTAAAAGTAAAGCAAGAAATTTACTATTAAGATAAAGCTATTAAGATAGAGGAGATTGTAAGTAAAAAAAGCAGTAAAAAGGTAGTAAAAAGTAGTAAAAAGACAGTAAAAATGTAGTAAAAAGACAGTAAAGACTGTAAACACAGTAAATAGTATCATTTCGTATGTAGGTGCGGAACTTTTAAAATGGTTGATCAGTGTTTACGACAATCAACCCCAAAACTCTGCCATAAATAGGCAAGGTGGGGGGAAAGGGTTGGGAAATGAACTGTGGGTTGTCTGTGCGATCGACACTGACAAGAGACGCCAAATGGTTGTATCTGAAGGGAGGGAATGATGAGCGGGAAAGATGGAGAGAATGGGGAAAAGATTAGGGAATGGCAAGAGGGGAAAGAGAAGTGACAAAGTCCAAATTGTGTGACTGGGAATGGGGGAAGACTGGGGAGGGAATGCCGTGTGCTTATCACGTGAGATCTAATTGCTCTTTCTCTTTTTGGGTACAATTTGAAGAAAAACCACAGATACTACACCGGGTACAATGGCCGGAAGATGACTAAAAGAGTTTTATTTTGGATCATTGTTTTTATCGTCGGTGAAAGATGGTGGGAAATCATATGATTTGGGGGAGATTTTTTGAGACTTTTTATCGTTGATAAATTGAGCAAAAGGGCAACGATTTAAAATGGAAAAAGCGACGATTATAGCTACTGTAAATACTCTAATAGAGCGTCACCTTCTCGTACAATCGTACAATCGTCTCGTACAATCGTACAATCGTCTAACTTCTTTATAGAAAATCATTCTAGAATATCTTCTAGAAAATGACTCCAGAAAATCATTCTTTTCTCAGCGCTTAGACTTCTCCCAACTACACTTTTGGTACCAAAAAATACTAGATTTCAAGAGCTATCATTTAACATCCATGCGCACACTGTAGCTTAAACCAGCCCGGAGAACGGGGCGTTCAAAGTTAGACTACCCGACCGTACACCCATCATTGTGGCGTTTTACGGTAGGCTTACGTTCAAAGCTAGACTACGCGACTGTACACCCATCATTAGACTACTTACGGTAGGCTTGTATCGCAACTAGACACTTTCAACTCCAATCACAAGCATTGGTTGACCTAGTTAAGCCATTTCTAAACCCACCTTGCTGTTAAACTTTAGCTTATCACCAGAAATTCTTGCAACTGCAATAAAAGTGATATTTTGACCTTATCGTAGCTAAATTTCCCCCAATCAAATCCGTTTCCTGATCTCGGAGCTTATCCAGAAAAGTTTGCGGTGAAGGTAAAGATGAAAAATGAGATGAAAACGACCTCGAGAATGAAAAATGACAGCCAAGAAATGGGAAAAAATCTCACTGACATCAAATCACAGATTTCCTTGAGAAATATGCCAAAAAGGTCAATAAATTTGGGATACGGTAATGCGATGTGATTCGATAGTGAGCTAGATTGCGATAGTGAGCTAGATCAGACAGGTTTTGAGCAGAGAGAACGAATCAAAACATCTACAGTAATCCTTGAGATGAGTTTGAGGAAATGGTGGCTTTGAAGAAAAATAGCAATTGCTTTGAATGGTTTTGACCAATGAGTTTTCTAAAAGACATTTTAGAGAATTACTGTATTCAAGCTGTAAATTTTCTTTTGGTATCATTGACTAGCTGACTATGAGCCTTTAATTGCCTAAAAAGGAAACTGCCGTTTTCTAAAATAGCTGTTTTTATAGAAAATGTGTTTAAGAGGACTTACTCTGGTGGAAATTAAGTAGAAATTGGAAATTAATTAGAAATTGAGTAGAAATTGAGTAGAAATTAAGTAGAAATTAGTGGAAATTAAGCGGAAATTAGTGGAAATTGAGCTGTTTACAACTGTACACTGTTTAAAACTGTAATTAGATCTTCGAAAGCATTACTCAATGAAAAAGAGTAGTAAGAAACGGATTAGGAATTGTTATACAGTGTTCCACCAAAGCTTTGCAAAATATAAATAGACTAAAGTAGTTGCAAAAACGATTGAAAAATGTAGAGAACGTTGTAGAGAATGATTGTAGAGAAAAAGTTGTAGAGAAAAGGTTAGAAAAGTTGCAGAGAATGATTTAAAGAAGTTGTAGCAAACGATTTCGAAAAGAAGTCACACCCAGCGGGCACATGACCACAGAAAATGTAGATGACCGATTGGAAGAAAAGAATTGCATCAGACAGCAAGCAGAGAAAAGAACATTGTTCCTTTTATGGAAAAAACGAGTTGATAATTTCTCTCTTTGAAAGCTGAGCCCATTGATAGTTGGTTTTTGAAAGAATAAAATGTTTTTTCAGTATTGAATCGGCTATTGATGAGTCAATCGGCTATTGATCTGTCAATCGGCTATGGATCAGGCAATCGGCTATTGATCAGTCAATCGGCTATTGATGAGTCAATCGGCTATTGATGAGTCAATCGGCTATTGATCTGTCAATCGGCTATGGATCTGGCAATCGGCTATGGATCAGGCAATCGGCTATTGATCTGTCAATCAGCTATTGGTCAGGCAATCAGCTATTGGTCAGTCAATCGGCTATTGATCAGTCGATCGGCTATTGATCAGTCAATCGGTTCATCGTCTGATAATTGTTCAGTTCAGGGTGTGTGAGATGTTTTAACTTTAACTTTTGCAACTTAAAATTACTAAATTCTCACTAGATTGCATAATGATCGAAAAACAAGCCCATTTATCACTTATCGCAAATTTCAAATCAAAATTCACAGCAGAATCATTGATCAAAACAGTTGGAAGTTCCATTGATTATTACTCTTTACCAAGGACCAAAGAATTCCCGTAAAATACATAAACAAGCAAAAAAGTACATAGAAATCAGTGAATTTTCATAAAATTAGGAAAATTTGAAGCTGAATGAATAAAATGTTTTTAAAAGAAGCAAGAAAAAGTTCTCAATCACGATCCAGCGTGATTAGGCGCTTTTCGCGATCTTCGGCGGCTCAGCCACATCTCTGTAGATCTAAAGAAAATTGTTTATTGTTTTTAAAAGTTTAAACAATTCTTTTTCCTATCAGTAATAGAGCTTATTACTGATAGGAAATTGAGAGTAATAGAGCTTATTACAGTAATAGAGTAATAGAGCTAATTACAAGTAATAGAGCTTATTACAAGTTCTTCTAAGCAATAGGTTGGTTGCTTAGGTCGGAACGAAATTTGAAGCCTTTTCTTGTTCAAGATATACCGTAAATACTGTAATAGTACCCCACCCCCATAATGACGGTGCGGAGTGTTGCGTAGTCTAGCTTTGAACGGGTTTTTCTCGACACTGGTTTATGCTACAATGCGCGCTTAGGTATCAAAAAATAGCCCTGAATTTCAGCTATTTTTTGATACTAAAGATGCGTTTTTTGAAAGTACGGGTGCATTGAAAAAAATGAAATGATGAAATACTTGCGACTACGCGACTGTACGAGGGGGGCTAGGGTAATATTGCAGTATTTACGGTAGCTTACTAGCTCATAAAACGTTTCAACATTAACTTGCTCATCTTTCTGTTTGTTTTATTTAAATTTTCATGTTTAATCATTGTTCAAAAGCTTTCAAAAGCTTTCAAAAGTTCCAAAAGCTTTTTCAATGACTTTATGGATTTTGGAAAAAAAGCTAGTTCAATCAGACTTTAGTCAGACTGGTGCTATCGTAATTTAGCGATCAACTGAAAACGAAAAATTCTATGGCACAAGGAAAATTGAGAAAAAGAGCCGCATTTTGTTTTTTTGGATTCACTGGGATCAAAATTTTCCGTTTTCACGTGAACGAGAGAAGGGCAAAAAATCACTCCATAAAAAGGGAAAACCGTATTTTCTCTAATAGTTGTGCACCCCGGCGAGCCGAGTTGGTGACTATTTACAGCTTCCAAAGTTTTCCCAGAAGCTCAACACTCTAATCCCCCATAAGATCTCATCGTCAGCTACATTTTCGGACCCCACATCGATAGGTTCTGATAAGCGGTTCTCGAGATTTCGAGCAATTTAGGCGACGCTCAGGGTGCACTACTATTAGGGAAAATACGGTACTTAGAAACTAATCTAAAAAGTTCTTTAGGAGAATCTGGTCTTCCTGGTTTTCCTGGTAAACGTGGAGAAGATGGATTGCCTGGAGGACCCGGACGTGATGGATACCCTGAAGCCCCTGGAATCAAGGGAAAACAAGGACCTGCTGGAGCGCCTGGACAGAACGGGTACCCTGGAACCCCAGGAATGAAGGGTACGGTGAAAAAGGTCATAGTTTAAAACAAGTAAACTTCAGGAGACGGTGGTTTGCCTGGCTTAGATTTTGATAATATGATAATAGAGCTAAGCCAAGAATGAAAAGGAAAGATCAAATATAAAAGAAACAATTATTCTCGTTACAACTAATGGTTTTTGATCTTTATGGGGTTAGACAAATAGTCAGTCAGTCAGTCAGAGTCTAGTCAATCAACCAAGATTGATATCAAGAGCTCTATTTTGGTGATCGAAATTATATTTGAAGATCTTGAGTTATCTTTAAATCTTTAGTTGAAAATCTTTAGATCTTTAGTTCAAAATCCTATTTTAAAGATTTCAAAGCTCAAAATCTTATTTGAAAGCTCAAACTCTCATTTCAAAGTTTCAGCTTCAAGAACAGTAATGGCTTTTTGAAATTTTACCCAAACTAGTTTGAATAAAGCTCTATCAAGTCCTCAGTTTCACTGCTTAACAGTGAAAAATTCGAATTCAGCGTCATATCCTTCACCATTTCTCCAATTAATGATCTTAACTCAAAAAAGAAATCTGTTAGCCACACACCTCCGTTGGATTCATCACCTCATGGATGTAATTGTATCGACCCCCGGAAGCAAAATCAGCCACAGCATGGCCCTCTCCACGAAGAATCCATTTCGTTGTTAACAATCCTAAAAAAATATGAAAAATATGAAAAATTTGCGAAAATACGCATCAAACCTTCGACTCCAACTGGGCCTCGAGCGTGGATTTTACCTGTCGAGATGCCGACCTCAGCACCTGAAATTAAAGCTCAAAGCTCAAAGCTCACAATCGCTGTAATATCAAAGTCTTATTGTCTTTTGAACACAATAAGACTTTGATCAATAAGAGAGAATAAGAGTTAAACAAAACACTTTGAATACTTTAGACCATAATTATTCTAATAGAAACACCCCCACCGCCCACAGTCGCCTATTTTACAGACGTTTTACAAAGTCATCTTTTTCACAGCCCACAGATTTTTCTCAAGTATCTTTTTGGTATCAAAAAATACTAGATTAAAAGGGCTATCGTTTGACATCCAAGCGCACATTGTAGCATAAAGCAGCGCGGAGAATTAAGCGTGTAAAGTTAGACTATGTGGCAATACCCCGTCATTATGAGTGGGGGTGCTTTCATGGGGAATAATTACGTCATTATGGGAAGAATTACGTCATTATGAGAATAATTACGTCATTATGGGAATAGTTAAGGTATTACCCAATCCAAATCGATATCCATCAGCAAATCTCGTAGACGCGTTGTGGAAAGCACAGGCACTGTCGACGTGTTTCATGAAATGCTCAGCTGTCTCGTCTGAACGTTTGACGATAACGGTTTAAATTAGAGTGTGTTCCTCTAGAGTAATGCGTTTTCTAGAATGCATTTATTTGAGAAAAGTACCGTAATCAAACCGTTATTTTACATTTAATTCGTCCGATTTTGGTATCATTCAATGAGGAATTACAATGCTCAGTCAATGGTACGAAAATCGGGCTGATTGAATGTATACTAACGGTTTGGCTAAGCTACTTTTCTCAAATAGGTGCTTTTTAGAAAACGTATTACTCGAGAGGAACACACTCTAGTTTGCATTGCAGTTTGGCATTGCAGTTTGGCATTGCAACGGTTTGAATTGCAGTTTGTAATTGCAACGGTTTGCATTGAAGTTTGAAATTGCAACGGTTTGAATTGCAGTTTGTAATTGCAAGGGTTTGAATTCCAATTTGAAATTGCGACGGTTTGAATTGCAGTTTGAAATTGCAACGGTTTGAATTGCAGAAAACGATATTGTTACAAGCTTACGATTTTCTGTCACAATCGAGTCAGTGTGGCCAGATCCGTATCGAATGACGTGAGCCACCGCTTCTTCACAGTTGTCCACAATCTGAATTGGGGTGTTTTCCGATCAATTAGGGTGCGCGATCAATTAATTAATCGATTCAAGTTGGACGATTAAAATTCTAATTGGTTAATCGTCGATTAATGCACGCTTTAATGCAATTAATGCGTTTTGTAATGCAGCTATTCAGCCATTGCAGCTTGGTCAGCTATTCAGCTAAGTTAAACTAAGGTATGAAAGGCTGTGGCAAAATTTTGCGCTTATTTTTTTATATTCTATAAATTTTGTCCTATTTTGTTCTCTATTTTGCATGCAAAATTTGCAAATATTGAATTTTCCATGTTTTCACGACAAGATTAGGGTCTTGAGGTGGAGGACTGCGAGTCGTGGAGAGATGATCTCATGGCTATCGACGAGTGGCACGATGTCCTTGTTGACCAGGAAGCCTACTCCTCCGATGTTCTTGTTGGTGACTTTGTGGCCGAGTATGACCAGGTCGCCGTTCGCCTGTGTCTTCGTGTAGTCATCTTTGGCCTTTGTTTCTTGAAGGGCGATGATCCACCGAGAAACCGCGACATCGCCGTTTACAGCTGCTCCACCCCAACCTCCGCAGACGAGGAAGACGAACGAGAAGCCTTCTACGAAGACCTCGAAGCAACACTCAAGAAAGACAGGAGCTTCTACAAGTTCATGCTCGGAGAATTCAACGCGATCATCGGGGGTACTTTTTCTTGGGGACTCTTTTTAGAAAACGTATTAATCTCTAGGAACACACTCTAATCTGAATACCATTTATAGAATTTGAATTGAACTTTGAATTCCTTTGAATTGAGTCTTTAAGGCTCTTTTTAAACCTTTTGACTCACCTCAATTGTGCATTCCAATGCTCCATACTCAAAGGAGAGACTCTCGGCGGCGGGTGGTCCAAACTTGAGCATTGATTGCAGCTTGGGTCCAGCGTGAAGCTTCACACCCTCATGCTAAACTCAAGCCTGGATTTACTGTATTCTTCTCGTATTCTAATAGTATGTCAATGCCCAGAGGAGCATCGTGTAGTCGTTGTTTTTTCTGGACTAAATCATTTTTTCTCGCACCTCTGAACCAATTTTCTTTTTGCAAAAAAGTCAGAACAAAATCTGTCCAGAGGTTCGTAAAATGATTTAATGCAGAAAAAACAACGACTACGCGACGCTTCTCTAGGCATTTCATACTATTCGGACGTACTTTTTTCTACCTTAAACATTCCACAAAGTTGATCAAAGAAAGGAGTGCTCATGAGATCTTTATGGATGAGAATTGTTTCGGCCGCGTTGCAAGCAGACGGATAATCGCATTTCGAGTCCCGGGCAATGTGTAAAGCCATCTAGAAATGGTTTTCAGGTTTATTTATTAGAGAAATTCACCTCCAGATCACAATCTTTGTCAATGTAGACATGGCAGATGCCCTCCGCGTGGCCAAGTACAGGAATTCCCTAAAGTTTACTGTATTTTTGCTCATCTGTGAACTATGCCTTGCTCTGTTCTTGCATTGCTCGCACAAGTTCTCCTGATCCCCTTGGAATGACAAGATCAATCAAATCCTGAAATGAATGAGCAAGCTCTATTTGAAGCAAACCCTTTAGCGAGCTCTTTAGCAAGCTCTTAAATTTACTTTAAGCTGCAGAAGATCAGCAACATCTTCTCGACTTTTCACAAGAGTCACCGCATCTCGCATATCAAAACCGTGTGTTCCTAAAAGTTTGCAATCATAATCTTTAACATCACAATCATAAAAACAACAATTTACAACAATAAGTTATTGTTTTGTTTGGCTAAACTTGTTAAATTCTGTTAAATTTAAAATTCGACTAACCCAATGCTTCTTGGACGATCGAGTGAAGCATTTTGTTCGATTCGTCAGCTTCTTTGCCTCCTTTCAGTAGCAAGGAATTTCCAGAAGCCATCGCCAAAGAAGCTACCTAAAAAGTTGTAATAACAACTTTTAACTTTTTGGAAGTTCTTCTTGAACTTTTTGTGGATTACTAGCCTGTGGAAGGCAGTCCGGACGACTCTCGAAGATAACCATCAATGATCCAATTGGGACAGTCACTTGCTCCAAGAATAAACTCTCTGATACTTTTACCTAAACACTTGAATTGATAAAAGATGATAAAAGATGAGAAAGGATAAACGTTGATAAAAGATTTGTTGCAAAAAAACCTTTCTCAAACATCTTCCGATCAGAGTCTCAGCCGAGTCAGCAATCATATGAAGTCCGTTGTGAAGATCAGTTAATTTAGCTTTCGTAAGCTTCAATCTATTCAAAAGTTGAGAATCCAAGCCTGAAAGAGCTTGATAATGTTTTGTCAATTTGTCAAAGGGGCAACTTGCAATTGCAACAACTTGCAACTGCAACAACTTGCCCACTTGCCAACTTTTTGGCCAACTTGCAGCTTACTTTTAAGCACCTTAAACTTGTCAGATCGAGAAGTATGAATAAGATTTAAATAGCTTAGAACGTCAACTTTCAAAAACTATTTGTTTCATCCAAATTTATTAACAAAAATCTATCCAAAATCAAGCTGCAAAATGGCCAAAAACTCCCCCCCCCCTCCCCCCGATAACCGTAAAGATCCAGAATTTCCTAAAGGGTAATTTGTAAATAAATAATAGGACTTTTTGATAAAACAAATCATAGATCGATTTGTTCATCATTCATTTTAAAAAGTAAGTTTTAAAAAAGCGGAAAAGACTTTCTGGCCAACCTGATACTATTAGGCTGTTCAGAAAATCTTTTCCGTTCCTTTTCGTACTTCTGTTTAAAACCAACAAATTCACCAATTGAACTACGGTTTATTGCATTAGAAAGCTCAATTACTTTTCTGCTAAATAACATTAAAACGGGTTTAAAATGTCTTATGTATGGACTTTTTTGGGAGCGTGGAGGCGGGTAGTCAAAAAGAGCGACGGCTCGATGATGCGGACACTTTAGCTTTAGAAAAGACACACTTTAGCTAAAGAAACCTATCTTGGTGTCAATAGATAAAAGATAGAGCATAAAAAGTTAGATATATAGTCAAATTTCCAGAGAAATTGATTCAGCTAATTGCTTCGTAGAGGTTTTTCTAGATTTTTGCAAAAAACACGTCTCATTCACTCTCGAATTTGCTTGAAATTGACTCAAATTGACTTGAATTGCTTGAAAATGGAGTGAAATTGATTTAAAAAGATGGAAATTGAACAATAAACACTTTTTATTTAGAGTAAACCATAGGCTAATTGGTGAATTTGTTATTTTTGAACAGAAGTAAAAGAAAGAAAAGACTTTCTGGACATTCTAATATGAATAATCTTCTCATCTGGCAATGATCGTATGGCCAAGAAGTAAAAGAACGAAAAGGCTTTCTGGAAAGCTTAATACAAACCGTTAGATTGAGCAGCTTGTAGATCTAAACGATTCGCATCAATGATGTCATTTTCTCGTGCCATCAAGAGACCAGCCAAATGACGGACCATTTGAGCTCTCTCAGCATTGGAAAGTGATTGGAGGAGACGACCAGAATCTCTGCCTAAACTTTATCGTAAATCATTTATAGAAATTGACTTACATTTAGTGGCGAGCTCTTCAATTGGTGGACCTTCATAGCGATATGTTTTGGAGAACATTGTACCAACCTAGAAATTGATTTACTTATAAGATTTCAAAAGAAATTCGGACGAGTACTGATGTTGCTATAGGAGTGCTGATGTTGCCGTTTACAGAGCTAATGTTGCCGTTTACAGAGCTGATGTTGCCGTTTTTAGAGCTGATGTTGCTGTTTACAGAGCTGATGTTATTGCTTTTAATTTTCACCAGTCTAACCTTCTTTCCTTTGACAGTATTAGTGATCGCATCTTGAGCCAATCCATTTGTGATCACCGTGGTAACCCCATGCTCCAAAGCTTTGATGCAAGATTGGACCTGAATAGGTGAACTAACTGAATACTTACTATTAGTTGCTTGCTATTCGTCGCTTGCTATTAGTTGCTGAATACCTTGCTTTCCATGCCTCCTGTTCCGAATTTGCTATTGGCTCCAAAGACAACACTAGCACTTTCTTGTGGGACAAATGTGTGAAGGAGACGAGAACCTTCCATATCTGGTGGACCTAGAATCCATAATTGATATCAATATCCAAACAATTTCTCGAAATTTCATTAAAAAAGACAAAAACCTGTGTATACTCCGTTGACATTAGATAGAATCAATAAAAGATCGGCTTCGACTTCTGAAGAGAGTTGAGCAGCAAGCGAGTCATTGTCGGAAATATGCTGAAGAGATTTTACAATAATTATTCTTGAATCATCAAACTTGAGCTAATTTTGGATCAGGAGCCACCGCATCATTTGCATTCACGATTGGGATAATGTTTAAAGCGAGTAGACTTTCAATCGTTGAAATAAGATTCTTTCTTCTTTGTGGATCGTCAATATCTGGCTTTGTCAGAAGAACCTGAACTATTTGATTATTGATATTATTAAAGGCAATATCTCTATGCTCACCTGAGCCACAGTGATTCCATATTGTTGAAAGAGTTGTTCATAAAGACTCATCAATCCAGGCATTCCAGAAGCAGCACAAGCTCGTTTGTCAGTGGTCATTCCGGCGGAACCCCTTGAGGTCAAGATTTGCGTTTAGCAAACAATTTCTCACAACACTCAAACCTTTTCAATGTCTGTCTCATGCTCATGCTCATCACGAGTTCTTGGCGCAACTTTTGTCGGCCAAACGCTACGGCTCCCGAGGTAACGATTAACATTTGACGACCAGATTGTTGTAGTTCGGAGACCTGCACTTTTTGAGTAAAGATTAATATCTTTCCTAAACCTGCTCAACAATGCTAGCCAAACGTCCAAGTGACAATCCGCATTCATCATCCCTGAAAGTGGTTTTTACAGTGTTGCTTTTTTAATTTTAACAAACCTTGTGATCACAGCACTTCCCAGTTTCACAACGATCCTTTGAGCTTTTTGAAGATCGGCTCGTGTATTGATCATAGAATGAGCTCGCTTCTTTGTACTAAAAGAAATAACTTGGGGAAATATTGGAAAACCTTTGACCTGTAGTTCCCATTTGTGTCTCCAACTGGGGTACTTCCCACCTTGTGAATCGGAGCAACTGGCTTTTGCTGGAAATGGAAATGATGAGTGATAAGTTAACGGTTCAAGTAGAATGATCTAATGATTAAGTAGAATGATCTAATGATTCAAATAGAATAATCTAATGATTCAAATAGAATGATCCAATGATTCAAATAGAATAATCTAATGATTCAAATAGAATGATCTAATGATTCAAATAGAATGATCTAATGATTTAAGTAGAATAATCTAAAGATTAATTAGATCTAATGATCTAATGATCTAATGATTCAAATAGAATGATCCAATGATTCAAATAGAATGATCTAATACTTCAAATAGAATAATCTAATGATTCAAATAGAATAATCCAATGATTTAAGTAGAATGATCTAATGATTTAAGTAGAATAATCTAAAGACTAATTAGAATGATCTAATGATTCAAATAGAATAATCTAATGATTCAAGAGTACCTCGGGAACAACCAATGATGAGGCTGATCGAGTGATATCGATTCTTTGTTTAAGGCAACACGAGGACGAGGCTCTCCTTGCCGCTTCAGCAGCCACACGACAGGAACGAAGCATTTAAAAGAGACAGAACTAAATTTAATTATTACAAGTATTACAAGTATTACAAGTATTACAAGTATTACAAGTATTACAAGCAATAAAGAATCTTTTTGAGTTTAAGAGATTAGACTACTTGACAAGAAAAAAAGCAGAGCAGAAATAGAGCAAAGCATTTAGCCATTAGCAAAACATTCCAAGTCTAAACATTTAGCCAAACTTTGCTTATAAACTATGTCAATTACGTAACGATGGTGCAAAAGTGAATGGATAATTGAACCCTGATCAAATAAAAAGAGAGTATTTGACGAAATAGAGAGAGAGTAATCAATGAGCTGGGTGATCACCTTGTCTCTTTTTGGATGATTTCCATTGTCTCTTTCTTTCAATCGCCTAAAAAGCGGCACGGTCTACCCAGTGGAAATTCACCCCATTTTCCCTTTTAGCCGATATTCCTGCTTTCCCCTCTTGCTCGAGCACGTGTCTTTTCGATGAAATGGAGAATTGCTATTGGTGTTCTTATGGTGAAATTATTAGATGTCAAATTACCAAGGCTGCCAGGGCAATGATTACATCAGAATGATTTCATAGTCATGATTGATGTTTGACAAAGATACTGTAATTGTTCTAATAAAAGACGATAATAATGATGAAGAGCTAAAAAGCTGACAGCTGACAGCTAAAATTTGCACCAAATCGCGAGTTTTCGTTTACGCGCGTGTTTACGCATCATTTTATTTCAAAGTTTTTGAGTTTTCTCAGCGATGAGTGAAGGGAATTCGAATTGTTGCTTTATTTCTATAGCTGAAACTATGGAATTTGCTTGTTATGGCAAAGTTTCAGAGAGTTTATTTGAAAACTCGAGATTTAGTGCAACTTTTTAGCTCTCAGGTGAATGGGCGGGGCTTTATTTTTACTATTCGATAACCAAATTTCATGAGGATAATTTTAAAACCAACCTCAAGTCAATCCGATTACTGGAAGTCCAGATATAGAGTAAAATAGAAAAGTTCCCAAACTCCAAGACTACTATTTGGAAGATCAACTTTTAGACAAATTTTCTCTATGTTCTTATACCCCGTATAGAAAACAAATTCTACCTTTCTATAACCAAATTTCATGAGGATCATTTTAAAATCAACCTCAAGTCAATCCGATTACTGGAAGTCGAGATATAGAGTAAAACAGAAAAGTTCCCAAACTCCGAGACTACTATTTGGAAGGTCAACTTTGAGACAAATTTTCTTGATGTTCTTATCGTTGAGTATACAAAACAAATTCTACTTTTCTATAACCAAATTTAATGAAGATTCCATTAAAATCAACCATAAGTTGATTCAGCTTCTATATTTCGAGTTATAGACCATCTAAGTGAATCGACTTTTTCGGGTAGGTAATCTAACTTTGACTCAAATTTTCTCTATGTTCTTACACTAGTGTGTACTAAGTAAATTGTACTTTTCGATAACCAAATTTCATGAGGATCATTTTAAAACCAACCTCAAGTCGATCTGATTACTGGAAGTCGAGATATAGAGTAAAATAGAAAAGTTCCCAAACTCCAAGACTACTATTTGGAAGGTCAACTTTGAGACAAATTTTCTCGATGTTCTTATCGTTGAGTATACAAAACAAATTCTACTTTTCTTTTATTAGAATAATTACGGTAGCTTCAAGAAGTAAAAACATTAACAAAACAGCAAGGAATTAAAGAAAAACTCTCAGAATTGATTCAAGCCTGATCGAAGAAAGTTTGCAAGACTTAACAGCTTGCAGAAGCTTGCACCAAGACTTAACAGCTTGCAGAAGCTTGCACCAAGACTTAACAGCTTGCAGAAGCTTGCACCAAGACTGCAAGCTACTTTTCTGCACAATTAACATGAGTAAATCATGTAGATCTAAATTAATATGACCAAAAATGAGTAAATCATCAAATTTACACAAAATCTTGCAAATTAAAGGATTAACAGAAACAAAAACAGGAATCTAGATCGAGGTATTGGTTCTGTTTGTTTAAAAATCATATCACTAGATTAGTTTAATAATAAAGTATAATAAAGCACTTTAATAAAGCAAAAGATTTACAATTCCTTAAAACTCAAAGGAAGTAGACGATAAATCAAAAGTAAGTTTCAATGATATGAAAGAATGAGAGAAAAATTCATTTTTGGGGTCAACTCCTTTCACCAAAACTAGTTCCCGCTTATCACCTTGTTTTTGCCGGTTGAATGGCGGTCGATTTGAAACAGAGCGGTCAAGAGAAAAAGGGGCAAACTGTGAAATTGACGGGAGGAACTTCTTGTTGGTCAAAGGCTCATTTTGGGGGAATGGAGGGGAGGACAGTGGAGATAAGATAGCCTTTTTTCTTTTGTCCCATTCTTGTTCATAGCCCCTCTAGGCACCTTCAGGCACGACCTCGGCTGTTGATCGCTTTGAATGGAGTCTCGTGAAATGTTTTTGCTGATGGAAATGAATGATCAAGTGTTGCGTTAAAGTAAATAGCTTTACAAGGCAAAAATTATAAATTATCACGACCAGACCCGTAGCGAGAATTTCGATTTTCGGGAAAATCGCTAGAACTTCGTCCAGAAGCGCCTAATCAATTTACAACAAAAGAAGAGAATTTAGCAAAATCTTCAGGCTACATCATGGCTACAATGAAACTTTTCTAAAATAAAATTCACTCGGAAAAATTGGCATTTTTGTGAGAAAATTTTGGCGGGTTGTAGTTTTAGACTCTTAGCCGTTATCCAGAAAATTTCTAACCATTGCCAATCAATTCTCCGCATCAATTTGCATATGACACGTGAGCTAAAAATCTGATTTAAAGCTTGTGGAACGAGCTAAAAGGGCTCAAAGTTGTGCAGAGGCACAGAAAAAGTCGTGACAACCCAACTTTGAGCCCGTCTAGCTCGTTCCACAAGCTTCAAATTCGGCTTCAGCCCACTCGGCATGTGTAAACCGATGCGGAGGATCGATTGGCAATGATTAGAAGTTTCCTGGATAACGGCTAAGGGTTTAAAACCTCAACCTCCTGAATTTCTCAACTTCTCAAAACTCCCCTCCCACAAAAATGTTGATTTTTCCCTGAGAATTTTATTTTAGAAAAGTTTCATTGTAGCCATGATGTAGCCTGAAAATTTTGCTAAACCCTCTTCTTTTGTTGTAAATTTATTGGGTGCTTTTGGACAAAGCTCTAGCGATTCTCCCGAAAACACCGAAATTCTGGGTCTAGTCGTGATAATTTACAATTTTTGCCTTGTAAAGCTATTTACTTTAACGCAACACTTGATAATTCATTTCCATCAGCAAAAACATTTCACGAGACTCCATTCAAAGCGATCAACAGCCGAGGTCGTGCCTGAAGGTGCCTAGAGGGGCTATGAACAAGAATGGGACAAAAGAAAAAAGGCTATCTTATCCCGAAAACACCGAAATTCTCGCTACGGGCCTGCCTCAGGCATCAAATAAACTGCTTAAATCAAATAACAAATCAAGTAACAAATCAAATAATCAAATAATCAAATAATTAAATAATCAAATAAACAATTGATTCATCATTAACTGATTCATTAAATCATCAATTGTTTAGTCTATCTTTAAGAATAATTTCCTCATCATATCCCAATGTTTCTTAAATCTGCCATTACCAGCTCACAATTGTTTACATCAAATTTTCAATCTTCAATCACTGAGTCATTCTTTGTGATGTCAAAATTTTAAAACACACAAAACAATACGGAAAAATCTCGAAAATAGTCGAAAGCTCTAACTCTCTTTTCTCCTTTCCTAAAGAGACAATGGTTCTTTTGCCCCGAAGCTCTGCACAAAGGGAAGAACCGTGAAGAGAAATGGGTAGAAAACCCGTCTGCCATCGCCACTCCGATCACCCACAAACCACAAACTTTTCCATCTCAAGAATCTCAAGAAGCAAGTTTTCTCTTCAACGTTTCCCCTTTCGAATCGCTCAATCGTCCATGCTTAAACGGACTTCATTCATCGCTTTATGGCTTATCACATTGATTCCGATCATCTTTGCTCAGTTTGGGTGAGTAGAATTCGCATTGGTACTTTATTTTGTTTCAAATTTAAAGCCAAAACCTTTTTAGCCAAAGCCAAAACCTTGCAATTAGTTTGAAATTTTAGCCATGATCCTCAAAGATTTCAAAGCCTTCTCAAAGGTTTCTTCAAATTGTCTGCAAATTATGCACTCACTCCGAAATGGAGATCCAACTATAACCAAGTAATTTGCTTTCAAAAGTTAATATAAATAAAGTTTAGCATTCAATTGTCTATCGTCTCGGTGATAAAACGGAATACTCAGTGAACAAGAAAATCCTCAATGATGTTTTTGAGGCGGATATGGTTTTGACTCCATATCAGATGGAGGATGTCATTGATACATTCAAAGCTAGAGTTCATGGTAAGTTTGTGCCAAGCGTTACTTATTAAAACGTATCCTAAATTGAGGATGTGATTGATATCATCCCCCAAACGAAAAATCCGAATTGAGCAAACCAGAGCTGGCAGGATCTTTCGGCCATAACTTGTTCTCCAAAAGCGGAACAGAGATCAGGATGTGATTCCGCAGCGTTTTGCTTTAATCTTTATTCCGATAATCCGGCTTTGGAGTTGAAATTGGCATTTGACTTTGCTGAGCCATTGTCTTTTTCGAGGAGTGTTATCGAAGTGAATCCACTTCTCATCCATCGTCAAGATATTCTCAAAAAATTGCTACTTTTCGACTTGAGAAGCAAGATATGGCTAATATAAACGCGTACTCCCAGATTCTCGGTGCTTAATTCATGTGGAACTCATCGTCCATTACGATTGGTTTTTCCGATTATTTCCAAATGGCGGAAAATTGTTGATTGATCGCATTGGAGATGTTTGGCAAGCTCTCGTGTTGTTTACATTGAATCGGCTTCAATAAGTTGTTCCAATTCATTATTATCGATTGCTGCCGAGCGATGCCCATGTGGTTCCTCTTCAAGAGATTCAATACCTTCTCGGAATCGAGCAAACCAGAGCTGGCAGGATCTTTCGGTCATAACTTGTTCTCCAAAAGCGGAACAGAGATCACGATGTGATTCGGCAGCGTTTTTGCCCATCTTAAAATCGTAGAGAAGAGACGCGAGCACAAAATACTTTTGATCCACCATGATCTAAAGTAAATATCAATTAAAAAGTGAAAGGTCTTACTTAGAAAAACGTAAAAATAAAGTAAATATCCAAGAGGACAAATACACAAAAAGAAAATCAAATAATCTTTCTAGATTAAAAAACTAGAAAATTTTATACCGACCGAAATTTCATTTGCATCAAGCTAGTAGTTAAAACAGCACAAAATAGAAAACGTTCAAAACAGTGCCGTCAAATTTTTCACAATCCAAAAAACCAAGCCGGTTTAACTTTTATACCAAAAGATTCTTGGCTACATGATGGGTGAAACGGTTTTTTAAAAAGTTAATATTCGGCGCTGTTTCAACAACATCCCCTAAATTCGACCTTGAGCATGACCTTGAGCTGGACGTTTTTCCAGGCCGACCCAAAAGAGTGAAGCGAAACGCAGCGGCGGATAGTGTGAAGTTGAGGTGGCCAAATAGGACAATTCCATTTGAGTTCAAAGATACCAAAGACGGTTAGTAATTTAAAAGTCAAAATTGTCAGAGAATAACATTCTAGCTAAATGGATTACTTTACTCCGAGATGGAATGGCTAAATGGACTAGGGAGACTTGTCTCCGTTTTGTGCCAAGGACCACTCAAAAAGATTATGTCACTTTCTTCAGAGGAGGAGGGTGAGAAATTTAATTGTTAAACAATAAACAACATAAACAATATTATCAAATGAACCAGCCGAAAAACCCGCTTAACGCTTCCTTTTCTAGATAATCCTAATATTTTGAGAGCTTACTCACTTACTCTAACCAATACTCTTGACTTCTGTCTGAAACTGGTCGCTATGCGGGTGCGTTTCTCTGTATGCTGATTGCTAGCCAGGGGCGGTCGCTGTGGTCGTGGCGCAGTTGGAAGCGCGCTTGTCTACGGCTCACACGATCCGGGTTCGACCCCCGTAGTGCCACTCTGTAATTCTAAAGACTGTGAAGACTTTTGTAATTGTAAATATGCACCAACCTAATAGTTGTAAAAGTTTCAAAAGTTTACCTCGTTGCGTCCAGATGAACCATTTCTAGCCAATTGCTCTTCCGAGTAGCTGATTCGAGCTAAAAGTGCTCTTTGACCGTCTCGAAGCGAAGATAATCTTCTGATAGGCGCCAACCTAAAAAAGTACAATAGAAAAAGCGAAGACAAAGTGAAAAGGAATGCAAAGAGAAACAGAGAACAGAATTGTTTTCCTCGAGCGCACAAAACTTTCTTTCGGATGACTGAAACTAGCGTAACCACATGTTAAGCTCCGCCACCTTTTTAAATTTAAATCGAGTTAACAGTCAGATTCCCCATAGCCGAGAATCCCTCGAGAGGAAAATATCGCCCGCAAAAGCTGAATACTTTGCCGATAGAGCAAACGTAATTACGGAGCAGACAGACAGACAGGCAGACAGGCGAACAGGCAGACAGATGGACAGACAGACAGATCAGACAGACAGACAGACAGACAGACAGACGGACGAAGACAGACAGGCAGACAGACAGACAGCCAGACGGACAGGCAGGCAGGCAGGCAGGCAGGCAGAGGTCTCTTCTGTAAATATAGTAGATTTCAGCTGTTATTCAAGTGTGGGAAGAACTGGTGGCAAACAATACATCTCGATTGGTTATGGTTGTGAAGGGGTAAGGTTTCGTATTCTGTAGTAACAAAATGGAAATGAAACGTTTGAAAACTTTGATTTTATTGAAAATGCTGCTTCCACAAGTTCAGATTTCCAATTCTAGGGTGGCATTGTGGCTCACGAACTGGGGCATGCAATCGGCTTCTGGCACGAGCAAAGTCGACCGGATCGAGATGAGTACATCAATCTCAACAACGACAATATCATTAAAGGAACTTATGTAAATTTGAATATCCCTTTGAATTTGAATTTGAAAGAGTTACATTACAAAAATCTAAGAATTTAGGGAAACTTTGAAAAGCGAACTGACTTGGAGAGAACCGATATCCCTTACGATTTTGGCTCAGTGATGCACTACGGTAAAAAGTCTTTAACACTAACACTTCAAAACTAGTTTAGGACCTCAAGCTTTTACTAATAACTGGAATTATGTAACAATTGAAACAAAAGATCATCGTTTTCAACACACAATTGGTCAACGAGCCGACATTTCTTTCATTGATGTCAAACATGCAAATCACCTCTACTGTAATGGTAAGAAAATAGGCAATGAATTAAAAAAAACGTGATGAATTCAGATATTTGCAAAATGAGGCTACATTGTTTGAATGGTGGATATGAAAATCCGTTGGACTGTTCGAGATGTAAGTGCCCGCCAGGGCTTGGAGGAATCCGATGTGAGAGAATCGCGACGAGTACTCGTGAGTGCTTTTTTTTGACTCAATTTGATACTGGATCTGTTATTTTATGCTAACAAGGAGAAGAGTCATTATGGGTTTTTTGAACTGTTTTTGAACTTTGACTGTTTTATCATACCCAATTTGAGCTACCCGCAAAAACTAATTGCAGTTTCAGGTCCGACAGCTCAAATTGAGTATGATGAAGCAGTCAAAGTTTTAAAAAAAAACCCATAATGACTCCATGCCTTCTTCTTGTAAGCATAGCGTTTAACCAGCTCAAAAGTAGCAAATTTTAAACATTTCATAGACTGCTACAAACTACAAACGTAAACTACAAACGTAAACTACAAACGTAAACTACAAGCCTAAACTACAAACGCTTCTAAGTTGCTTCAAATCGGATTGACACTACAAAAATGATGAGCTGTCACACTACAAATGCTTCTAACTTGCTTTAAATCTGCCGGATTTATACGATCTATAGCTCAAAAAATAGAGAATCTCAAGAGCTTTCGAATGGACTAAAGTACACCCTTCAATGCTAAAGAAATTTATAGTGATTTGTAGTCCTGACTCGAACTGGCGCGTAGTTGAAGCGATCAAGTCAGACTACAAACCACTGTAACTTTCTGTAGCATTGATACTTTTGGGTATGCTTTAGTCGATTCTAAAGCGCTTGAGATTCTCTCATTTTCTCTCTAATTCTCTAATTTGCTTTAAATCTGCCGGATTGATACGATCTATAGCTCAAAAAATAGAGAATCTCAGGAGCTTTCGAATGGACTAAAGTACACCCTTCAATGCTAAAGAAAGTTATAGTGATTTGCAGCCTGACTTGATCGCTTCAACTACACGCCAGTTCGAGTCAGGACTACAAATCACTATAAATTTCTTTAGCATTGAAGGGTGTACAATGAAGGGTCCATTCGAAACCTCTTGAGATTCTCTATTTTTTGAGCTATAAATCGTATCAATCCGGCAGATTTAAAGCAAGTTAGAAGCATTTTTAGTTCATCAGTTCATCGTATTTGTAGTTTATAATGTCCATGTCTACATTTCATGCACAAATCTTACGTTTAGCTGGTTGTGGTGGTGATCTGATCGCCACAGCTACCTGGTCGGTCTTGAACAGCGCCCGAGTTGGGAAATGTTACTGGAGATTGCTGGTAAGTCGTAAATTTGTTGATAGTTTAACTGTTTACTGAAATTTCAAGGAAACCAGCAATTTTTGTTGTATTACAGGCACCATACGGTCAGCGGGTCCGCTTTGAGATCACTGACGCTGACTATAAATGTGATTCGTCGTGCGCTGAGAACTATCTCGAAATCAAACACCAAAGAGATATGCAACAAACAGGATTCCGGTAATGTAGATTGATTTAATTGATTATAGATTAATTGATTATAGATTAATTGATATTTTCAACTTATGCTTTCAACTTTCAACTTTCAGCCAATGCTGCAACGCTGTGCCGGGTGTTATCGTTTCCGAATCAAATCAAGTCATCCTTGCCTCACTCTCAAAACAAGCTCCATCGAATTTCACTGTCAGATACATTATTGGTAAGTACTTTTGCCAGAATCGTAGTTACTTTTCTTTAAGATACTATTAAAGTACTTTTCAAAGTACTTTAAAGTTTCAAAGTACTTAAATTCCATTCAATTCCAAGTACATAAGCTTGTTTCAGAGCAAACCTACATTCCCAAAGCCACCGCTTGCAAATTGGGAAGGCCAAGGTGGTCTCAATGGATTGCTAGGACAAGAAACCGGAATCGATAACACTTTTGAGAATTATGTTGTCAAAGAGTTGCCAAATGTTCTGAGGTGAGTAACACTAGTTTTTCTTTTAGTAAAGAAAAGGAAAAATTTTTCAATTCACCAATCCAATAAAAGGGATTTTGTAGCTAGGTCCGGTTTCGAAAATCGGTGGTAAGTTAAAACAGTTCCCTAGTAAAAAAGTAAACACTTATTGATTTCAGCCGGTTGATTAAGTTGTGAAAATTTATATAAAAGTTAGTTAGCAGTAAAAGTTAGCAAAGAATAGACAGTTTAACAATATAACAACAATAAAAACAACAATAACAATAATAAAAACAACAATAACAATAATAAAAACAACAATAACAACAATAAGAACAACAATAACAACAACAATAACAACAATAACAACAATAACAACAATAAGAACAACAATAACAACAATAAGAACAATAACAACAATAAGAACAATAACAACAATAACAACAAACAAGAACAATTTTATCAATATAACAACAACATATTTATTGTGCAGTGCGTGAGAGGGTACCGATGGGGCAATGGTTATTTAGATATTAGATATATATTTATTCCGAATATAGCACAATCACTAATCTAACGACAAAATACAATAAATAGAATCAATCGTTGATTCAGTGTTACAAAGCCAAAGAAAAGCAATACAAAGTGGGCTCCGTCACACAAACGATCTTTAGAGGAAGGACAAGAGAATCAGAGATATTCAAAATCAAAGATCCAAATCAAAGATCCAAATCAAAGATCAAAATCAAAAATCAAAATCAAAGCATCAAAATCAAAGCATCAAATAATATTTCACAGAAAATAGCTACTTTTCTGCACATTTATTATTGAAACTTATCAAATCTTGTTTCAGATCAACCGGAGGTCGTGCCGATATCAGTTCCCTTTTCACCCTCGTCGACAGTCTTTTGAGAGCGGGAAGTGGAAAGAAGAAAAAATAGATTCAAAAAGAAAAGGCCAGAGCTGAGAATGGGGACATTTCTTGAGGGGAAATGGGGACTCCTCAATGAGACAATGACACCCACTCGACACCCTCATCCATTCATCTTCCTTTGTCTTTTCCAAAACAATGATTTCACTAATTATCAAGCTAACTTATTTTTGTTGTATTTAAGCGAATTATTTATTTGTACATACATTTTGTTTAGCTAATTAGCTGTTAATTTTAGCTGTTAGCTAATTGTCAGAGTTGAAATTGTGCAGTTTACTCATTTGAATGATTTGCCATCGAAATAAAGCCACCTTTAGCTTAACGATTGGGAGAATTTGATCAAAGTCTAAGCCTAAGCCTAAGCCATTTAGCCATTGAAGCCAATAAATCAAAGCCAATAAAGATTTAGATGATTTTAAATAATCTATGCAAGCGTTTCAAAAATTCGATGAAGAAACTCGATCCCTGAAATGAGTGGCGTTCGCGATGTTCTCACAAATTTCGGTGGTGTCACGGGTGTCTTTTCTTTACAATTTTCTTGTTCTCTTTTTCGTTTCTCTTTTTCGCAAAGATCTATTGTGTAATTGAATAGATTGGATCCAGTCTGCAAAGGATATGCAAATTAAAGTCTTTTCACAAAGTCACTTAGAACAAGAAAAGAAAAGTAGAACAAGAAAAGATCTCAGAGTCAGATCAAACAGAATGCCAGAACGTGATACGAATCAGAGGATTTCATCAGCTTTTATAAGTTTTCATTGCTTTCAATCAGTTCATTACTGTTTATTACTTCATTTTTTGTTTTGTTTATTACTTCAATCTGTTCATTACTGTTTGAGAATGATTTAGGATTCTGGATCACGATTCTAGATCACGATTCTGGATCACGATTCTGGATCACGATTCTGGATTCTCGATTCTAGATCACGATTCTGGATCACGATTCTGGATCACGATTCTAGATCACGATTCTGGATCACGATTCTGAATCACGATTCTAGATCTCTGCTAGATTCTATTCCCAGAAAACATTCTGTAGTTTTGACCACTTTGCTTGACCAACAAACAAAAAGACATTTGCGACTATTTAAAACGTGAAAAAAGCAGAGTGAAGAAGCGAAAAGCTACTTGGTCGGGAGGTGGCGCGAAAACCGCTTCTGGGGTGTTTCTTTTCAGATATTTGAAAAGAAAGAGAAGAGAAGGCTGAAAGTGCAGAGGAGAGAAAAGACTTCAGGGCAACAGGGAAACCATCGACCCATTCAAAGGGAGAAAAGGGGAATATCTATTCACTTTCAGTCCTTCAAAGATCTCACTATAACTGATTTTTTGAAGGCTTGTGCTCTTTGAATAGTTTTATCTCATGTTGTCCTTTCTGTTAGTAGTTTTGCTTTCAAAATCTCATTGAACAAGTTGCTTACAATGGACTTATTGTTGGTAATAACTGACAGATCCTGACTTGTTCAACTCCTGACTTGTTCAACTCCTGCCTTGTTTTGCCATCCGGTTTGTTTTGTTCAAGATTCAAGATTCAAGATTCAAGGATTCCAGATTCAAGAAGATCAAGGCTCAAGATCAAGGCTTAAGATCAAGGCTCAGGATCAAGGCTCAAGACCAAGGCTTAAGATCAAGGCTCAAGATCAAGGCTCAGGATCAAGCTTCAAGATCAAGGCTTAAGATCAAGGCTCAATATCAAGGCTCAAGATCAAGGCTCAAGATCAAGCTTCAAGATCAAGGCTCAAGATCAAGGCTTAAGATCAAGGCTCAAGATCAAGGCTCAGGATCAAGCTTCAAGATCAAGGCTTAAGATCAAGGCTTAAGATCAAGACCTTTAAAAAGTTGGAAAATCCGTTAACGTTAGTAAACTTAAAGTTCATTGAAAATGAACTTGTAAGGTCTAGCGTCTAGTCTAATCCGCCTTGGCTACTCAATTTGCTTACAATATGCTTATCGATAGTAAGAAGTGAAGCTGATTCTGATTGAATCTGATTAATCTGATTATCGAATCTGATCTACAACTCTTAAAACAGTTAAACAAAGTTTCCTGACGAATTTCAGCTGTTTAACCTTTCATTGTTTATAATCTTTCATTGAACTGCCTTCCTTAGCCCCTAATAACAAACACCTTCTCTCTCTCATTCCATCATTCCATCTCACCCCCTCAATCCATCCATTTCATTTCCCATTCAATCGCTCGATTGTTGCGAATGTTTGCTCTGTCGGTAATGCCCTTTCAAGCGACACATTACCCAGCAAACACTTTTCGAGTTCCTTTTTTCCGTTTCAGTTGTTATTTTGAAAAGTTACGGTCAAATTATTGGGTTGTCCAGTTCTGAATGCGCGTTTTTTACTATTTTGTAAATTTCTCAAGATACCAAAAACCAAGAAAAAGATATATATGAGTATTATTCGAAAGCTGAAGATCTCCTCTACATTTTGATATAAAAAGTTTCTGGATTTGTTCAGCTTTTGGGCAAATTGACTGCACAGGAGAAGAGGTGGCCAAAAAATGGAAGGGTGCCTTCGGATCAAGTTTTGGCTCCGCTCAAATTGAGTTAACCGTTTGATGTTTGGCTAATAGATATATCAATACAACTTTTTTTAAATATAACAATTTCAGAGCATCTTTACTTTTCTTTTCTTTTCTGGGCGGTTATTTTACACCATAAAACTTGAGGAATAGTTAAGCTGAAATGGGTTTTTTTTTTCGGCAACGACCTCTCCCTTTGTGCAGTCAATTTCCCTAAAAAGTTGAATGAATTCAAAAACTTTTTGATTCCAAAATGTAGAGGAGATCTTCAGCTTTTGAATGATATATAACACTCATATACATCTGTTCGATATCTTGAGAAATTGACAAAATAGTAAAAACGGGCATTCATAACTGGACAACCCAATAGTTCCTTTTTAAAATAAATGAATTGTTTTTTAAAAACAATTCTTTCATGTATGATTTATCGACAACCCTCTAGTAGCTATTCCTTTCGGTGTTTGCGATGGTTGAAGATGGGTTTACCCCTTGTTCACCCAATGTCCATCTTTCCATAGATGTCGCCCCTCTTCGTGTTGAGTCTTCACTCTAAAGCAATAGACCTGAAAGACGACACCCTCTTGGACTCCATCTTTGGACATACCCACACAGTCAGTCTGAGTCAAACCATAGACATCTAAAAAGATCTTTACTAGATGTCAAATTTAAATCCATTTCGCCAGACTACCAGTATGCTTTTTTTTCTTTTTCAATCCTCACAAGGGAAGGTCAACTGGCTGAGCCGGGCAAATGCCTATACCAGTCGACGCAGAATTTCATGCTGATTCCGAATATGTATTCTGTTTTTGCTAAATGACAATCTGTCAAGAGTTACAAGCGTCTAAAGTTTTGTTAGGACTTAGGACTTTGTTAGGACTCATTCGGATCTTAGCAGCCTCTTTTGGGGCCCAATTCGGTGTAGCCGTGGCTGGGTGGTACAGCGTTCGTTTCTAGAGCGAGATGTCACAAGTTCGATCCCCATTGGATTCTTCTTTTGCCTTTTCAAGAAGTGCTGACTATTGTTCTTTGTGTGCGCGCACAATCTGGCACGTCTGGCACAATCAATTTGGCACAATCTCCATCTGGCACGCTTTCAATATATAAGGTCATAAGGTAATGTTGATTAGTTATCAACTGTTCGTCAGGAGACCCAAATGACCACATTTTCAGAGTCCTAACAAAAATTTAGACGCTTGTAACTCCTGATAGATTGTCATTTAGCAAAAACAGAATACATATTCGGAATCAACATGAAATTCTGCGTCGACTGATATAGGCATTTGCTCGGCTCAGCCAGTTGACCATCTCTTGTCAGTTACACTTGTAAAGCTTCAATTTGCCAGCTCCTTGTTCTTGTGATTTCTGAAAATTTCCTATGCATTGTCCATGGATAAAAGCTGTGCAGATGAGCTTCCGGAAGCAATGACCTCTAGCTCTTAAAATCCTTTATCTCAATCCAAAAATCGGATGCTTCCATGCGCTTGCTCTCATCGTCAAGTGTGGTGTGAGAGACTTATTGTGATCGTGGGCTCTTCTCTCAAATCGTTGCCCCCTTTGGCCTAAAAATGTTGACCGTTCGAAATGAAATCGCACCTTTTTCGAGGGCCCAATCGGGGTTTTCCTTTTCTCTCTTTTGGTGAATCACTCTTGACGAACCCTGTTTATTTGGGCATCGGTTTTGTGCATCAGAAAAGGACCGGAATTGGGGGAAAGAGGTTCAAGAGCTATTCTCAAATCATGGCGAGAATATCTGGCAAATCTTTGGATCTCTCGGGAGAGAGGATTTTAGAGAAAAAGGGAAATGAATCGCCAGTACGATCTTGATCTGAGCAGACATCTTTTCAGTCCCTCCTTTTTCTTCCCATTCATTCAACCACAATGGCACAGATTTGCTTTATGAGATGTTTCTCATTATAGGATATTTTGAGAGCTTCACTTCAGTTGTGGTTCTACAGGAAAACCTCTTTTCTAGATAATCCTAATATATGGAGAGCTTACTCTAACCAGTTTTCTTAACTTCTGTATGAACCTGGTCACTATGCGGGTTCGTTTCTCGTATACTGATTGCTAACCATGGACGATCGTTGTGGTCGTGGCGCAGTCGGGCTTTTCTTCAGCCCTCACAAGCCGGGTTCAACTCCTAGTGGTGCCACTCAATTTCGATTCTTCAATTCTTTATTTTAACTTGCACATTTACAATATATTCTAAGATTTTCTAAAGAAGTTTTAGCTTTATTGGTCAAAATATAGCTGAGAAAATGCCTGTATAGACGGACAGACAGACAGATGAACAGACAGACAGATAAACAGACAGACAGATGAACAGACAGCTCTTTTATAAATAGTAGATGATTATTTCAGGATTACTTGTTGCATACTATTTCTCAAAATTCACTTTGTCCTTTGTTCTAAGCCTTCCACTTTGTTCTAATTGCCCTTGTATTTTGTACTTTTTCAGTGAAAAGGCTTTCCCAGTTTAGTTTGATGGTGCAATAGTCTCAAGGAAAAGAAAAACCAGTTCTTGCATAGGAAAGGAAAGGAAAAGAAAGCTCTACCTCTCAAGCACGAGATCGAAATCCGCTCACTTGACTCACTATTTCCTTTTTTGTTCAAATGCATTTTTGTTATGTTTTATTGGTATTGAATTGTCACTTTAAGCCAGCCACCAAAGCCGCCAAACTATGCCCAGAACTTTTTTTGAACGCTGAGTAATGGTGAAAGGTCACGCATCCGAGAAATCCCTTTCAGAGATCGGATCCCTTTTCTTGATTCCCGTGTACTGAAATCCTTTATTCGAGTCTTCAGTCGCGTGTATTCACTCAAACCGTATCCGATTACCTTTGATTGCTTTTCGAGCTGCTGAGAAAGTTCAAAGAGGATTTTGGAGGCTTTTCCAAAAGACTTGAGAAACTTATGATGAAATGTTAATTGATTGTTCTCAACTTTGTCTCAACTTTGTCTTAATTTGTAGTTAATAAGTGTATTTTTCAGGAAAACCTTTCAATAGTCAGTGAGTGTGGGCGACTGATGCACGATGGATCGATTCCATCGGGGCATGGTTGCCCCTCAAGGCTCCAACAGTCTTGTTTCCAGAATTATTCAGGTAAAAGTTGAGGCTAAGTGATGAATTTTAGATCTAAGATTAAGTTTTGGAGATTGTTTTGTTAAGAATTTGACTATATCAGAAGTTCAGGTAGCGCTTGGGCTCTTTGTCACAACTCAAGATATGCCGCCTCTCCCTCAGAATCATCAACTTCTTTCTTATGATTGCTCATTTGATGCAGATTGCCGATGGCAAAGTGTTGGAGGGTATGTATAGAAATCTAAAAGTCTAGAAGTCTAGAAGTCTAGAAATCTAGAAATCTAGAAATCTAGAAGTCTAGAAAGTCTAGAAATCTTTAAAGTCTAGAAATGATATTTAGAAGTGTTGATAAATGGCGGATAGCTAAAGGAGAGCCGGATAGTTTGTTGTGGTTAGCAGCTACGGGTACAATGCAATTACCACGTGAGTTTTTAGCTTACAATTAGTATTGGGTTGGTAAATTGAAAACTGCCGGCTATTGTCATCTGTGACAGTTTGAGCACTTTCTTCAGAAGAAACCCATTTTGGTGCCAATGAAAAAGTTGTAGAGAATCAAAAATCAAGCTTATATCCAAATTTTCAGAACGATTCAAAAACTGGTTTTCAAGAAATGCCAAATTTACGAATTTTCACAAAACTTGCAACAAAACTTACATTTTAAGCGAAACTATTAAGTGTATCTTTTTGGAAATTTGGCTATAAGCCTAATTCTTGATTCTCTACAACTTTTCTATTGACACCAAAATGGGTTTCTTTTGAAGAAAGTGCTCAAACTGGGCTGACAGCTGACATCTCCAGTCCTCCATTTTTGAGTCTCACACTTGTCTCACACACAAACCAAAATCCTACTACGAAAGTGGAATCCGCAAATTGCCTGTAAAATGGGCAGAAGTCATCAATAATAATGGAAATTATTTGGAATGAATTGATGGTTTTATGTTCAATAAATTTTGGTTCAAAGTCCGGCAGTTTTCAATTCACCAACTCAAGAATTTGAATATGAAGTGGCTAAGCAATGACATAAAAGGATAAAGTGATCAAAAAATCATTCCAGAAGAGCCATTTGCTCTCGTTGAACAACGAGGGCAACGAGTCGATGCTCTGATGACTGATGAGATTGCGTGTCAAGTTGGATCTGCGAATTTGATCTTCAACTACTGGGCAATTGGTTGAAATGACAAAATTTGAGGAAATAGTTTTGTTTTAGGTAACTCTGATCTGGAAATCTGTCTAACAGACACAAATGGAATCAAATTTAACTGCACTGGTTGGCTGAACTCGCCCGTGATGCCCGGAAAAGTTTCTCTGAAGATCCCAGCCATTCAGAAGCCGTTTCGGGTTAGTGAAATCTTGAAGACAAGGCTCTAAACCGATTTTAGATCCAAATTGGTCCAAATGGTCAATCCGGAATTTTGATAATCGATGATATCAAATATGATGCAGCTCCCTGTCAGCCAGAGTTACCTTTCGGAAAGAATCGACCAGAGATACCACAACCACCACTTATTTTACCGTGGACTATGCCAGTTACAAAGCTTCCACCTAGGCTGCCGACAACTAGAAGGTAAAATATTAAGCTGTTCAGAAAGTCTTTTAGTTCCTTTTCGTTCCTTTTATACTTCTGTTTAAAGCCAACAATTGCACCAATTGAACTACGGTTTGTTTCATTAGAAAGGCCAATTATTTTTCTACAAAATAACATTAAAACGGGTTTAAAATGTCTTATGTGTGGATTTTTTGAGAGCATGAAGTCGGGTAGTCAAAAAGGGTGACCGTGACGGCGACAACGGCTCGATGATCCAGTCTCGATAGCTAAGGAAACCTATCTTGATGTCAATAGATAAAAGACAGAGCATAAAAAGTTAGGTGGACTATGCCAGTTACAAAGCTTCCACCTAGGCTGCCGACAACTAGAAGGTAAAATATTAAGCTGTTCAGAAAGTCTTTTAGTTCCTTTTCGTTCCTTTTCATACTTCCGTTTAGAACCAACAAATGCACCAGTTGAACTACGGTTTATTTTATTAGAAAGGCCAATTATGATTCTGCAAAATAACATTAAAAGGGATTTTAAATGGCTTATGTCTGGATTTTTTTGGGAGAGTGAAGTTGGGTAGTCAAAAAGGGCGGCTCGATAATGGCTTTAGACACTTTTCGCTAAGGAAACCTATCTTGGTGTCAATAGATAAAAGATAGAGCACAAGAAGTTAGGTATATAGCCAAATTTTCAGAGAAATTGATTCTCCCAATTTCTTCGTAGAGGTTTTTATAGATTTTTACGAAAAACACGTTTTCATTCTCGAATTTGCTTGAAAGTAAACCCAAAGATTGACTTAAAAAGAAGGAAATTGAACAATAAACACTTTTTATTTAGAGCAAACTATAGGTTAATTGGTGAATTTGTTATTTTTGAACAGAAGTAAAACAGAACGAAAAGACTTTCTGGACAGCTTAATACAAACCGTTAGATTGAGCAGTTTGTAGATCTAAACGATTCGCAACGGATTAGTGAATTTGTTCTTTTTTTAATGTTTTTGTTATTTAATGTTATTTTGCAGAAAAATAATTGGTTTTTCTAATGAAACAAATCGTAGTTCAATTGGTGTATTTGTTGGTTTTAAACGGAAGTACGAAAAGGAAAGAAAAGACTTTCTGGACTTTCTGGACAAAGAAAAGACTTTCTGGACTACTAATATTGGGTTGAGGAGAATAAAATGGAACCGAGATCAAAGAAATTTCAAGAACTTATAGCAGAATTCGTCAAATGATACGCGTTTGATAAGTAGAAATGTTTTTTTTCAATAGAAAGATTAACTAATCCTCTACAAATTCTGAAAAGGAACGAAAAGCTTTTCTATAAAGCTTAATACAAGACTTTAAAACACTAGCAATTCTGGTTATTTAGTACAAGACCTTCAACGACAACAAAAACAACTACAACTACTACAACTACTACAACTACAACGACCACGACAACCACTACAACAACAACCACAACCACTACCGAGCCCACGACCGAGGAACCAGGTTTTACTTCAACTTTTTACACTGATAAACAAGATTTAGAAACGCTTGAGCCTGAAATTGAAGCAATCACGAATTCGCCAACGTTTGTGCTAACTTGAAACATTTTAAAGGCTTTTCAGAATGGTCACTATTCCTGGATCAACAACTGATGCACCATTCGACTTGATGATTGTCGGGAATAGGACGACTCCTTTCTTTGACAAAAGAATTGGGGTAAGAAATTGTGTTAAGAAGAGAATCGGAGTTGAAAGGATCTTTCAGGGAAATCATTATCATCTGAGTTGAACTTTTAGGTGATTCTAAATGACTCGTCAAAGTTGCTCTGTGATTTCAATGATGAATTCGCTTGTCAATGGGGAGCTGAAGCTGGAAGATGGGCTGTGATTGAACAAGGTTTAAAGATTAAAGAAGTAAAAACATTCAAAGTTAAGGGGCTATTCCGACTTTGGTGGAATCCTTGCCGCCTGGAGTGAGCGGCCCCTCATTTCCAGCAGCCTTGGTTCTTCAAGGGACAGCCATGCTAACATCGGATCCAGTTCGATGTCAGACTGGGCCTGGAAAGGTGTGAAATTTGTCAATTTTCACTTACTAACTCCCGTTTCAGCTACTCTTCCGTTATTGGTCTAATGGAGATGTCCTTCTTCAGTCATGTGCTTTGGGCTATGGCATTGATAGCACTCGAATTGAGTGCGTTGATCAGTCAACAAAAACTGGAATCGATCCCTCTCTAGCCGTTTTTGATTTCCCCAGATCTATCAAAGAGCCATTTACAGTTTGTTCTTTAACATTTCCTTTCCAACTGTATTTAGATGAACATCATTCCACAATGGCCTCGTGGTGTTCGAAATAAGTATTTGATCATTGACGAAATTGCCTATATTGGTGATTGTGCTCCACCAGCTGTCACAAAAACAACAATCGTTTTCCCACCGGGGATTATCATGCCCAAGATCACAAAGAAGGTCAATAAGGGAGGACCGTTTGGAACTTTGTCGCCAATGTAAAGCTTTGCTCAGCCTTTTTCGATTCAATTTAAGAATATTAAGTGAAACTGACAAGACAACAACCCCTCGACCAATGCCGACAAGAAGACTGCCAGTGATTTTGCCAAAGATCCCGGCTAAGTTCACTCTACCACCGACCACTTCAACTACTACTGAAATGAGCACCACTGAACCAGTTAAGCGCAAAAACAAGCCACTTTATCAACGTGTTTTAGGAAGATTATGAAGAGCCCATTGATCACACTGAAGCTCAGCCGCGAACTCGCTCGACGATCATGCCGGCAACAGTTCGATCAACGATTTATCCCACTTACACAAGGGCACCTGATAGGTAAATGGGATCATATAACATTCTTGCTTTTAATTAGTGTGTGTTCATCGCTTTCTAAAGTGTGCGGCTTCAAAAAGGCTACTGTAATTATGTTCTTTATAATTTCTTTATACGTTAATTTCTTTATACGCAAATTTCTTTAGATTTCTAGATATTTGGGACTTAGATTTAGATCCTAGATTTAGAAGGGATAAACTATTTATAGTCAGTATAATGACTTAGGTAAATCTTATTTAGAATAAAATGGTCGCAGTTTAAATCGCAGCTGTTTTTTGGGATTGTGGGACCTTTGATAGACGTCCCGCCCCTTTGCCATTGGCAATCCAACTTTGAGTTCAAATATCTTGATGTTGGGCTGTTCAATTTAAATAGTTTTTGTACCAATCGACAGAGAAAGACTTGGTGCACCCAATGATGCCAAAAAGATTTTCATTGGACAGCCCAGCACTAAGTTTATTTGAGCTCAAAGTTGGATTGCCAATGGCAAAGGGGGCGGACCTCGTATCAAATGTCCCACAATCCCAAAAAACAGCTGCGATTTAAACTGTGATCATTTTATTATAAATAAGATTTACCTAAGTCATTATACTGACTATAAATAGTTTATCCCTTCTAAAACTTCGAATAAAACAGTTTTGAAATGCCCACCTGATTGTGGGACCTTTTATAGTGCCCCACCCCCATTGCCATCGGCAATCCAACTTTGAGCTCAAATATCTTGGTGTTGGGCTGTTCAATTTAAATAGTTTTTGTACCGATTTACAAAACAAGACTTGGCGCACCCAATGATGCCAAAAATATTTATATTGGACAGCCCAGCACTAAGTTTATTTGAGCTCAAAGTTGGATTGCTAATGGCAAAGGGGACGGGCTTCGTATCAAATGTTCGATAACCGTTTTTTTAACCAGAATTGTATCTAAAATGAAACTTATTCAATTGAAAAGAAAGAGTAAAAGAAAAAGCATAGAGAAACCGAACTAATAGTAGGAAGTGCTGAGAAAAAGTTGAAGTGAAAAACGTTGACGCGCTTCTTATATAATGTGATTCAAGTGATTCAGCCGATTTAATTTGCATATGCGCAAATTCGTTTAATTGATGCCCTAATTGAGAAAAATTTTGATTAATTGAGCTTTAATCGATTAAAAATTTGTTTATGCAAATTTATTCAATTAACTATTTAAACACGAGGAACACACTCTGCTTTTGATGATCTAAGCCAGCTTAGTTTGAAATTTGAATTAAGTTAAAGTGAGTTAAAGTGAGTTAACGTTTGAATTTCAACAAACCCTCGTTTCAGGAGGACTTTCCCTTGGCGAACTACAACCATTCAAGCGGTTGTTCGACCTGATGAGTACATTCCGAATGGCCAAACTGGAAACTATTGTGCTTTACTAAACTGCAACTTTGATGGTTTAACAAGTAAATGAATAAGAAAATTGATAAATTTCAGAAAATGCTTGCAATTATCTCAATCACGGCTTAACGAAAGTCCCATGGACCTTGAGGAATCGTGGCTATGGTTTTCCGTTGACTTCATCAACCGATATTAAACCAAGTTAGAGTTTAAGCTAACAAAAAAGTGTCTTATGACTCGATTTCCCTTCACAAAGTTACTGATTCAGCTCACGCAAACGGCCAATTCGTCTCAACAGTCTTGGCTCCGGGTGACATCGCGATTCTCGAGTCTCCAAAGTTTAACGCTACAAAATCACTCAACGTTTTACTATTCCAATACTTTAGACCGACACATATGTCAACGATAAGGTTTGATAATTAAAAGTTCTTTAAATTGCTTAAATCTTAGACTTTGTCTCGGCAGTAGTTATACTGGAGTGATGAGATCAGCCACAGCTTTCACTCAATGTCCCTCAATTCTTCGATCGGTTACATCAAAAAATGCTCATAGGTGGAACACGGTTCATGTCCAGATTCCACCTGGAACTACAAATGTAAGTTGGAAAGTTAATTACCCTAAAGTCGCGAGTAGAAGTTCTGTTTGGTTTTCGCATGCAAATTGACGGCTGTCTCCGGTGCGGTGTGTCGAGGGTTCGAACCCCGCTGCAGCATAACTTTTTTGCTTTTTAAGAACAATAATAGAAGTAAATTTATTGAGGATTATAGCAATTTTATGCTGTTATTTGTTGCTCCGGGCGTGGCTCGGCGCGTCCGCCCTGCTCCTCTCCGGTGCTCAGTCTTATGGATCCCTCCCTGGCCTCTTCATCCGGCCAAAGTCCACGTCGACGGTCGAAAGAGATGCTTTCCAGCGTTTTCTTCAACACTATCGTCTGGGTGTATCCATGCACATAACAAATACCGTAAATACTGTAATAGTACCCCACCCCCATAATGACGGCGTGGAGCGTTGCGTAGTCTAGCTTTGGACGAGTGTTTCTCGACACTGGTTTATGCTACAATGCGCGCTTAGGTATCAAAAAATAACCCTGAATTTCAGCTATTTTTTGATACCAAAGACGCATTTTTTGAAAGTACGGGCGCTTTGAAAAAAATGAAATACTAAAAAACTTTTGCGACTACGCGCCTGTACAAGGTGGGTGGCGTACTATTACAGTATTTACGGTAGCAATGGTGATAGGCTGTCACCCTGTAGTATCTCGCGCTCCAAGAACAATAATAAAAGTTTATATAACAATAAAAATGTATAAAAACCCAACAAAAAGAAATTCAAAGCAATTAAAGCGAATGTAAATTAAGGCAGAACTTATACTCGAGACTTTAGGGTACTGAAAATTGACAGCATTCAAGAATGGATTAGATTGTGAATTGAAAACAAATGAAAAACAACTTTTTCAGTTCTTCTTGGTCGCTCAAAATAGTGGCCGTGCCGAGACACGAACAGCGATCGGTATTGACAATATGAGAATGGCCATTTGTGACTCTCGACATTATTCTCCTGAAGATGTTCATGATATGTTTGATCCCTATGATTTGGAGATTAATTGATAGGTGATTTCTTTGTCTTCTGTTTCTTTCCAGTTGCCATATCAAGAATCTGGTATCTCTTTCTTTCAAAAAACAAAAAACAAATTGTTGTTGTCTTTCCGTTTTCACGTGCATTTGCATTTGGTTGCAGTTAGCAACTGATCTCGTTGGTTTAATCAAAAGTTTAAACTCTGATTAAAAAAAGCTTTATGATTTTGAAGGGCTTGCAATTTATCGCTTTGATTTTGTGATCAATCGAATAAATATAAATTTCGGTATAAATTTGAGTAAAGAAACTTTCAATGAAATCGTTATACCGTAAAAATTCTAATAGATTCTAATAGATTATTTTTTTGATAGAATTCGAATAGAATAGCCCGTCTATTTTTCGAGAGGCTGGCAAAACACTTCAATAAAATTTTTTTGGAAGTCAACCAAGCTTAAAAGGGTATTCCGGTTCTCAGCGAAATCAGATTTTTGCTTCGAACGATTATAAGCCGTTCTCAGCGACTACGGCTGCTAAGGGTTTGGACAGACAAAAAAGCAAAAGCCAAATGAAAACGAGCGGGATTCGAACCCTCCAGAGTTGGCCTCTTTACCTCGACTACGGCTGCTACGGGAATCCTCGTGTTCCTCCCTTGTTCTTGCATTCAATTCGTCATCACGATTGTTAAAGAATTTCTCGTGTTCGTCGAGCTCTCGAATCATTCGGTCAAGTGGATGACTTCTGATTGGTTGATCGGTCTTCGCTCTGAAAAAGACTACATTATTAAAAAACAAAAACAATAAAAAAGTAATAAAAGATAATGAATGTCAAAAAAATACAGGTAAGCTAGGTAGATAGTTGCAAATAATAGATAAACCTAATAAAAAGCACAAATTTTCATTCAGTTGCAATACGGTAGTCAGGGCACATAAGCGAAAATGTCTGTCAATGGAAGAGAGCCCGTCTATCAGAATTTTACGTTTATTAGAGGTTTTACGGTAAGTTTATTTGCAAGGTATGATGAAAATCGAGGAATCGAGCTAATCAGGCATGGCCAGAAATCACAAAAGCAAGATTTCTCATGGTCGATCACCTACTCTCTAGAGTCTTTGTTTGCTGAACGAAATGTTTGATCTTGTGGGTCAAAAATTGAAAAGGCATATGAAAAAGTTAGAGGGGTTTGGCCGAGCCTGAAAAAGTGAACATTTCTGATTTGTTGTGATATTGAACTACCTACTCTATTTTTCATTCCTTATTCAAAAGTTTTAGACATTAACATGCTTGTTGCTTGTTAATATTGGGGTCTTGGAATGTTTATAAATGCTTGCAATAGAAGTTTACTTCTAACTGCAATAGAAGTTTACTTCTAACTGCAATAGAAGTTTACTTCTAACTGCAATAGAAGTTTACTTCTAAAAGTTTAACGTTAATCTAACAATTTTTTTGATGTCTCTTTTGATGAGAAAACAAAAAACGCTATATTTCTAAAAACTCATCAACGAGCATTCGAGGAAATCACTAATATCTGGAGATGACGCCTGAGTACTAGTACATATACTAGTACCCAGGCGTCAGTACATAGCTACAGAACTCTTGTCTTAGGTCAGATCACAACTTCAGGTAAAACCATCACTCCATCTATTCTTTATTACTCTGAACATTCAAATAGAGATCAGAAATTTTTATTGCTAGCGTTTCTTTTCTTTTCCGCTTAAATCGAAAATTTCTGTTTGTCAGAGAATTCGTGATAAACGTTATGGCTCTACATAGAAATCAGAAATATTTTTGGCTCAGCTGTTTCTTTTTCGTTTCTTTTGATTCAAAAAAACTCAGGAAATCAGAAAATTCTTGTCCTCAAAAAAGGCCGCAAATCGAAGACAAGACAAAAAAAAAGTTCACAGATAAGCGCTAGAATAAAGGGACGAATAAGGAAAGGGAAAAGGAATTGATGGTGTTTCATTGTTCTTACAGACTTGTTGAACTCGGTTTTTTTGGTCTTGGCTAAAGTTTAGATCATACTTTTTGCAATATGAAAATGAAATTTCCTTTAAAGTTTGGGTAGTTCGACGGGAGTTTGACTTATAAAGATGGCTCGAATTTTAAATTGAATCTGCAATTGAAAATTCTATAAATTCTATAAATTCTATAAATTCTATAAAGACTCCTACAAATCTACTCTAAGATTTGATATTTCTTTGCTTAGTTCCATTTGTTTGCAGATTTTACCTTCGATCTTCAATCTTTAAAATCGTTTTTAGTGAAAAATGCACAAAGAGAAGTCACCTCCAGAAAAATCCTTGGATGATTCGACGTAAGTTCTTTCAAATAAAGTAAAAAAAAATGGTAAAAACGAAGCTAAAATGGGGAGTGGGACAAATGCGACCTTTTTTTGCGCACCCGGACATTTGCGCACCTTTTTTTCCGCACCTTGCCCATTAGCGCACCTTTTTTCGCGTTTTAAAAAAGCTCTAAAAAGCTAATATTAACCAATTTCTATTCCAAAAGTTGTTTTTCTAGGTAATTTTAGGGCGTAGAATCGAAATTTTGACATAACAGAGCGTGTGGAACCAATTTGAAAGACCAATTTGAAAGACGAAACGGCTAGATCAAATTACAGAAAATTGTCGATCTTTCTCTTTGTATAACTCCGTCCGTTTGTTTCCACAAGCTCTGATATGTCAAAATTTTGATTCTACGCCCTCCAATTACCTAGAAAAACAACTTTTGCAATAGAAATTGGTTAATATTAGCTTTTTAGAGCTTTTTTAAAACGCGAAAAAAGGTGCGCTAATGGGCAAGGTGCGGAAAAAAAGGTGCGCAAATGTCCGGGTGCGCAAAAAAAAGGTCGCATTTGTCCCACTCCCGCTAAAATGTGCTTTGTGTCTTTAAGAAAACAGAAACAATTGTTATTTCTTTTGTTTCTTTTGTTTCTTTCAAAAACAATTGCTCAAAGGCTGCCTAAAGAAAAGCTGATTTGTAAAATCAATTGATGATGTTTAGCCTTTAAATCTGCCCACCTTTGCCTATTTTTTGCCTATTAAACTTTATTTTTCTTTTACAATTTATAGTTCTAAATCAAACTTAAAGATTTGAATTGATTCTATACTTACTTTCATTGTTGAGAAGGCTATACTGCACTTTCTCTGTTTGGAAAAAGCTGATTTACGCTCTACCCCTTTTGATTGCTTTTGCCAAACTCTTTTCACACCCACATAACTTTCTTTCTTCACATTTCTTTTCTTCTTTCCCTTTTTTCGAAGCACTTTGTGATTTCAAGGTAGAAATCAGAATTTTGGCGGGCGAAGCCGTAAAAATGATAACCCCAGAGAGTGAAGAATCTTTGGATTGTGTAAGCGGAACCGAAGAATAAAAAAAACTAAACACTACCCAGTTGATTCGAGTGATTTGATGATTTGACGTGTTTTGAACAAATCAAAATATGATGACAACTCAGATTTGATAGCTTTAACCAAAAACTTGATAAACTTTTGAGATTGGTTTCACCTGAGCGGATAAAAGCTGAGGCTGAAATCGAAATTCAAATTAAATTTGGTTATAGATATTCGGAAAAGAGTCACGAGAAGGAGTCGCCGGATCTTACAGCAAAGCGAGCCTCAATCTTCCAAGTGGTGAGAAATTCAGTCTTGTTTATCAACATTTTAAAGTTTAGTTCGGTTCTTCCCGGAAATCGTATAAAAAAATGAAAGACTTATGAAAAAATTCGGGTCTTTTCATTGTGAAAAGCTATCATATGCAAAACCAAAAACCAATTCGATTCTCTTAGGATTTTTCTTGAGAAGAAGGGTTAAAATAAACTCCGCCAATAAGTTCTACGACCGTGAAAACACCGGAACACAAATTATTAACACTAAATCTCATTTGAGATCATTTACAGAACAAAAGAAAAATCACTGTAGATTGGCTGACGAGTGTTCTTTGTGCGACCCCGTAATCGCTCTCTATCTGGCATACCCTGCTGATAGATAGGTGTTCCTTTTGGAAAGGTTTAAAGAGAAAGGAGCGGTGAGTGACTGATCCAGCACCGTCGTGCTGGGCGTCCCCATGCACAGATCAATTCCGTCCCGGATCCCGCGGCACTCCGACGAAAAACCCCCACAAATTCCACAACCGATGGATTGAATTGTTAAGTTTTTCAGTATTCCGAAACCGAAGAATATACATGCGAAAAATAATCGAATTGGGGTTTGGTTTTATGATAGCCTTTCACGGTGAAAAGACTTGGATTTCCGAGAAGAACCCCTAGTTCTCATGTAAAAATAATAGACCTGTGTACATGTTTTTTTTGCAGTGGCGATATGCGGGTCCACTCGATATGGTAATGGTGATTCTCGGAAGTTTTCTGGCCATCATCACTGGTCTCGGATTCCCGTTCCTCTCAATTGTCATTGGGTAAAGAATTTTCAGGAATTTTCTCATCGTTCTAACTCTTTTCATTCCAGAAATGTTTCCGAGACTTTTATCAATTTGGAAAACGCGAGATGTGAGTTTTTTTGGCAATTACTTTTCAAGTTTCAACCTTTAGTGGTACGAGATACTGGACTGGACAATGATACAGCGCTATGGAATGAAGCACGGCAAACTTTTCAGGATAATGTCATTAATGTAAGTAAAATTTCATTCAAGATACAAAGCTTGAATCGACATTTTATGCTAGAAATTGGTCTAGTAATATGTTTTCTTATTCGTCTATTTTCAGTCTTGCATCAAATACGCGGTAATCGGGGCAATCATCGCTACATCGTCTTTCGTTGAGGTTTTTAATAACAATGGTAAAATCTTAAACCTTTCATTCAGGTCACTTGCTTCTTGGTTAGCTGCGAGAATATCACAAACCGAATGAAGAGAGCTTTTTTCAAGGTGAGAAGTTAATCGTTGTTTAACTCTGAAAAATACAGGCAATTATGCGACAAGACATCGCTTGGTACGATAAAAATCACTCCGGAACTCTAGCCACAAAGCTTTTCGAGTAAGTTTTTGAAATTTATGCAATTGATGCCCTGTTTTCAGTTCAATGGAACGCGTTAAAGAGGGTTTGGGAGACAAATTGGGTTTGATGATTCAATTCACAGCTCAGGTAACTATTAAGCTGTCTAGAAAGTCTTTTCATTCCTTTTCGTACTTCTGTTTAAAACCAACAAATACACTAATTGAACTACGGTTTATTTTATTAGAAAGGCCAATTATTATTCTGCAAAATAACATTAAAACGGGTTTAAAATGTCTTATGTCTGGATTTTTTCGGGAGAGTGAAGTCGGATAGTCAAAAAGGGCGGCTCGATAATGGCTTTAGACACTTTAGCTAAAGGAACCTATCTTGGTGTCAATAGATAAAAGATAGAGCTTAAAAAGTTAGGTATATAGCCAAATTTTCAGAGAAATTGATTCAACCAATTTCTTCGTAGAGGTTTTTATAGATTTTTACGAAAAACACGTTTTCATTCTCGTATTTGCTTGAAAGTAAACCCAAAGATTGACTTAAAAAGAAGGAAATTGAACAATAAACACTTTTTATTTAGAGCAAACTATAGGTTAATTGGTGAATTTGTTATTTTTTAACAAAAGTACGAAAAGGAACGAAAAGATTTTCTGGAAAACTCGTCCAAAAAAAGAACCATTGCATCATGTCAATAACTCAAATTAAACCAATTTAAACGAGAATAAACTAAGCTGTCAAAGCTTTTCTTTGAAGTTCTTCGGCGGTCTGGGTGTGGCGATGTATTATGACTGGAAGTTGACACTGATCATGATGGCTCTCTCACCAGTGATCATTTTCTGTGGAGCGTTTATGGCTAGGGTAAGTCCTGAATGTTTCTTCGGACTAGGATTCCAACTTCTAACCTGAATTCGATAAATCTGACTATTACATTTTAGATGATGGCTTCAGCAACAGCTGAGGAGACAAAAAAATACGCTATAGCCGGACAAATAGCCGAAGAGGTAAGCCTTTTCGGGGATACTTTTAGGAACAGCTTAATAATCAAAAACTTGAATCAAATTTATGAAACAAACTACATTTAGGTACTCACCTCGATCCGCACCGTTTTCGCGTTCAACGGTCAAGAGCAAGAGGCTAAACGTTATGATGCAGCTTTGGAAGCGGGCAAATTGGATGGGTACAAGAAATCGATCTACATCGGGGCCGGTCTCTCGTCGACTTTTGTTGTCATTTTCTGCTCGTATTGTTTGGCGTTCTGGGTGGGAACAGACTACATCTATTGGAAAATGGCCACCTCGTCGAAAGTGCTCACGGTGAGCGCTTAAAAAATAGATATCAGAGAAAGTTAGCGTTGAAAAAAAACTATTAAAATGCATTATTATTTAATTTAATCCCAGGTGTTCTTCTCGGTGATGATGGGCTCGATGGCGATGGCTCAAGCCGGACAACAATTCGCCGTTTTCGGTGTGGCTCTCGGAGCAGCCGGTGTTGTGCTTCAAATCGTTGATCGGGTAGGGTTTCTTCGACTAACTTTTTAGAAATTTAATACTGTAGTGTATTTGTTAGTCAAATTAAAAATAAACTTTATTTTAGGAACCAGAAATCGATTCCTATTCAAAAGAAGGCAAGAAATTGGACCATATCAAGGGAGAAGTGAAAGTTGAGAATGTTTTTTTTAGCTATCCAACAAGAAAAGATGTCCCCATTTTGCAAGTAAGTAGAGAAACTAGATATAGATAACTAGATATAGATATAGGTAGAGTAAGTAGAGAAACTAGATATAGATATATTAGGTTGATGCAAAAGTCTTTTTCATTTTTTCGTACTTCCGTTAAAAAGTAACAAATGCCCCAATTGAACAACGGTTTATTGCATTCGAAAGGCCAATTATTTTTCTGCAAAATGACATTAAAACGAGTTTTAAATGTCTTATGTCTAGATTTTTTTGAGAGCCTGAAGTCGGGTAGTCAAAAAAGGCGACGGCTCGATGATGCATTTTAGACGCTTTAGCTAAGGAAACCAATCTTGATGTTAATAAATAAAAGATAGAGCACAAAAAGTTAGATATCTTTTCAGATTTTCAGAGAAATTGATTCAGCCAATTTCTTTATAGAGGTTTTTATAGATTTTTATGAAAAACCCGTTTTCACTCTCGAATTTGGTTGAAAGTGAACCCAAATTGACTTAAAAAGATGGGAAATTGAACAATAAACACTTTTCATTTAGAGCAAACCATAGGTTAATTGATGACTTTGTTATTTTTCAAAAGAAGTACGAAAAAAATGAAAAAGACTTTTGCATCAACCTAATAGATATAGATAAACTAGATATAGATATAGATAAACTAGATAAAAATATATTTTTAAAACACAGCAATATAATGATTTTTTTAGGGTATTTCGCTGACGTGTCGTCCCGGTGAAACGGTGGCTTTGGTTGGCTCTTCGGGTTGTGGAAAATCGACGATCGTTCAACTTTTATTGCGATACTACAATCTCGATAGTGGAAGGGTTGGTTTGATTGTTTGATTTTATGAATTATTTATGAAATTACACAGTACTGTAAATACATAGTTTTTATTTTTTAAACTTTTAGATTACAATTGACGGTGTCCCGTTGGAAGATCTGAATGTCGAGTTTACTCGAAGAGTCATTGGTGTGGTCAGTCAGGAGCCGGTTCTCTTCAACACGACCATTCTTGAGGTTTATTTCTGATAAAAATCAAATCTTTATATTAAAAAAACATCTGTTATAATATCATAAATCTATCAATGTAATGGATGACCTTTAGAATCTCCGCTACGGAAATCCCCATGCCACCGATGGAGAGATTCAAGCAGCACTCCGAAAAGCGAACGCCCTCAATTTCATTGAATCCTTCCCACAAGTATGTTAGACTTCTTATATTGGCTTAACTGTTTAATAGATTGTTTCAATGGTATTCTTATATTATAGCTGATAAGATGAATGTTATACAATCTGAGTCCTTTAGGGTCTGAACACTCTTGTCGGTGATCGAGGCGCTCAAATGTCTGGAGGACAAAAGCAGAGAATTGCCATTGCTCGAGCTCTCCTCAGAGATCCACGAATTCTTCTTTTAGACGAGGCTACATCTGCTTTAGGTAACTAATAATTATTGTATTAGGTTGACCCATAAGTCTTTAGACACTTTTTTCTGATAGCGTTTATTTTTTCTGATTTCTGATAGCGACAAATTAACCAATTGACCTAAAATTGGCCCCATTAGAAAGGCCTACTATTTTTCTACAAAATAACGTTTGAATCTTATGGAAATGTTTTATCTATGGTTTTTTATGGGGGCGTGCAGTCGGGTAGTCAAAAAAGGCGACAACCCGAAGACGCAATTTAAGCGCTTTGGTTTACAGAAACTTATCTTGATGTCAATGAATAAAAGATAGAGCGCAAAAAGTTAGTGATATAGCCAAATTTTCAGAGAAATTGATTCAGCCAATTTCTTTGTAAAGCTTTTTATCGAATTTTACGAAAAACGAGTTTTTACACTCAAATTTGCTTGGAAATGGAATGCTTGGAACAAATTGCCTTAAAAAGATAGAAAAATGAATAATAAACATTTTATATTTAGAGCCAATTGTAGGTCAATTGGTGAATTTGTCATTTATAAACGCTAGTAGAGAACAAGTGTATAAAGACTTATGAGTCAACCTAATCTAACTGTCAGAGACATAACCTGATTGCCTAAGAGTATTAGACTGATTTTTTTAGATGCCGAAAGTGAAAGCATTGTGCAGAAGGCTCTCGAGAATGCGTCTCTTGGACGAACAACGATTGTCATCGCTCATCGATTGTCGACGATCAGAAATGCCGACAAGATTATTGCTCTAAAAGGTAAACAAGTTGATCTGGTAAACTAAAAATCTACTATTAAGAATGCCATTAAGTATGAAGTATACTAGAATACTATTAAGTATTGGAACAAATGTTTACCAATAAGAAAGCTTGTTACGGTCCCAAACCACTTGCTTGTTACAGTCCCAAACCCAAAACAAACAGAAGTTGCAGTTTAGATTATTCCGTAATCTTTTGCTCTAATAGAAATTTTGATTTTATAATTCCCTACCAAGTTCTTACTCCAACAGATTATTCCAGGTGGTCGTGTGGTTGAAGTTGGCACCCATGATGAGCTCCTTGCCAGAAAGGGATTGTACCACGAACTCGTCAACGCCCAGGTGTTCGCCGATGTTGAGGATAGTCAAGAGTCAAAGGGTCAAAAGAAAGCTACGAGACAAATTTCACGACAACTCTCCCGAGGATCCCAAAAGAAACGCGGCGACTCTTTCCATTTTGAGAATGCTGATGAGCCGAAGAAAGCGATCAAGGACAATGAGACAGAAATGGAGAGATTGAAGAGAGAAATGGAAGAAGAAGGGGTGCAAGAACAGAACTTATTCAAGATCTTCAAATACGCCAAGCCTGATTGGGTGTGGCTGTTGCTGGGAACGATCGCTTGTATTATTCAAGGAGCCGTCTTTCCCGTGTTCTCCCTTGTCTTCACACAAATTATGCAGGTCTAATTAGCTTGATGAACATTAATGGTAGATAATAAATCTCGTTTTCGGTTTAGTTTTTCTTCGGTTCGGTTCAAACCAAAAATTTCAAATTTTCAAATAAAGTAAGTACCTATTTTTGGTTATGGTAATTTTTAGCTTACGATATAAAAAAGGGGCTTCTATTAGAGTTTTTACGGTAGTTTAACTGTTGAACTTGGTAAACCCATTTACGTTAAAATAAATTCTTTTGACGAAATTCCCTATTCAGGTATTTGCCGAGCCAGACCAGGCCAAGTTACGACACAATGGACACATGTGGTCGCTGAGTTTCCTCGGTTTGGCCGCCGTCCAGGGAAGTACCATGCTCATCCAGTCGACTTTCTATGGAATAGCTGCTGAACGGTAAGAATGGACTTGCTATTGGCGCATTGAAAGACTGGGAACAAGAACTTTACATCCCGACGATATCCTCAGCAACTCTATAGTCAATTATCCTCTTGAATAACAACTTAAATTTCACAGATTGACGATGAGACTCCGATCGAAAGTCTTCCGAAATGTTCTCCGTCAAGATGGCGCCTATTTCGATCACCCATCCCATGCTGCCGGCAAGATCTCCACTCGTTTAGCCACCGATGCTCCGAATGTAAAAGCAGCTGTCGACTACCGATTAGGATCCGTGTTCAATGCTGCGGTGGCTTTGTGTGCTGGCACTGCAATCGCTTTCTACTACACTTGGCAAATGGCTTTATTGAGTGAGTCAATACAATTTGAAGACTTCAAATAGCAAATTTAGTGTTCGCATTAATGCCAATTCTTGGAATCGGTGAATCGCTTCGAATTCGAATGTTTATGGAGGGCAAAACAACTGGTGATGATGTTAAAGAGGTCGAAGTTTCTGGAAAGGTTTGTTTCGAATCTTTTGTCAAAATGGTAATCATCAAATTTAGATTGCCATGGAAGCCGTTGAAAACATTCGAACCGTTCAAGCGTTGACTTTGGAGAGTCTCTTGTTCGATAAATTCTGCGACCATCTCAACGGACCACATCAAGCATCAAAAAGAAAGGCCATTATTCAGGTTGATTAATAAAAAATGACTGAAGATAATTATATTAAACAAAAAAAAATGGTTTTCAGGGTGTCGCTTTTGCTGTGGCTAACTCGTTGCTCTTTTTCATGTTCGCTGCCGAATTCCGTTTTGGCGGATGGTTGATCACAGCGGATCATGTTGGAAATCCGATTGATGTCATGAGGTAAGGAAAAATATAGACCGATTGTACAGGGAGACACAAAAGTTCCGAGTCATCTTGTTTTTCTTGTGGTCGTCAAATTCAGCTTTTAAGATAAGAAAAAATTATCGAACGCTGAATATTCTTATAAAAGCTTGTAATTATAGCAAGTTTGTGTTAAATTTAAGGTTTTGCAAGCAAAGATCAAGTCTTTTAATTGGCAATAGATCGCCAGAAGGAAGAAGAAGAAGAATCTACATGCTTGATCGCTTAAATTTCTCACCAAAACCAAAACCAAAATTCAGATAATTTACTGAAATTTCTAATTAAACGTAGTAAGAGGATCAATCCTATTTTTATTTTCCTATAAAGAATCCTATTTTTTTTTCCTAGGGCTCTGAGCGCATGGTGTACTTAAGCCAAGATAAGCTGACACTATATATATTATTCTTTCTAACACCATGTAATGAAAAGTTTTTTCTAGATCGATCCCGGCGGCTAGAAAGATTGGTTCTTTTTCCCATTATTATGGGTTTTTTCTTAACAACATTTGGGTAATAAGGGTAATTAAGAGTAAAAATTTCCTCTGTTGTGTTGTAATTCATTATTCGTGTCGAATAAATATACTTTTTAGATCCATGATGGCCATTCAATTCTCGTCAACATCACTTGGGATGGCTTCAGCTTATTTCCCTGAGTATTCAAAGGCAAAGATTGCCGCCGGATTGATCTTTAAGATGTTGGCCGAGACTCCACAAATCGACAACTTCAGCCGGGGAGGAAAAGTGACGGTAAGGAAAGGAGAAAACGCTCAAAAAAGTTTTCTGCATTTCAGCCAATCCAAGGAGCGATCACTTTCAATGGAGTCCATTTTGCTTATCCACAGCGACAAGAGATCAAAGTGTTGAACGGTTTGTTTGTGACTAAGCAAATTACAATGTTGAGCAACTACCAGGCAAATCCAAAAAGAAGCTCATTTAGCTCTACAACGCTCATTTTTAGCATAAATATTTATTTGCAATAAGTGATTTAACGTTTTTGTACGTTTAAGAAGTAAAATTGCTCGTTCATTTCAATGTAAACATTACAAACACTTTTGAAAGTGCTAGGCTGACACTTTTGAAAGCTTTAAAAGTGCTAGGCTTTCTGACGTACTTTCATAATCTTCATCTAATCATTGAAATCATTGAAAATTGAAACATTTTCAGGTTTGGACTTCAAAGTGCAACCGGGAGAGACGCTGGCTTTGGTCGGCTCATCGGGATGTGGAAAGAGTACAGTCGTGTCGCTACTCGAACGATTCTACGATCCAGCTGCCGGAGGAGTGGTTAGTGATCGGGACAGATATACAGATATATAAATTATATCCTTCCAAAAAAGTGTCCCTTCTTTGGAGACTTGTAACATTGTGTCTAGTCATCGTACAAGCATGTGTTATGGAGATTCTGAAAGCTCTTTTTTAGCTCTACAAGATACACTGTAAGACGTTTACGAATGCGAAAATTTGAAACGATTTTTAATGCGTAAAAATTTGTGTGCTTTTCAAAGCGATTTTTATCTATCGTCGACCCTTCGAATCAATTTTAAACTGTGTTTTTTGAAAAGAGCGCAAAAAATTGACCCAAAAAAGTGTTTTTCGGAATTTTGAAAGGTTCTCATTAGGCAAACAAGGCCGAAATGGAAATCCCCGCCTTTAGAAGTATTTAGTTTTGGGTTAACCACCAAATCTGTTAAACGTTTCTCAGACTGTTTTTTTTGTGTCAATTAATTGTTTTTAGTGATTTTAACACTTTGGTTAAGCTCTAGCAAGTTATACTTTTGAATCAATCTTCAAGTTTAGCATCAAAGCTTAAAGCTGCAATATCATTGAAAAGCGAAAGTAAAGAATTCATGTGGGATTTTGAAGCTTTCCAATGCGGTTAATATTATTAGATTGAACAAAAACTCTAAAAACGTTTAATTAACAAATAAAAACAGTCCGAGAAACGTCTAACGTATTTCTCGATCGTCTAACGCTGGTTAACCCAGAGTTACAAACTTCTTAAGGCGGGGATTTCCATTTCTGGCCATTATTTGTCTAGTGAGATTTTTATTAATGGCTTGGAAGATGCGCCCAAAACAACCGTTGGCACACAACTCAATCTGCAGCTTTTCATGAACAGGTTTTAAGGGCTCTCACATGGTTTATTTGACTCTTTTCTGGTTAAAAAGCTCAAAACAAATGTTTTTCAACAAAAATTATTTCAACTACATGTTTCAACTTCAATTTCAACTCTGGCTGAAAAATGAACAGGTTTTAAGAGCTCTAGATGCAACATGCAATCGGCTTCTTAAAGGAGAATTTGTCTTGGAACTGGCAAATTTCATCAGTTAATCTCAAAGTTAAAGAGTTATCCAAATGTTACTCTTAAAGCTTAAATTTATCAAAAAAAGCGAGAAAACCGATTTCAGTTTGAAAATGAACTAGAAAAAACTTGAATAATGTTGCGTGGATAGGGTTGTTTTGAGCGCAGCTTTCAAGCCTTTAATAAAAATCTCAAAAGCATCCTAAAATTTGTAGAAAGAAATTCTTCGTAGAAAATTATCGCAATTTTCATATTAAAAAGGAATTAAACCGGTTCGCAAAGCGAAAGCCAAGATATAGCCCAAAAACTGCGAAGTGATCATTTGCGGCCACCCTGTACATACAGTTATAAAAGATTGATGATTCTAAAAACACTCATTTTCAGCAAGTCGATGGAGAAGACGTTCGTGAAATGAATATCCATCATCTCCGAAAACACATAGCCCTCGTCTCTCAAGAGCCGATTCTTTTCGATCGATCGATTAAAGTTTGACCATTTACTTTTGAACTTACCAATGATTAAAGAAATAAAGCTAAAGAACACTAAGCTTTTTAGCAGCTTGAAGAACCCAAATTTTCAGGATAACATCACATATGGAATGGAATCGGTAAAAGATTCGGAAATCGTGGAAGCTGCTCAGAAAGCCAACATTCACAAGTTCATCAGTGAACTCCCAGATGGTTATAACACTCGGGTGGGCGACAAGGGAGCACAACTTTCTGGAGGTGAATAAGGAGTATTCAATTTCGACAAACACCAACAATTAAACTAAAAAGCTATAACTTTCACAGTAACAAGTATGAACTGATCTAGAAACGATTCATTCTCGATCATGAGCCCGATCATGAGCCTCTAAAGTAGAGGCAGAGTTTAATTTTTCTAAAAAAAATCTATTTTTTGGCTTTCTATGGCTTTCTATGGCTTTCTTAAAAGTTGTAAAAATTTTGAGCCAATTTGCCAGTTATGTTTTGATCTTTTAGCAGAAAAGCATTTTAGAAAAGAAATCAGAAAAATCCATTCTTGTCTAGGTTCTTTCTTCTTTTTCTTCTTTTTGTTCTTTTTGTTCTTTTGCTTCTTTTGCTTCCCTCTTGGAAGGAGAATCAGAAATTCTTCCAAAAAAAGCCATTGAAACTGGGGCAAGCCGGAAAAGAAGAGGTAGATAAGAACAGAAATCACTAGCTGTAATTCATTCCTTTCTTGAAAGTTTTTTCCTAAAAAAATATGAAAATTTAGGTCAAAAACAGCGAGTGGCCATCGCGAGAGCTCTCATCAGAAATCCGAAAATTCTCCTTCTCGATGAGGCGACGAGTGCCCTGGACACGGAAAGTGAAAAGGTAAAGAGAACTTGGATAGCATCAAATGGTCGAAAGTTATTAAAACTATTAAAGCATCGATTTTTATTTTAGCTAGTACAAGAAGCCTTGGACAAAGCATCTGAAGGACGAACGTGTATCGTGATCGCTCATCGTTTGTCGACCGTTATCAACGCCACTTGTATTCTCGTGTGCAGTGGTGGAAAAGTCGTTGAACAAGGTGAGTTGGCCGAAAAAAAATGAGATTCTTAGTTGACTAAGTGATTTCGACACGAATATCAAAATGCAGATAAAACAAAAAAAATCCAAAGAAGCCTAACGGAAGAATCAGTCTGTACACCTCTGTACCTACCGTAAATACTGTAATAGTACCCCACCCCGATAATGACGGTGCGGAGTGTTGCGTAGTCTAGCTTTGAGCGAGTTTTTCTGGACACCGGTTTATGCTACAATGCGCGCTTAGGTATCAAAAAAATAGCTGAAATTCAGGGCTATTCTTTGATACCAAAGGCGCATTTTTTGAAAGTATGGGAGCTTTGCAAAAAATGAAATAATGAAATACTTGCGACTACGCGACTGTACGAGGGCGGTGGCGTACTATTGCAGTATTTGCGGTAGGCAAACAAAGCGTTTGAGGGTTTCTCTGTCATAGTTGAGCATGATCTGATTGGATTAATCCAGATTTGACTGCCTACCTTTCATAATCTCTATACAGGGTATGCGAAAAGCTCTGGCAAAGCTTTTGTAAAAGCAGCTAGCAAATGTCTAACTTATTAACTTAAAAGTGGTAAGTGAGATTTGATTTGAATCAATTGATATAGAGATTTGAAGCCCGGAATCTTGACTACATACCGAATTACATACATTTACATACCCAACCAACATAAATACTAGTCACATGAGCTATGATTCAAAAGCTTTCTGTGGAAGTTTATGGAGAATCGAATGGTACCATTTGTAGATTGATCCGAAGTCTAAAAATATGATTTTATGATAATATGAAAAATATGATAAACCGGAAATAGTAAAATCTCCATACAAATTTTTACTATTTCCGGATTGGCGTAAATGTAGCCAAGATTTCGATGTGGAATCGAATGGTGCCATTCACAAGACGATCCGAAGTCTAGAAGTATGGTTCTAGACTTCGGATCGTCTTGTGAATGGCACCATTCGATTCTACATCGAAATCTTGTCTACATTTACAAATCTTGAAGTCAACATACATACTTATCATCCATACTTGTCAGACTTACTTGTCATACATACTTGTAGTTATGACTCAAAAGCTTTTGTTATGTAGATCTAGCCAAGACTCCGGGCTTCAAATTTCTATATAACACTTACCATTTTTGAAATAAGTTAAACATTTGCTAGCTGCTTTTACAAAAGCTTTGCCAGAGCTTTTCGCATACCCTGTATAGAGATTATGAAAGGTAGGCAGTCAAATCTGGGTTAATCCAATTAGATCATGCTCAACTATGACAGAGAAACCCTCAAACGCTTTGTTTGCCTTTTGGGACACCCTGTAGATATCAACAAACTCCTGCTCTTTATTTGGAGAACCAATCTAACAATTTTTAGGTACTCACGATGAGTTGATGGCCATGCGTGGAGCCTACTACCAGCTCTCATTAAAACAACAGAAGAAGCAGAATGTCGGCCAAGACGTCGAAACGGCTGCTTTCTAATTTCTCTCCACCGCCATCCATTGCTCATTGACACAAACGGGTTTCTTTAATAAATCATTTTTTTTATATGCAATTTTCCTGATAGAGTTGATTAATTAATTTTAAAAGCTTATCTAATTTCGTTTAAACTCAATCACTTCTTGCTGAATTTGTGCGTTTTGGATTGTTCCATTTTGCAATTTCGTTTTTCGTGCTTGTTGATCGCTATTTAAAAGCTTTAAAAGATATAAAAGATATTTAAAGTTCATGAATGCATTTACACACTTGAAAATGATTATTGAACTTTGGCTTCAAATCAATCGAGTTCAGCTACTAAAGGTGTTGGTCCCCAATGGGGAGATGAAAGCCGCCAAATGGAATGAGCTGAGAGGAGCCAGCCGTCTCTCGGAAGAGATTGTAACAAATTCACTTGTGTCTTCTCGTTGTGGAAGGACGGACCCAAGCACCTCCCTAGGCCACTCTCCTCAACGATTGATTGGAGAAAGGAGGGGAGTTGAGTCAGCCTCTCCCCTCAGAAACCCCCACTCTTTGGCATTTCGTATCCAGCAGCTGCCACACTAAAGAAACCGTGAAAGAACTCACATTTAACGATATCAAGAACCTTCATTAGTTTTATAGAAGGTAGAAAAGTGGGGAAGAAAAAGATGAGGTGTTCAAAGAAAAGAAAGCTTTGCCTAAAGGAAATGCAAGCCTTAAAAGTGAATGAATCCTAAGCCTAAGTTTAAGCCTAAGCCTAAGCAAGCTTTTAACATAAAGCTCAGCTAAATGTTAAGTGAATTCGATATTCTAATTATTGAAGCTTTATCTTTAAACTTCAAGAAAGTGTAAACTAAAAGCCAAACTCATAATTTTCATTTGGATCGATTCCAACACCACAGCTTTTAAATGATCGACGAATGACTTCTACCGAAATTGAATCCCAAACATCAGCAACCCATTTTAAGTAGATGTCCTAAGCCCAAGCCTAAGCCTAAGCCTAAGCCTAAGCCTAAGCCTAAGCCTAAGCCCAAGCCTAAGCCCAAGCCTAAGCCTAAGCCTAAGCCTAAGCCTAAGCCTAAGCCTAAGCCTAATCCTAAGCCTAAGCCTAAGCCTAAGCCTAAGCCTAATCCTAAGCCTAAGCCTAATCCTAAGCCTAAGCCCAAGCCTAAGCCTAATCCTAAGCCTAATCCCAAGCCTAAGCCTAAGCCTGAGCCTAAGCCTGAGCCTGTTCCAGGAGCCTTTGGGTTCCCATCTTTTGTGCGTTCAGGTGTTTGCAGCGAAAAGCAAATCCAATTCTCATAAAACTCAGTGCCTTAAAAGGACCATTTCATTAAAAAGACCAAAACTTTAGCTTCTCTACGTAATTTGTGGTCAATTTCGATTTGTTAGTGAATGAAAATGGGGGTGTGTGAGAAAGAGGAGGATTGTTTATTCTTAAAGTGTCCGTATGTACGTCTCGTCGGCTCATAAACTTCCACAACTCGTCCATATGCATTTCGGACCATTCTTTTCTCTCCAGTAGTTGATTCTCTTTGGACTTTGAAAAATTTAGAAAAGAGCAAATCTCCTTTCGTCTTTAAAGAAGCTACAAGTTTTAATTGTCATAATACTCATTTGTTTTGCTTTAAACTCAAATTTGCATTGATAAAGCCATGCAATTACTTTCAATAACATTGAACAAGTTTTAGTTAAGGATTCCATTGTGAAAAGTTAAAAGTTAAGGATTCCATAGTTAGAGTTATCCGTTGAAAGCACTAAGGCTGTTCGGAAAGATCGTAAAGACTTTCTGGACAGTCTAATAGATTTCCCAAAAGATAGTAAAACTTTCTCTCAATATCAAGGCTCCTGTTTGGTTTAAAACAAATCAAACTCCCAAAAAACTCTCCAATTGCTTGAAGAAACCACAGCTGCACTCGAAAAAATGCGATCCAATGTGGTAAGAGGCTGAACAGCTGGATTCCAACCAAACTTATAACCTTGTTAGACTTCAAATGTTGGTTCTTTTATTGAATTCATAAAAATTGTTGCACTCAATTTTTTCTGATACGTGTGTGACACTTTAGCCTCAACTGTTCACTTTCTTTGATCATTGTGGAGAAGAGGAGGTGACGGGTATTTTCAGCGATCCTCACCCGTCTCCTTTTCTTCTGTCAAATATCCGATTACAGTCAAAAGGGTGTTGAGTTCCTGTGTAGTTTCGAATTTGTTTGGAGTAGTTTGTTTTTTTCGATGTTAGTTCAAGATTTGGATCATGTATTATCATTGAGCAATCAACTTTTTAAGCAACTTTTGAAGCAACTTTTGAAGCAACTTTTGAATCAAACTTGTCATCTTTAACTTGAACACGAATTGCTACCATATTTCCTCTGCAATGATTTAGACTGATTCGTGAATCTTATCCATTTCGATGTGTTCACTGGCTTCAAAAAGGCTCAGAGTGCGTCCGTTGTAAAAGACAAATCCATTTGTCTTTTTGAGCAAAGGAACACTCTATAAACCCATAGAATTGTTCTTTTCTATTAACTAGATGTTTGATTGTTTGTCAAACAAATAAATCACACTAGAAGCAACAATTCTATAATTGTTATTGTCAGTTTTTTGTGTTTCCGGCATCGTTCAACTTCTGGTTTATTTTGTCATATTTTTTTGTCCAAAATCGTCCAAACCTTTTAGTTTAAGTTGGAACGTTCGTTAACGTTAGTAAAATTTTAAAGAATAAACTTGTAAGATAAAAAGAGTCAATGTTCTGTGCTTTACAAGAGGTTAAACTTAGGCTTAGGCTTAGGCTCAGGCTCAGGCTCAGGCTTAGGCTCAGGCTTAGGCTTAGGCTTAGGCTCAGGCTTAGGCTTGGACTTAGTGCGAAGGTTAGCGACTAGCGCCTAGCACTAAGTCTATTTGGGTTTGGGCTGAACCCCCTTTTCTGGATCTCAGCCGGTTCTTGGAGTTAAGGGACACCCGTTTGGCGGTGTGCTTTTGAACCCAATGGGAGTTTAGGTTTAGGCTTAGGCTTAGGTCAGCATTTACTCCACAAAATGAGCTAGTAATATACTTGTTATCAGCTCATGAGACATTCCGCTCTTCGGAAATCTACCTCTCTTGTCAATTCACTCTATTATAGATCCAAAGATTCTCATTTCAAAAGCTAGTCCCCAAGGTGAGAAGTGAGTGTCCAGTGGCAATCATCTTGGATAGGTATAAATCGTCGACTCTTGCTCTCTTTAGTGGAAGAGAAAAATTGGAGGAAGAAAAAGCTTCCGCTCCTCTTTTGAATGTCTTCTCGAGAGTCACTCTCCTTTTCTCTTCTCCCCAATCGAGCGACGGGTATTGTAAAGTGGGAGAGAGATTAGAGGGAAAGACTCCAAGATCCCCGATATTCTCAATCTTTTCCAGATCCCCATTATATTGGGTCTTTTTGAATTGTGGCTGTTAACGCTTTTTACCGCATTTTAGCACTCATTTACAGCTATAACAGTTATTTTTTCTTTATTCACTTTACTAGCTTTGAGTTTGTTTTTATAAAGCTTTCTTGCTTCCTTGCTTTCTTGCTACAACTTTCTTGCTATTAAGTAGCTCTTTACTTTTTAACCAATTAATCCAAGATAAGCTTTACTAGTTTACTAGCTTTACTAGCTTTACTAGTCAGCAAATTTGTAAATTTGTAGTTTCTGTAGGTGAGCTTCATAACTTGTAATCAAATCCCAGCTAGAAATTGATCAATTCTCAGCTGTAATCAAATCCCAGCAAGCGCTAGAAACTTTGCTTTTGAGCAAGACTAGTGCAAGACTAACTTCTTTTTTATATAACTTGCAAGTGCTAAAACTTTTCTTATTACTAGTTCTGTCAGATCTATAAGTTTTTCTACTGAAAGTGCTCGATATTTAGTTTCCTAGTGTTTTCTTAACTTTCATAAACTCAAAATCAACTTTCTTCATTTTCATATCAATAGTAAAAGGTCACTTGAGGTCACCAATCAGTCACTACAGTAGCCAGACTCGAAAGTTCTTTCTCTAAAAGAAGAGAAGAAGACGAAGTTGCCATCTCTCGGGGACATCTGGGACTCTCGACCAGCTGCGCCTCTCGCTCTCCAAAGGAATCTTTCTCCATCCACTCTCATTAATACCTTTCCTCCAATTTACCCTCCAACTCTTTTCAATCTTTTCAATCTTTTCCAAACCGGTCACCCATTTGTCTCTTTTTCTTATTCTTTTCTTTCAGGAAAGCCTTTTTCTTGCCGTGATACCAACCGGCCGTTAAGCCTTTAGACATCGAAGGGCGACGGGATTCCCGATTAGGCAACGATGAGGCTGCCTTTGTGGTGGGTGAAAAATCGAGTTTAAATAGAGCAAAATGCTGGAAACTGAATGTATTCAAGTAATGTACATTGCTAAAATAGTATTACATTACTAAAATAGTATTGCATTGCTAAAATAGTAATTTAAATAGTAAATAAGCTAAGCAAATAAGTAAATAATAAGCTAAAACATAGATTTCAATAGTTTATCCTAGTCAATACGGTTTTCGGTATCAACTTATCTAACTTTCAAAAATTACAATGATAAGTTCAATCATTTAGGCCTCTCTTGCTGGGGACGGCTCTGACATATCTAGCTGTCGAGGTCACATCGGTGAGTTGTAAACATTTTCTTTTAACTCATCAAGAAACTCATCAAGAAACTGCATCTGAAACTGAAGCTTTGAACTGTGAATTGAAGCTGAAACTGAAGCTTTGAGCTCTCAATTTTGCTCTCAAGAGCATTACCAGCTTATTCACCAATAGATCTACTCTATCTTTATTAGAAAATCGATTAAGTTTTTCCAAATCGGTACTGGCAAAACGGGGTTGGTGTCCCAGTGTCTGGGACATTCATTTATCAGAGCCGCTGTAAGGGGGAGATGGATTGGGGGAAAGGAGAGTGAGGAGAAAAGATCAATCTCCCCCTTTCCTCTTGCTCCTTCAAATCCACAGGTCTATCGACTGAAAGACTCTTGGAAAGATCCTTCTTCTGCCAATCATCAAGCCACCCTTGGTCCTCCTCTAGTTTCTCTATCTCTCTAATCAGCAACATTTAGCATCATCCCCCTTTGATCCATCAATTTTGCACGAGCAGTCTGAGGCAAGAAAAATAGAAAATAGCCTTAGCCAAAGAAAGACTAGTCAAAGAAAAACTAGTCAAAGAATGGTGCAAGGGAATTCGTGGATAGAAGGGAGAAAAGATCGAGATCAATCGGTCTAAATCAGCCCAAACCAAATCAAACCAAATCCAAATCAGCCCAAAACTGAGTTTTGAAATAAACGTGAAAAATAAAAGCTAAATTACAGCAGCAACAATGCAGAGATTGCACGAATCGAGGATGTTTTTGCGTCGGTGACAAAGGATCGATGGTTGGTTTTGAGCAGAACTTGAATACTTTTGCAAAAGTTGTTAAATTTGCATCAAATTTAGGGATCACCGGGTCCACAAGGACCACCCGGATCTCCAGGAATTCGTGGATTTCCTGGCCCTGAAGGACTTGCCGGTCCAAAGGGACAAAAAGGAGCTCAAGGCCCACCTGGCCCACCTGGAGTGAAAGGAGATCGAGTAAGGAAAAGATTTCTCGGAAAATTTAAGATTCAAAAATTTAGGGAGCTGTCGGAGTTCCTGGATTCCCTGGAAACGATGGTGCCAACGGTCGCCCTGGAGAGCCTGGACCACCAGGAGCTCCCGGATGGGATGGGTGCAATGGAACTGATGGAGCTTCTGGAATGCCCGGTCTTCCCGGTCCGCCAGGTCTTCCCGGTTTCCCTGGATCAAAAGGAGATCTCGGTCTGAAGGGAGAGCCCGCTTTCGGCTACCCTGGAGCACCAGGCGAAAAAGGAGATGCTGGTGAGTGAAAATTGTATTGGATTTTAGCACAGGTGGTATTTTGGGCGTTCGGTCGCGTAGTCGTTAACTGTTTCACTGAAAATTTGGTGTAAATTCAAAAAATAAACTAAACTATTATAGCCATTCGATAGCCCTGAATTTCCTCTTGAAAACTAGTACAAAGTTACCGGGAACTTTCTACAAAATAAATAACAAAAGTTGTTAAAAAGTTGAGTTGACAAAAAAAGTATTTGTCATTAGTGCGACCTAGCGGTGAGCCGAGATTTAGCACTTTTTTTGAGGCCGGTTGGGCTAAAAATTTGCAATCAGTGGCTTTCGAGGATGAGGAATTCAAATCCGTTATTAGTTCTTAAAGGAAACTGCTCTAGTTTTGGAGATTTCATTTAGTTTAATTACCCAAGTAGATAGCCGGCAGCCAAGCCAAAAATGGCTTTTTCGTTGATGTGTTAAATTAAATCAAACTTTTAACTAATCAATTTCTTATTCTATTTTCTTTTCTATTTTCTTTTCTAATGTTTTGACCAAATTGACCAAACTCATTCTAATTATTGGCTCTTTGTCTCATCTAGATGAGTTTTCCTACCTTTAGGGCTTAGGAATTGTGTTTGTGGACTGTTTTTTACTAAATTATGAATAAACCAGCGAACTCACTAACGTTTTCCGCGCAGGCGCAAGCCACGCCGTCTTTTTTTCCAATGGCTGCGCACAGACGTCTCTTCGGACGGACTCTGCTTTATATATAGTAGCTTTTTTTTAAATGCCTATCCAGATTACGATAGATTTAGAAAGGAGAAGTAAAAAGAAAAATCAAGAACGTTTTTTAAACCATTTCAATATCTTTCCTTTAACCATTCTCAATTTTCATCAATCTGACCTAGCTAAATATTTGCTCAACTAATTATTGGGTAATGTTTTCTTTTCTTTTCTATTCTATATCTTTTCTTTTCTAGGCACCCATGGAATGCCTGGATTGCCCGGTCCACCTGGTCGTGATGGATTCCCGGGAACGAAAGGAGATCGAGGAGATGGTGGACCGCCTGTAAGTTTAAGCTCTAGTCAATTATATTCAAGTGTTGTAAACAGTTAACTTAGAAGAAATTCATGATTCTAAATCCAATTTCACAATTTCAGGGTCCTCGTGGTCCTCCCGGAGACATTGGACAACCTGGAAACCCTGGAATCGGATCCATCGGACCAAAGGGAGACCCGGTATGGTAGATTTCTTTTAAAACTAATTGATACTTTAAGATGTTGAGGTCTAGCTCTTTAAGATGTTGAGATCTAGATCTTTAAGATGTAGATCTAGGTAATAATAGCTATTTATCTAGCTAGTAACGAAATTCTAGGGAGATATGGGACCGACTGGACCTCCAGGTCCACCGGGTCCTCGCGAATTTACAGGCACTGGTTCCATAGTCGGCCCGCGTGGTCTTACTGGCGAAAAAGGAGAAAAGGTGAATGCTCAGACAAAATAATTTTTGATTTCAGGGAGATCCCGGCCCACAAGGACCCCCGGGGAAACCCGGTGGTACGGCTGATTACCTCACCTCTCCCAAGGGCTCCTATGTGGGCCCGAAAGGAGATCTTGGAGTGAAGGGAGAAAAGGCAAGCGGTGCCCCACTAAATAGAAATTAGATTATGGTTTTTGCTCACCAACAAACCGCTTTCTATGATTTCGAAAAATAAAGCAACAGCAACGGCAAAAAACTTCAAAGCATTTGTTGGTTTCGATTTTGTAAAGTTGTAAAGTTGTAAAGCTTTCCAACAGTCAGTTGCTCTATTTTTCTTCAAGATTCCCTTAAAACCGCTTCCGCTCACAAAATATTGATTTGCTATTGAAATTTTAGTTGCCCGATTAGATTTTGCATGGTCAAAAAAAGACAGGAGTTGTAGCTAAAAACTGCTCAAATTGTTTCCAAATTTAGTTTTCTCTCGTTTTAGCTGCAACTTCATAAGAAGTTCTGTTCTCTAAATAACAATGAGAATTTCAGGGAGACCCAGGAAATGGTGGAGATCGTGGATTCCCAGGTCAACCCGGAAATCCTGGAATTCCTGGAATGCCCGGAATGAAGGGTGAGAAGGGATTACCCGGACCAGCTGGACCAAGAGTGGGTTTTTGATTTCAAAAGTACTGTAACAGTACAAAAACAGTACAAAAACAGTCAAAACCAGTTCAAAAACAGTACAAAAACAGTCAAAAACAGTCAAAAACAGCTTTTTAGGCTGATTGATCACTAACAATAAGCTTTAGACATTTAAAAAACGATCTTGTTTCAGGGAAAAGAGGGACGCCCTGGTAACTCTGGACCACCTGGCTTCAAAGGAGATCGAGGACTTGATGGCTTGCCTGGATTGCCTGGAATGCCCGGAATGAAGGGAGAAGCTGGATACCCTGGACGAGACGGAGGCAAGGGAATGTCTGGACCACCTGGACCACCTGGAGTAAGTTTCTTTAAGCAAGCACAACTTTAAGATCTCTTTAGACTGATTAAACGAGATTAGACTGACAACTGATTAAAGGAGGGCCCGGATTCACTAAATTATTTGCCATTTATCATCTAGCAATTTTGCTAGACGGATTTACCAATTTAGCAACTTTTACTGCTATATGCTATGTGTTAAATATCAAAACAATTTTACTCAATTTAGCAGTTAGTGAACCCAGGCCAAGGATTGAATTAATAACACGATTTTAGGGAGCTGAGATCTCGAACGGACCCCCAGGACCATCTGGTCTTCCTGGACGACAAGGAAACCCTGGCCCACCTGGAACTGATGGCACCCCTGGTTCACCTGGACCACAAGGACCTCCCGGCCCATCTGGAGGACCTGGTTCACCCGGTCTCCCAGGAATGGAAGGAATGCCTGGACCACGAGGAGACAAAGGAGACTCTGGCATCCCTGGATCACCGGGATCACCGGGAGGACCTGGACAACCTGGGTACCCTGGGCCAAAAGGAGAACCCGGACAGCCTGGATTCCCTGGACAAAGCATTCCTGGCTTGCCTGGAAAGGACGGACGCCCTGGTCTTGATGGAGCTTCTGGACGTAAAGGAGAGCAAGGTCTTCCTGGAGTAAGAGGTGAGCGGTTATCGAACATTTGATACGCGTCCCGCCCCTTTTGCCATTGGCAATCTAACTTTGGAATCAAATATCTTGGTGCTGGGCTGTCCAATATAAATATTTTTGGTATTATTAGATGCAGCAAATCTTTCTCTGTCGATTGGTACAAAAACTATTTAAATTGAACAGCCCAACACCAAGATATTTGAGCTCAAAGTTGGATTGCCGATGGCAATGGGGGTGGGGCACTATAAAAGGTCCCACAATCAGGTGGGCAGTTCAAAACTGTTTTATTCAAAGTTTGTCAACAATGAGAAATTAGAAGATGTAAAACCAACTATTATTTGCAATTTAGGACCTCCCGGAGACTCTCTCAATGGACTTCCTGGTGCACCGGGACCTCGAGGAGGCCCTGGACCTAAAGGATACGATGGACGAGATGGTATTCCTGGATTGCCTGGAATTCCCGGACCAAAGGGAGATCGAGGAGGCTCGTGCTCTTCTTGCGCTCCTGGAACAAAGGGAGAGAAGGGTCAACCGGGCTACCCTGGACAACCTGGACTTCAAGGCGAACGTGGACACCCTGGAATGAACGGCCCGCCTGGAGACCAAGGAGATGATGGCATGCCTGGAGCAGCTGGACGACCTGGAGGGCCTGGATTCCCCGGAAAAGATGGACTCCCTGGATTGCCTGGAGCAAAGGGAGAACCCGCCACTCTTTCGCTGAGAGCTGGACCACCTGGATACCCCGGAATGAAGGGAGAAGCTGGATTCCCCGGATTGCCCGGAAGAGCAGGCGTCGATGGCCCTCTAGGACCACCTGGACAGCCCGGTTATCCAGGAGAACCTGGAGCTAAAGGAGAGCCTGGACTTGGAGGACGGCCTGGGAAACCCGGAACTGATGGACTTCCTGGATTGCCTGGAGCGAAGGGAGAACCCGGATATGGACAGCCTGGACTACCTGGACTTCCTGCAGAAAAGGGAGATGCTGGATTCCCTGGACAACCTGGTCAACCCGGACAACCTGGAGAGCCTGGAAGACCAGCTCCAGAAGCGATCACTCAAGCTGGACAACCTGGAATTCCAGGACGTGATGGATTGCCTGGACTGAAGGGAGAAGCCGGATTGCCTGGACAACCTGGATCAGCTGGTTTGCCTGGACTTCCCGGAATCCCTGGACACAAAGGAGACAATGGATACCCAGGACCACCTGGCATGTCCGGAAGCCCTGGAATCCCTGGAGAGAAAGGATTCGGCGGAGTTCCAGGTCTTGCTGGAATCCCTGGACCAAAAGGAGAGGCTGGCCAACCTGGATATCCTGGATCAGCTGGACAAAAGGGAGAGCCTGGACCATCGAATGTTGGCCCTCAAGGACCACCTGGTTTCCCTGGAATGAAGGGAGAATCTGGTGTTCCTGGATCACCTGGTCTGCCTGGACTTGATGGACAACCTGGACAGCCCGGCTATGGAGGACCGAAAGGAGACTCTGGATTGCCCGGTCTTTCTGGACAACCTGGATTCCCTGGAGCTAAGGGAGAGTCCGGATTCCCCGGACAACCTGGTTAGAGTTTATTTGTAGACAAGTTACAACAAAGATTTAGGACGTGATGGAGAACCTGGCGAATGTGGACCTGATGGCTTGCCTGGAGTGCCTGGCACAAAGGGAGACGGCGGAATTCCTGGATTGCCAGGAATTCCAGGAATCAAGGGAGATTCGGGACTTCCTGGATCACCTGGCTTCCCTGGAGCATCCGGTCAACCTGGATACCCTGGCATGAAGGGATTACCTGGAGTGCCTGGAGTATCAGGACTGAAAGGTAAATTTTAATAGCTGTCAATAACGTAATGTTTTTCAGGAGATGGCGGACAACCTGGCTACCCTGGAGCTCCTGGAATGAAGGGACTGAATGGACCAGCGGGACAACCTGGACTCCCCGGATTGAAAGGAAATGGAGGATTGCCCGGAATTCCTGGACGTGATGGACAGCCCGGAATTCCTGGAATTAAGGGAGATCGAGGATTCAACGGAATTCCTGGACTCAAGGGAGAACCCGGACTTGCTGCTCGAGATGGACAGAAAGGAGATGCTGGTCTACCTGGACAACCTGGTCTTCGTGGACCACCTGGACAACCCGGCTACCCTGGAGTTGCTGGACCAAAGGGAGAACCAGGACCAGGCGGATATGGACAACCTGGACTTCCTGGAGAAAAGGTAACAATATAAACAAATACGCAAATACAAACCTAAAGCAAAGGCAAATAAGCGAATAAGAACTTTGAATATTTAGAAATAACAAATAATATATTTAATACTTAAAACTCCTTGGCTATAAAAAACTTTCTGGATCAAAAAGCAAAAGAATTGGCGTCGAGAGGAGTCGAACCCACGACCTCTCTTCCGTTCTTTTGAGAGAGGCGCGCGTTAACTAGTCAGCCAGTAGATGACGTATTGCGAGCGCACTTTTCTTTAGCCCAACCGATCCGGGTTCGACTCCCGCCCGCGTCGGCACTTGACAGGCACAGCTCTTTTATATATTGGGTTGTCCAGTTATGAATACGCGTTTTTACTATTTTGTAAATTCCTCAGGAAAACGAACAGATGAATATGAGTGTTATATATCATTCAAAAGCTGAAGATCTCCTTTACATTTTGGAATCAAAAAGTTTTTGAATTCATTCAACTTTTTGGGAAATTGACTGCACAAAGGGAGAGGTCGTTTTCAAAAAAAAATCCATTTCAGCTTAGCTATTCCTCAAGTTTTATGGTGTAAAATAACCGCCCAGAAAAGAAAAGAAAAGTAAAGATGCTCTGAAATTGTTATATTGAAAAAAAAGCTGTATTGATATATCTATTGGCCAAACATCAAACGGTTAACTCAATTTGAGCGGAGCCAAAACTTGATGCAAAGGTACCCTTCCATTTTTTGGCCACCTCTTCTTCTGTGCAGTCAATTTGCCCAAAAGCTGAACAAATTCAGAAACTTTTTATATCAAAATGTAGATGAGATCTTCAGCTTTCGAATAATACTCATATATATCTTTTTCTTGATTTCGGTCTCTTGAGAAATTTACAAAATAGTAAAAAACGCGCATTTGTAACTGGACAACCCAATATAGTAGATCATTTAGAATAACGAAAGAAACAGAGAACTAAGAAATAAAATGAAAATAACAAAGAAGAATATTTAGGGATTGCCTGGAATTCCTGGAAAGAGCGGTAGACCAGGATCTCCTGGAGGACCAGGACAAGATGGACTCCCTGGATTCCCTGGACTTAAAGGAGAATCGGTATGTTTTAAATTTTGAGGCCAAGTTGGCTAATCTGCTGTCTATTAAGTTTTCCATTGATTATTTTTCAGGGCTACCCCGGAGCGCCAGGCCTTCCCGGACAAGATGGACTCCCTGGAATCCCTGGACCAAAGGGTGATGGCGGTTTCCCTGGCCAACCTGGACTTGCTGGAGAGGCTGGACTTCCTGGACCAATGGGACCACCTGGAATTCGTGGAGAAAAGGGACAATCTGGACTTCCTGGTAATCTAAAATAAATCTATTAGCGTTTCTAGTAAACCTTGAAATACGTACTCAAGAAAGAAATATTTTCAGGCCTCCCTGGTGATCGTGGACTTGATGGACACCCTGGATTGAAGGGAGATGGTGGATATCCAGGCCAACCTGGTTCTCCTGGAGGACCAGGAGAGAAGGGAACATCTGGAGCACCTGGTTTCCCCGGATTAAAGGGAAATGCTGGACTCCCTGGACACCCCGGACTTCCTGGAATCCCTGGACAAAAGGGAGAACTTGGACCAGTTGGACCATCTGGACGTGATGGTCAACCCGGATATCCCGGAGAGAAGGGAGACTGTGGACCAGATGGACTTCCTGGATTGCCTGGTTAGTGATCTAAAACTAGAACTCAATTTAAACACTTGCTTTTAGGACATGGAATCCCTGGCCAACCCGGACAACCAGGTCAACCTGGAATCAACGGACATGACGGTCTTCCTGGTCTTCCTGGAACAAAGGGAGAATCTGGACAACCTGGCTATCCTGGAGGTCCAGGAATGAAGGGAGATTCTGGTCTTCCTGGATTCCCCGGACAGAAAGGTACTGAATATCATATTTTCGCTAATAGTAGTGCACCCATGCCGATTTTACGGTTTCCAAGTTTTCCCAGAAGCTCAACACTCAAATCCCGCACAAGATCTCATTGTCAGCTACATTTTCCAAACCCACATCGATAGATTCTGATAAGCGGTTTTCGAGATTTCGAGCAATTTAGGCAAAGCCTTGGATGCACTACTATTAGGGAAAATACGGTACTTAGAAACTAATCTAAAAAATTCTTTAGGAGAATCTGGTCTTCCTGGTATTCCTGGTAAACGTGGAGAAGATGGATTGCCTGGAGGACCCGGACGTGATGGATACCCTGGAGCCCCTGGAATCAAGGGAGAACAAGGACCTGCTGGAGCGCCTGGACAGAACGGGTACCCTGGAACCCCTGGAATGAAGGGTACAGTGAAAAAGGCCATAGTTGAAAACAAGTAAACTTCAGGAGACGGTGGATTGCCTGGCTTCCCCGGACCAAAGGGAGACGCTGGTTTCCCAGGACAGCCTGGATTACCAGGAGTCCCTGGACTCAAAGGAGAATCTGGATTCCCTGGACTGCCTGGTCGTGATGGAGGACCTGGTTTGGATGGACCACCTGGACTACCTGGACCATCCGGACCTCTTGCTGAAGTGCTTCCTGGATCCAAGGGAGAACCTGGGCGACCTGGACTCCCCGGAATGCGCGGAGAGAAGGGATTGCCCGGACTTGATGGACCACCTGGACCACCTGGACTACCTGGATTACCAGGACAGCGAGGAAATGATGGATTCCCTGGAGTGCCCGGAACATCTGGAGAAAAAGGAATGGCTGGATTGCCTGGATTCCCCGGACTCGATGGAGCTCCTGGAGGGTTGGTATTCGACTTGTAACTAAAACGTCTGTTGATCCTTTTTGCCGTTGGCGATTTAAGGTTTTTCGTGTTTTTCTCAGCAACAACCCTTCGCTTTTGACTACTTTGACTGTCATTCGATGCAGAATAAAATTGCGGGTCGACTGGTACAAAAATTACCTCAAAATGTAATATCCACGCATAGTTGTTGGTTAAATACCTAAACCCCGCCCACTATGGGCGGGACTTAACCTTTTGCCTCATAACTTTTCATGGATATTAGATTTTGAGTTAATTTTTGTATCAATCGACGCGCAATTTTATTCTGCATCGAATGACAGTCAAAGTAGTCAAAAGCGAAGGGTTGTTGCTGAGAAAAACACGAAAAACCTTAAATCGCCAACGACAAAAAGGATCAACAGACGTTTTAGTTACAACTCTAGTTGGTCTCATAAAATCGACAAGTTTACCATTAAAATTTTAGCCCTGGAGCCCCTGGACTCCCTGGATCAGCTGGGCCAGCTGGAGCTGCCTACAGGGACGGATTCTTGCTTGTCAAGCACTCACAGACCGGTGACATTCCGAGATGCCCAGATGGACATGTCAAGCTCTGGGATGGATACTCACTTCTTTACATTGAAGGAAACGAGAAATCACACAACCAGGATCTCGGTTTGGATTATTTAAGTTTAGGACGAAATCAAGACTTCTTTCAGGCCACGCTGGATCTTGCTTGCAGCGATTCTCAACCATGCCATTCTTGTTCTGCGATTTCAACAACGTTTGCAACTACGCCTCGAGAAACGACAAGAGTTATTGGCTCTCCACCACTGCTCCAATTCCAATGATGCCGGTGGCTGAACGAGAGATCGAGCAATACATCTCAAGGTTAGCAAAATGAAAACAATAGGCTTAAAAGGCTTAAAAAATGACAAGGCTTAAGAAAATTACAAAGCGAGAGTAATCTTGAGTTGCAGATGTTCGGTGTGCGAAGCTCCAGCCAACGTGATCGCCGTCCATTCGCAAACCATTCAAATCCCCAACTGCCCAGCTGGCTGGAACTCGCTCTGGATTGGTTACTCGTTCGCTATGCACACTGGAGCTGGCGCTGAGGGAGGAGGACAATCTCTTAGGTAATCGTAGAGATTGATTAAAAAATTTCTAGAACAGCTATTGATCTAAAAATTGTTTCATTGGAAAGTCAAGAATGATTGCTATTTGATACATAGCGACTTTTAATGACTAACCTCATAAGCCTTATCGATTATCGAAGCTTTTTAAGGCACTCACCTATGAGAATTTGCTATTTGAGAGATAGCAATCAAAAGCTCACATTCTTGGCTTTTCAATGAAACAATTTACAGGTTGATAGCTGTTCTAGGAGCCGAGATCTGAACGGTCAAACATGAGCTTGCCGTTTGTATCGATTATCGATTTGTATCGATATCAATACGCAAGTCTAATTGCAATTCGACTTAAAGCTTTGAATAATCGTATGAGAATCAGGTTTGGGGGCTAAAAAATCAAGGTTATTACGTAAACTTTAGGGATCTAACAGGCTGAACCAACCTGGTAAACATTGTTACTAACACTTAAGGGATAATCAAATCATGATAATGACATTTATTCACATAAGGTAATACACACAAACATTACAGAAGATTCAGGCACAAAAACAGGAAAGAAGCACAGTCGCTAAGCCTTAAATGTAAGGAAAAAAAGCCATAGGGGAAATATAAGTAGGGAAAATATATAAGAGAAAAAACCAATAATCTAGTTGGGGGGATTGAACCCTGACTTCCAACTAAGATAAATGGCTCTTAGCCAATCGGTCGTGACGGCCTAGTCAGTGGCTTAATTAATCAAAATCTTAGCTCGCCTGGTTCGTGCTTGGAAGACTTCCGTGCTACTCCATTCATTGAGTGCAACGGTGCTCGTGGAACTTGCCACTACTTCGCTAACAAGTTCTCCTTCTGGCTCACCACCATTGAGAACGATCAAGAGTTCAGGGTAAGTTTTTGAGAAAAACTAGTTCTAAATTTAGATTTATCAGTTGAAAGCCAACAAAGTTACAACCAAAGTTACTAACTTTGGTTTTGTTTGGTCTAGAACTTTGTTCAAACGGAAATAACTTTCTGGACGCCTCTTTAAAGGATGATCAGTGAAGAAACGGCATCTTTTAGCGTACTGTACTGTTTGAAAGCTCAAAAATAAATCCTAGTGATGTTGATATGAAGTAATCACTCAAAATCCTCTAGAAAAAGACCAATATTTAACGTAACATTGAAAATTTCAGACTCCCGAGTCTCAGACGTTGAAGGCGGGTTCATTGCGAACGCGTGTCTCTCGTTGTCAAGTCTGTATCAAAGTCACCGATCAGAGATATTAAAAGGAAACCGTTTTAGCTTTATTTTATTAGAAATTTGAAAATTTTACACTCAATCTGCCTTTTCTACTGCCATTTTTCTCTTTTTTCGTACAATTTTTCAATCGAACTGCCATTCTCTCGAAAAAACCTTTTAACAGGCACCGATTCTTTTTCACAAACCGTGCCTTCACTAAAAGTGTCTTATGTTTTTATAGTAAACTTGAATTTTTGAGATTTCATTCGTTCGTGATACGGTCTTTTTCTCGTTCGGTCCTCTATGGCCCCGAAAATCCTAACAAGAAAAGAAAAAAACACAAATCTTTCTTATTTATCTGTTTATGTTTGTTATAATAAAGCTTATTTTTATTGAAGAAAACATTAATGACAAAAATTAGCACAGAAATTTCATGGTGCATCAAGTTGACACAATTCTGGATTCGGTAAGGCTCCGACTGGGCGAATTCTCCGTTTATGAACTTGCTAAATTAGTAACAGTAGAGTAAAATTGAAATTTTATCTTATATTCTTATATTTTACTTATAGTATAGTGCTTACAATGTTTTACTGGATTAAAATCTAGCTCTCAAAGTTTTGTACAAAAATTGTTACCTCTTTCATAAATTCCGAGACATCATCGAAAAATCGTCTCTCGAACTCGTCTTTATCTTTCGAAAACACATGAACAACTCTAAAATTGTTGCTATTACAGGGTGTTTAATAGTTTCTTTATAGTTCCTATTTGGTTCCTTTAAAGTTCCTTTATAGTTCCTTTATAGTTCCTTTATAGTTCTTTTATAGTTCCTATTTGGTTCCTTTAAGGTTCCTTTATAGTTCCTTTATAGTTCCTTTAAAGTTCCTTTATAGTTCCTTTATAGTTCCTATTTGGTTCCTTTAAGGTTCCTTTATAGTTCCTTTATAGTTCCTTTATAGTTCCTTTATAGTTCTTTTAGTTCTTTTATAGTTCCTATTTGGTTCCTTTAAAGTTCCATTATAGTTCCTTTATAGTTCCTATTTGGTTCCTATTTGGTTCCTTTAAAGTTCCTTCATAATTCCTTTATAGTTCCTATTTGGTTCCTTTAAGGTTTCTTTATAGTTCCTTTATAGTTCCGCATATTTTTTATTTATGGGAGCTTTTGAGTTCGCAGATCATTTAGAGCTCTCAAAGTTAGTAGAGAATGATCCTTAGAAAATGATTTCGAGACGTTTTCATGTTAAATTTGAATTTCCGTCCGTAATTTAAAAGTTAATTTTTACGCGACATTGCAATTGACGTCGCCGCCATTTGGAGGTAGTCGATGGGAGCGCCGCGTCGTCGTTTCTTTTTCATTTTCAAATCATTTGTTTTTGTCAGATTAATTGAAATTATTGTTTTACGCGTGAAATTTTGTGTTTCTCTTTGAAATGAGAAAGAAATCTATTGGGTTGGTGAATTGAAAGCTTTCTTACAGCTTACACTCATTTCTTATAAAGTACAAAAACATTACCTACAAGCCCCTGCACCTTTTGTCTCGGCTAGAACAATAAACTCCGGTTGATCGGCATCAGCTGGACCCGATTTGACAACGCAAACTGAAGACAATTTGACTTTTCAAAGAAACTCAGCTCACAATCTGCAGAATACAAGTCTGTTTCGAGTGAAAAGTTTGACTCATCAGACTTTTGAACTTCTCCTTTCATCTAAAACAAACATTGATGCGGCTAAATATTAGGTTGGTGAATTGAAAACTGCCGGACTTTGAACTAAAATTTATTCAACATAAAACAATCAATCGATTCCAAATAATTTCCATTATTATTGACGACTTCTACCCATTTTACAGGCAATTTGCGGATTCCTCTTTCGTAATAGGATTTTGGTTTGTGTGTGAGACAAGTGTGAGACTCAAAAATGGAGGACTGGAGATGTCCCAGTTTGAGCACTTTCTTCAAAAGAAACCCATTTTGGTGTCAATGGAAAAGTAGTAGAGAATCAAAAATTAGGCTTATAGCCAAATTTTCAAAAAGATACACTTAGTAGTTTCGCTTAAAATGCAAGTTTTGTGAAAGTTTGTAAATTTGGCATTTCTTGAAAGCCAGTTTTTGAATCGTTCTGAAAATTTGGCTATAAGCCTAATTTTTGATTCTCGACAACTTTTCCATTGACACCAAAATGGGTTTCTTTTGAAGAAATTGCTCAAACGGTCACATATGACAATAGCCGGAAGTTTTCAATTCATCAACCCAATAAAAAACAATGCTCAAAGACTTTTGTCCATGACTGTAGTTGCCAATCTTGCAAAGCTTGAATTCACCAAGCCAATAGTTCAGTTATTTACCTCATGAAGTGAATTCTCCTCATCGCTATCTCTGAAATAGAAATTTGTTTCAGCTTCTCCATTTCGGTAGGCACCAACTGAAATCTTTTGATATGTGCTTTTAATTGATAAATTCACTTTCAAGTCCAACGCAAGACGGCTTTTTGGTCGTTGAGTTTTTTGATAAATGCCTTCTTGATCCTTTCATTCTTTCCAAAGATCGTATTGTGCCAAAGGTTTGCTTCATTGAGTCAGGATTTCCATATAACTGAAGCAAAATTCATAAAAGCTATCAAAATTTCTCCTACTTGTGTCCAAGAACCTTTCAACTTTCTGATATTCATCGTTTTGCACATTCCACAAATTCCACGAGCATTTGACGAGCTAAAAATACAGTTTAACACATTCGCGACGAGGCGTTTTTTTGCGTTACTGTCCTCGTCCACTGGGGAGTGGACGAGGGGTGTCTCGCAAAGCTATTAGCCCCGAAATACACCTCCTATATGCAAAATTTCATGCTGAATCCGAATCTCTAATCAGATTTTGGAAATATTGCTGCCTCAAAAAGATATCGGCTCTTTTTGGCTCGTGAGACAAAACGCCGCATTTCTCTTTCTCCAATGGTTTTATTGGATGGAGCTCAGCTATTAGGTTGATGCAAAAGTCTTTTTCATTTTTTTCGTACTTCTTTTGAAAAATAACAAAGTCATCAATTAACCTATGGTTTGCTCTAAATGAAAAGTGTTTATTGTTCAATTTCCCATCTTTTTAAGTCAATTTGGGTTCACTTTCAACCAAATTCGAGAGTGAAAACGGGTTTTTCATAAAAATCTATAAAAACCTCTATAAAGAAATTGGCTGAATCAATTTCTCTGAAAATCTGAAAAGATATCTAACTTTTTGTGCTCTATCTTTTATTTATTAACATCAAGATTGGTTTCCTTAGCTAAAGCGTCTAAAATGCATCATCGAGCCGTCGCCTTTTTTGACTACCCGACTTCAGGCTCTCAAAAAAATCTAGACATAAGACATTTTAAACTCGTTTTAATGTCATTTTGCAGAAAAATAATTGGCCTTTCGAATGCAATAAACCGTTGTTCAATTGGTGCATTTGTTACTTTTTAACGGAAGTACGAAAAAAATGAAAAAGACTTTTGCATCAACCTAATAGATAAACATTTCATATCAACATCATTTCTTAATAAGACTTTATCCCAAAAAGGTCGTTTTACTGGGATACGAGTAATAGAGGTCTTCTATAGAGCAGTCGTTAGAGCCTCTGTCTCTGGGGCGGGAGGGGTTTCGTCCGGTGGACCACAATTTCGTCCACCGGTCGACCGAACCGTCCCAGGGGCCAGGCGGCCTTCGTCCACCGGTGGACCGAATCGTCCCAGGGGCCAGACGGCCTTCGTCCACCGGTCGACCGAACCGTCCCAGGGGCCAGACGGCCTTCGTCCACCGGTGGACCGAATCGTCCCGAACGTGTTAACTCTGAAAAAGTTTTTCGTACATTCACTCACCCTTCGGTTTCCTCAATCTCCTCTGCTTTATCCATCGACAATCCCTTAGCTCTGTCCTTTACAAGGTCAATCTATTTAAATCGTGTATATTTTAAAAATTAGATTCAAACTTTCAATATCCTCAAAGTTTCCCGCTCATCATCAGTGAGCTCAGCCCCATTGTTTGGGATCTCGATTCCATATTTCTTTTTAAAATATGAACGAAGATCTTGATCAGAAGTGAGAGCTCTGTCACCAGGTTCAACTAAACTTTGAATACTATGCAAAGAGTGTCAACGATTGAATGAGATAAACAATTTTGATACCAACTCGTTTTCTCTGGCTCTGCGTGCGTCTTTGATCCATGCATCTTTGCTTTAGCAGCCATTAGCCGTTGTTTAGCATACATTGCCTGTAAAAGATTAGCAATGGTTGCAAAAAGTGCCTACTTTAGCTTGCCCCATTGCTTCGTTGATCGCCTTTTGTTGCTCCTTTTGCATTAACAACTAAAATATTCCGTTTTCTCTTATTGGGTCTTCCAGAAAGTCTTTTCATTCCTTTTCATACTTCTGTTGAAAAATAGCAAATCTAGTAATTAACCTAAGGTTTGACATGGGTGCTACAAGATACAAGATCAGGCTATAAAAGCTTGTAGAAACGCGTAGAATGGCTATTTTTACAAACTGTTTTTACCGAAAAATCGAGCCAACTTTGGGCTTTCTAATAGCACCAAGATCAGGCCAATCCATCATCTCTGCGCTGAAATAAACCGTTTTTTCCAGGTTTGTAGCCTAGCCTACAAACAAGCCCACAAACTAGACATGGTTTTTTGGCAAAATCAGATCGGATCGGATCGGGGTAGCCTGATCGGTTGGACGGATCGGATCAGCTCGGATCGGATCGGACTAGGCTGATCGGTCGAAAGGAGTGGATCGGATCGTGATAGCCTGATCGATCGGAAGGAGTGGATCGGATCGGATCGGAACGGGATAGCCTGATCGGTTGAACGGATCGGCTTTATCGGACCGGATTGGATCGGTTCTGATCCTATTCGATTCGATCCGATTCGATAACCATGTCGACTACCAACTGCTTTAAATAGCATGTTCTCGGAGCAGAGATGGTGGATTGGTCTGATCTTGGTGTGGCTCTTCTATTGGAATTTTTACAGTAAGAATTGCACCAACCGCAGCTTCAGCTTGATGATCAATGATCGCTTGCTGATATCGGCGTTGTTGATCAAGGTATTCCATTTGTTTAGCCGAGTATTGAGTCAACTCGTGCTGATGTTTAGCGAGTTCAGACAAATATGCTTGATTTCTCATCTCGTTGATCAACCGCGGATCCATCTTACAATAAGATTGATAAGTTTCGTTATTAGTACACGGTTAACTGTTCTTATCTTTGCTTACCCCTTGTCCTTGTCCTCCTCCTCCAGTCAACGTGTCTAGAGCTCCACTGCTTGCCAACGCGCCAACAATTGGCCCAAGTTGCCCCAGATTTCCACTCATTCCACCACCGCTAGCCGGGTTGATTCCATATCCTTCCTGATTCGATAAACCATAATCTAGAAGTTGCTTGAGTAATTGATTCATTTTATGACAGTCGTTTGGATAAAACTTTTTACCTACTCGAAGGATACGGAGAACGTCGAATTTCTCTTTGAGGGAATTGCGGAATTTGTTGAACTTCTTCTGGTTGTGATGGTGGCTGAGATTTATGAAATGAAATTTAATTAGAAATTCAAAGAAAGTACCTCTTCTTTTCTCTCGAATTTGTCCATCTCTGGAAACACAGATTTTACCATTGCACCGGCCATATTTACCATCATTCGATCCATAACTGAAGAAAGAAAAGATTGATTGAATCTTATACTCTGATTGAATTCTTGTTTAAATATATTAAAATATCTGCCATCTGCCAAGTTAAGCAACGTTGGGCTCGGTTAGTTTCTGGTTCGAATCGATGAGTCAGAGATATCTTCCCTGAACCGAGTTCTGTAGTTAACCGCACCTATATGGTGAATTGGTTCCCAAGATCGGCCCCCCTAGGCTCCTTCCCCTTGAGATTTGGATAACCAGGGATCCAAATGGGTAGACTTGTCTAAGACGCCAGCTCATATAAAGCGGGTAGCCTTCTCCTCCTACATCGTCTCCTAGATCGTCCAAATGGATAGACTTGTCTAAGAGGCCAGCTCATATAAAGCTGGTAGCCTTCTCCTCCTATATCGTCTCCTACATCGTCCAAATGGATAGACTTGTCTAAGACGCAAGCTCATATAAAGCGGGTAGCCTTCTCCTCCTATATCGCCTCCTACATCGTCCCATCCTCACAAACGATAGAATTCCCTAGGTCCCTAGAGATAGAATATTCCCTAGGTCTTCATGTGTAAATTGTGATTATGTGTGTGCAAAATAAATCACCGGTAGCCCCGATATACATTATTACATCAAAAAAGTCTCTATGAATCCCACTCTCTTTCCCTTGTTTCTCCAATTCGGTTGGTGGTTTTTCAGTAGCTTCTTCATTCGATTCGGAAGGATCGCTATGATGGTGACGAGATTGAATGAAAGGAATAAAATAAAGAGCAATAAGAAATGTTTTTAAATAAATCATTTTGAATAAAACAAAAATCAATGACACGGATTTAGGTGATTAGCCATTTGATCGAGACTTTCTCGATTTTCGATTCGAAAATCCTGTTTTCCGTCTTGCTATTTTCGGTTCATAGGGCAAAAGATATCTTCAAGGAAAAGGAAAAGGAAAAGGAGAAAAAAAAGAAATGCTCTTCAAAGAAATGTTAATCTTTTGATCTTTAAAAACCCTTAGATCTTTAATTTTTAAAAATCTTTAACACATTCAGCTTTTTGCCTTTTGCGTAAGTTATTGGGTTGATGGAAAAGTCCTTTCCGAGTTTTTCGGGAGAGTACCTTAAATTTGTCCAATTTTGACGTTTTATAGCTCATCCTAAAGCTGAATTCAAGACGGATCGATTGGTAAAACCGTTTTGAGATATCTCTTTTCTAAATGTTTTTACAGCTATTTTAGTAAAGGGCGGCAGAGCCAAAAAATGGCTGTTTTCACGTTTCGTCAGTTTTCCGTGCAGAAACCTAGGCTAAAAACATGTGTTTCTTGATCGGCGTCAAAAATAACCCCTAGACACGCATTTTCAGAATCTTAGCAAAAAATTTTTGAAAAATATTGTCACCGGTGGAAGTCGAACCAGCGACCCTCAGATCAATAGCCTTTCCGCCGCTTTTCGCGATTTTCCTTCGTTTTTCTCGTTTTTTTTTGTTTTATGGTAAATTTTAGGGTACATTCTTGAAATCGGTTGCCTGTGCACATTTTTAGACGAACTGGAAACTGGACGAACTGGAAATTTCTTATGTTAAAACATTATAAACTTTCTTCAGACGCAATATTTCTTTAATCTGTTTACAGATAAATGATCCTCAAACATTTCTCTTCATTTTGATCTTTAACTTAAGTAAATCCGTTGCCTTTGAACGTTTTTAGATGAGCTAGAAGGGAAATAACTTAATCAAAAATCGAAAAAAACCTCGCCGTGAATGTGTTAAAATGTATCTCTTTACTTGAAAAAGCTAAGAAAGTTTTTCAAATCGTTTCTAGTTATATGAAGAGAAATCGAAGCACTTTATTGAATACTTATTATGTTTTATTTGTGTCTTTCAAGACAGGAAATGATGCTGGTTTTTCGTCGGTTTGACTTCCGTAGACGAATGGATAATCTTCTTCCTCTTTGTTTTGTTCAGCAAGTTCTCGATCCATTAAAAACTCATCCGGTTGTTCGAAAACTCGATTCTAAAGTTGCTAAACATACAGAAAAAGTTCTAAAGTTGTTAATCTCTTGTTAAAGTTGAAAATTTTCACTCTACAAAATCTCGGAAACAAAATTTCTAGGTTAACCTGCGGTGGTTCTTCTCGTTTTTTCACGAGAAGATTCTTTTCTTTATTACAAGCACATAGACATTGACCGTTGATGATTTCACCTGAAATCAAAAAATTTAAAAGAGAGATCTAAGAGATCTAAGAGATCCAAAGATTTAACCTTGTCGAATTTCCATGGCTTCATTTTTCAAAGATGCTTTTGATCCAGCATTCATAAAATATGGAGAGAAACTGGTCGAGAGGCCGGAAGAGATATGATCGATCTCTTTTTTAATTGTAGCTGAAAATAGTTTTATGTTAAAGCAAAAAAAACTTGTTTTTAAAAATATTGGGTTGTCCAGTTATGAATGCGCGTTTTTTACTATTTTGTAAATTTCTCAAGATACCGAAATCAAGAAAAAGATATATATGAGGATTATTCGAAAGCTGAAGATCTCCTCTACATTTTGATATAAAAAGTTTTTGAATTTGTTCAGCTTTTGGGCAAATTGACTGCACAGAAGAAGAGGTGGCCAAAAAATGGAAGGGTACCTTTGGATCAAGTTTTGGCTCCGCTCAAATTGAGTTAACCTTTTGATGTTTAGCTAATAGATACACTCTGTCAAAAAATTATAGACGCACCCTGTTTTTTGTTAGTTTAGAGCCGGATATAAGTGCTAGTCCCGCGAAAAATATTTTTTAGTTTCTTTAATGTAAAAAACAACCCATGCAAAAGTTCAAGTCATTTCACTCATCCAAAGTACTTTATCGTACAAAAAACGTTTTATCAGCTGTCAAAAAATTATAGACGCAACTTAAATTTGACGAAAAATTTCGAAAATTGAAAGGATTCACGAAAGTCGGGCATGGTCTTCAGCACGAGGAACTTTGGAGGTGGATCATGTATGGTATGGGGAGCCTTTCGAGACGGTGAACTGGTCGGCTTAGAGTTTATTTTGACCCGGATGACATCGCTTGACTATCAACAAGTATTGGGCAAACATCTAGCCGTCTATCTGAACAACAATCCGGGCAATAACTTTACTTTTATGCACGATAACGCGAGTATTCATGCAAGTTGCTCCACAAGAGATTGGCTGACAGCGCACAAATCGGCACTGTCGCTTGGCCCGTGGCAGCCCAGACTTGAACCCGACTGAGAATGTGTGGGGGACACTCGTTCGAGATGTCTACAAGGGAACCAAGCAATATTCGTGCGTGAATGAACTCAAGAAAGCCATTCAAGTAGCCTGGAATCGGCTCCAACCAACAGCGCTCCATGAGCGCTCTATAGACTCTTCGATGCCGATACGTCTTTTTGAAGTTAGGCTAAAGTAAGGAGGGGCCACACATTATTAATTTATTTGGTTTGTGTTGTTATTTTTATTTCTGTTAACTTTTCCTTGATAAAACGTCTCGGCATCGAAATAAAAGTGCGTCTATAATTTTTTGAGAGCTGATAAAACGTTTTTTGTACGATAAAGTACTTTGGATGAGTGAAATGACTTGAACTTTTGCATGGATTGTTTTTTACATTAATGAAACTAAAAAATACTTTTCACGGGACTAGCACTTATATCCGGCTCTAAACTAACAAAAAACAGGGTGCGTCTATAATTTTTTGACAGAGTGTATATCAACTTTTTTAAAAAAATATAACAATTTCAGAGCATCTTTACTTTTCTTTTCTTTTCTGGGCGGTTGTTTTACACCATAAAACTTGAGGAATAGCTAAGCTGAAATGAGTTTTTTTCGAAAACGACCTCTCCCTTTGTGCAGTCAATTTCCCAAAAAGTTGAATGAATTCAAAAACATTTTGGTTCCAAAATGTAGAGGAGATCTTCAGCTTTTGAATGATATATAACACTCATCTACATCTGTTCGATTTCTTGAGAAATTTACAAAATAGTAAAAACGCGCATTCATAACTGGACAACCCAATATTTGTACACACGAGCTCTTCTAGGATAAGTTTCGAGGCTCGGCAGTGGTTCTCCTCGACTTGGAATGGATGGTCCTTCTCGGCTTACACAAGTCAACATTGTTTGCTAAATTATGGATAGGAAAATGTTTACTGTTTTCGCTTAAATTACGCACCAGCATTTGTTTTTCAAACTCCTCTCTCGCGCCACAAATACAAGCCCTCAATCGACTCTGATCTTGAAGACGACAAGGAGTTTGGACACGAATACTGAATATTTGACAATATTTGACAAGTATTTTAAGAAAGAAAATATAGACTGTACAGAAAGTGTTTTAGCTTCTTTTCGTACTTCCATTTAACTTTCATAAAACTAATAAATGCCAATTGACTGGTATTTTTCTTATAAGTTTTTGACAAATTTTCATTCTGGACAATTTTCAATTAAATCAAATTGTGCTCTGTCGATCACTTCTTCCATTTTGGTGCCAAAACCAGCAGCGAAACCTAGTCTTTTTGCAAGATCCGATTCACTGCAAGTAAAGCACCAGGGGTTCGGTTAAAGCACCAAGGGACAAAGGAAGGCAAATTGCACTTTTGGTGTGGCCGACCAATTCGCCCGCTTGGAATCCACAAAAAAACGTTTGGGGATAAATGGACCACAAAATTTACGCCAATAATCGAATGTATACAGACGTGAATTCACTTAAGCAAGCGATTGTTGCAGCTTGGCACACTGTGGATCAAAAACTCATCGACAAACTCGCTTTAAGCACGGACAACAGAGTTTTTCAAGTGATTCAGCGTTCAGGAGGCCCAATTAATCATTGATTTGTTATTTTGAAAGTTTAGTTCAAAGTTTCATTCAAAGTTTCATTCAAAGTTCATTTGAAAGTTCACTAGCTTTGTTGTTTTTTAGTTAATTACTCAACTGGTCGTAAAATTATGTCCAACAGTGGATTAACAGTACAACAGACTTCCAATCATTCAAAGAAAACTCACGCTTGAACACATTGTCGCAATACATAATCCCGTTGAGCAATCAATTGTAGGAACTGTTGATTTGTATCAAGGAAATTTCGATAACAGCTCACTTCGTATTCGTCGACATTACAAGATGATGCAATGTTGTTTCTAACAAATCTGATTGAAACGTTTGATATAGAAAAAGCACAGCTTAGGGTCAGCTGATCCAACGAGTCGATTGATTCCGCTGCCGAAAACTCGAAGAGCAAAATTCTGAATGGATTCGTATTAGACGATCCTTGGGTGTGTACGATTTTAAATATTAGGTCAATGCATAAGAAATGCGGATTTCAACATTTTCATAAATTTCCAACGATAGAAATCTGATATCGATGAATGTTATCGATGAATGTTATAAACGATTTGAAAGTTGTAAATCTCCTCTACAAAATAGACTAAAACGTGTTTCAATTGATCGAACTATTGAAGAAATTTCGAGGGCGAAATGCGAGTGACCAAAAAAGGAATCGAGTCACTTTAGGGACAAGTTTAGTGTGCTCAAAATAGAGTTAGCTTTCCAAGGGCACTTTTTGTAAACCCCACTTTCACAAGAGTTCGGTTTTGACTATACAGGGTGCGGCAAGCAGCGACCAGGTGCAACATCTTCTTCGCTTTAGCCATCCTCTTTTGCTTCATGGCATCGTTCAGAAAATGAGCCTGAGCAAATTTGTAGCTGGACATTCCAAATTTCTCATGAACAATCCTTCGAGCGCTTCTTTCGCTGATTCCGAGGCTTGTGGCCATCTTTCTCATTAAACGAGTGGGATTTCGACGGATTCGGCATCTGACTTTATTTGTGTTCTCTGGAGTGACGGCTGTGGTTGGTCGACCGCTTCTTGAGCGGTCCTGATCGTTGCCCCGCTCCTTGAATCGTTCAATGGTTCGATAGACAGACTTTTTTGGATATCCGGTGACTCGAACAATCTCCATCGGTATCTTTCCGGCTTTGTGCAACTCAAGCATCACAGTGCGCCGCTTTTTAGCATCCATATTGAAAGCGAAACTAAACAAAAACGTTGTTTCTTGTTAAAAGTAAGGAAAAACTGTTTAACAAATGTTAAAAAACAAAAAGTGAGCCAAATACCGTTTTTTGAAATTTTATACAATCGAGGAAATTTCGAGGGCGAAATACGAGTGACCAAAAAAGGGCACTTTTTGAAGACCCCACTTTCACAAGAGTTCGGTTTTGACTATATAGTGGAAAACTATATAGTCAAAACTATATAGACCGCCCTAAAATATCATTCAAAATAATTAAGAGTTGGGATCATTTCATGGGAAAACTTGCTCTTTACAATAATTTTCCTTTTTTTGTGAAAAAGCCGGTTTTTTTGACAATTTTGAGGGTTTTGAATTTACGCTCTATCTAAATTTCTGTAAATGCATTTCCGTTTTGCTTTCTTTAATGAATTCATTTATAGTTATCCTTTTTTTCTTAAATATTCAATTTTGGGAAGCTAACTCTATTTTGACCACACTAAACTTGTCCCTAAAGTGACTCGATTCCTTTTTTGGTCACTCGCACTTTGCCCTCCAAATTTCTACAATGTTTCGGTCAATTGAAACACGTTTTAGCCTATTTTGTAGAGGAGATTTATAACTTTCAAATAGTTTATAACATTCATCGATAACATTCATCGATATCAGATTTCTATCGTTGGAAATTTATGAAAATATTGAAATCCGCATTTCTTATGCCTGTACCTAAGACATTTGACTATAGGAAATTTTTAGCCCATTTTTTGTCCACTAACTTTACCTTGACGAGACAAACACCTCTAGTATCGAGGCTAGGTTGATTCGTTTCAGAAAGCCCCCATAGTCGTTCGGTGAACTCCGTTGAATAAATGGCTCTTGCGTAAACGGCGTCTTCTAAAAATTTGGCTCTTTTGGGGAATTTCATATCGGGAATTTTATAGCGGGAATTTTATTTCGGGAATTTTATTTCGGGAATTTTAACAAGAATTCTACTAATGGTATTGTTAAGTGCTTTTTCTAAAATTTCTGTCTTTCACCGACAACCAAAAGCCGATGAAATAAGTTAAGAAACAACGACAAAATTACATTTTCAATTCGTTGAATTCGTGATAAATTTGTGATAAATTCTTGTTTTGCTATTACCTATACCAGATTTATACAGGGTGTACATTAAAAAACTCGTTGTCATGCTGAAAAATACAGGGTATCCGCCAATTATAGCGACTCATTTCTGAGGATCTAGCTCAGCTCAGCTCAGATTCATTGAGTGCTCCTCAATGAATCCGAATGAAATTTTTAGAGGTGTTTCTTGAGCATACCTCCCGTAGCGAAGCCCATTTTCTAACTGATTGGTGCTTCTAGGATCTTTATATGACCTTACAAAGTTGAGAGTCGCGGTAAACCTGGCGAAAAACCTAATTTAAGGCTTTTGAGAGCGGTTTTAAAGCGATTTGAAGCCGTTTTGAAGCAGACGTTTTTAACTTACAGGAGTTATACTCAAGAATCATCTCCAAAAATCTCATACGGATTCATTGAGTTCTCGCTGAGCTAGATCCTCAGAAATGAGTCGCTATAATTCACGGAAACCATGTATTTTTTAGCATCACAACGAGTTTTTTAATCAAAAAGATGAAAAATCTTTTGAAATGGACGAAAAACGTAAAGAGAATCGGGAAAAAGAAGCAGCGAACAATGCGGATAAAAACACCGCTAAAATTCCCGAAATAAAATGCCCCAAAGTAGAGCCAAAGTAGAGCCAAAAATTTGAGTGGAGTAAGTTCTTTGCAAATTAACAACAACAACTAACCATCAACGATTACAGGTCCAAACTCAGATCTCATCGGAGTGCTTGGGGATTTCAAAAAGCAGCCATCAAGAGAAGCACGATAGCGATTCGCGATCTCAGCAAATTGATCAAAAGCTAAAATTTTTGCTGATTGACTTTTGCTGACAGCTATGAACAGCTAGAAGCCTCACTTTCCAGATCTCCATTAAATGGAGCTCTCACCGCTCGGAGTGACTCTCTGAAGCACCGATTGTAGGCCTGACGTTCTTCCAGGCATCTGAAGAAGTACAATTATATGTTTTTCAACTTTTCAATCTACGCTGGTCGTTTGAAGCAATGCTGGAAAGCGGAATCTTTGATCTGCATGATATCTTTTTCGTAGTCTTCGATCGCCACAGCGCATCGTTGGACTTGATCAGCGCAATAGAATTGAGCGAGAGTCTGGGAAAACACCTATGTTGTGAGAATTTGTGAAATAAGTTTTCTAAAAAACAAATTAATAAGCAATTTACCGTAGTTAATCGAATAAAAATGAGTAATGTGGCTAGCAAAGAGGTCATGATGTGGAAGAGGCTGAGGAATGGCTGAGGAATGTCCTCTGTCTTGTCTCTATTCCATTCTTCTTCCAAAAGTAGAAGAGCCCTATATGAACTGTTTGTATAGCAAGACGGATGCAGTTGTTTCTTTTCAACGAGAGAAATTTTGCCCTCGTTTTTCTTTTCACTTGTGAAGAAGCAAGAAACACAGACATTGTCTGCCCACTCACCACTCCACTTTCGTTACGGCCTTGAACTCGTTTTGGTTATTGTATTTCTTTTTAAAAAAAATGTATGAAAAAAGTTTATTATGAGAAGAGATTAATGGATGAAATCTGGCATAAATTGTTTTGAGATTTAGAATTGATGAGATCTTTTGCCAGCTCTTTGATCATCGATGAGAGATCAAGGGTGGAATTGAAAACCATCTGAATTTAGTTGATAAGTCTGAAAGCTTCTTCTATTGCTTCTATTACTTTCTCTATTGCTTCTTCTATTGCTTCTTCTATTACTTCTTCTATTACTTCTTCTATTACTTCTTCTATTACTTCTTCTATTACTTCTTCTATTACTTCCTCTATTGCTTCTATTACTTCTTCTATTACTTCCTCTATTACTTCTTCTATTACTTCTATTACGTCCTCTATTACTTCTTCTATTACTTCTATTACTTCTTCTATTAATTCTTCTATTACTTCCTCTATTACTTCTTCTATTACTTCTTCTATTACTTCTATTACTTCCTCTATTACTATTACTTCCTCTATTACTTCTTCTATTAATTCTATTACTTCCTCTATTACTTCTTCTATTAATTCTATTACTTCCTCTATTACTTCTTCTATTAATTCTATTACTTCCTCTATTACTTCTTCTATTAATTCTATTACTTCCTCTATTACTTCTTCTATTACTTCTATTACTTCCTCTATTACTTCTTCTATTGCTGAAAACAACAACTGAAAACAAAACAACAACAACAACATTTTGAGAATCTTTGCTGCTTTACATTTTGTTCTTCTTTGATGATTTCGTCAACAAGTTTGAGAATCTTCTCAGCTCTTTCCTGAGCGCCAAATTTCGAACAGTAGACCCCGAGCCAAGCCTTGTACCATTCAACTAATGGAAATGCAAATGATAAGAAGTTATTGTTTTTGCCTAAAAGTATAAATGCATTGTATTTTTTGATTATTTTACCCATTGAACAAAGCAAGTAACAAACAGCCATTCGAAGCTCTTCGTTGTCCAAATCCATTGGCTCAAGATCCAGAGGAAATTGCTGAAATTGCTGAAATTGAGTTTTGAAACAGAGAAAAAAAAATTAAGACTGGCAGTTTTCAAACAAAGCTATTCAAACAAAGCTATCATTCAATTTTTCAGCTATTCAGCTATTCAGCCATTACTCAGTTTTAACTTACACTCTTTACCCAAACATTTGTGTTAGCTGCGCTGAATAGAGAGCAAATCAGTTTGTGGTGTTGAGTGAGAACTGAAAAGCTCTTTAATTCCGAACATTCCTCTTACTTCAAAGTTTACTTTCAACAAAACTTGAAATGAAATTGAAATCCTACTTGAAATCTTAACATCTTCCGTCGAAAAAGCTAGAATTGAGCTAGCCCAAGCACTTGTCAAAGCAACACGACAGATTGAAGCGGCTGGAAATTTGAAGCTTGGAATTTGAAGCTCCAAAAAGGGAAAGGCGAGTCAAGCTGGCTTTTTCGCTCGAAACCAAGTCCATCTTATAGAGATCGGATCTCGAATCCGTTTTTAATTTTTGCAGAACGCGAGATATCTAAATTTCGGATTCGTCAAGAAGCCATCACACGCGCCACCTCGTTCTGTGATCTAGTGGATAGTCTGCTAGACTATCGAACCTATCACACTCTTTGCCTTCAAGTTCGAGTCCCACTCTCGTCAAATTTTACGCAATCAATTCAAAAACCCTAAGTGTTATATAGAGAATTGAAGCCTGAATTCTTGCCTATATTTCTGTACCAAAAAGTCTTTGATTGGAGTTTTGCAGCCAATTTTTCAGATCCTCAAATAAGCCCAATCCGAGGAGTCCAGCGTGCTTCCATTTTTAGCTGTTTTAGAGAACTAAAAAAGTTGTAAGAAGAATTTTTCTTCAGTAAAAGGACATTTTTATTCATTTAAAAATGATTTCAAACAAATTTACAGCTTTGTACAGCAAGTACAGACGTAAAAACTAAGAATTGAACACCCCAAAAACCCAAAATTTCTCAAAATCGCCGAACATCCAGAGCTAGCCATCTTTAATTCAAGTTATAGTTAGGTTAAAATTATCAAAATACTTTAGTGTTATCATCGTTTTTCATACCATTCAAAATTCTAGCTTTTCATGTATTAAACAACCGGAAAATTTTTCTTACAACTTTTTTAGTTTTCTAAAACAGCTAAAAATGGAAGCGTGCCGGACTCCTCGGATTGGGCTCATTTGAGGATCGAAAAAATTGGCTGCAAACCTCCAATCAAAGACTTTTTGGTACAGAAATGTAGGCATGAATCCAGGCTTCAATTCTCTATATAACACTTAGGGTTTTTGAATTGATTGCGGCGTTTGGCAATCTGCTGAAAAAATGTATCCGTAATTTTGGCACTCTCTGTATAAGATGGACTTGGTCTCGAGTCAAAAGGCCAGCTTGTTCAGAATGCAGAAGTTCAGAATCGAAACGATACATAGATTTGCTTCAGTCATTGGCTTTTTCACAGCAAGTTCTTCTGATTGAGCAAGGGTTCCAACGGGTGAAACCTTTGGCGTTTCGATTGGCGCTTTTAATGACGTCCGGCTGAATCTCTTCGCAAACCTTCTCGGTCCTCGTTCGTTTTGGACCGCTAAGAGTTTGATTTAACTTTTAGCTTAACTTTTGGACCGCTAAAAGTTTGATTTAACTTAACTAGCTTAGTTTTTATTCGATTAACTACGGTAAATTGCTTTTAGATTTAACATTTTCTAAGTATCGATTTCTCAGTATCGATTTCTAAACATAGATTACAATATGCATTAAAAATCTCTTATTTACAACAAACCGACCGTCAGCATTCATATTCAACATTCGACATTTCGCTAAACGACACGATGGACACCAATTTCTCCTCGTTCGATCAATCACACAATTGTTCAATCCAGCTAAAACGCAATAGAACTTTTGTTTTTGCGACATAAAACATGTTTTTAAACATAAAACCCACTTATACATTTGTACTCCATCTTTTTGCGCACACTAAACAAAATTTGAATCTTTTAAGAGCTTTGGATTGGATCTTTTAAGAGCTTTGGATTAGATCATTTAAGAGCTTTGGATTGGATCTTTTAAGGGGTTTGGATTAGATATTTTAAGAGCTTTGGATTGGATCTTTTAAGAGCTTTTAACTTTCCAAACCTTCTCTTAAAGAAACACGAACAACCATCACAAGTCCAGAGTCCATAATGTCTTCCATAGGATCGATCACCGCAAATCTCACATAAAGCTTCAGACGAGTTGGATCTTCCTGAAAGGCATACTAATAAAAATTAACAATTAACAATTACCCATTTGTACGAGTTAAAGTTAGAATTGCTGGCCAATCTTGTAAAATCCGAGCCAATTATGGGTTGGGCATGACGCTTGCCTTCTGCTTCTGTGATTGTAATCCGAGACGAGGCAGCTCATTGGCGGTTCATCAAAAATTCAACTCCCTATTGATACCTAAGGAATGTTTGTGAAAGTGAAGCAATGTCACCGATGAAAAGAAAGCTAAGCTAAAGTAAGGAACATTGGAAGGACAAATTAAGGAATAAAATGCGTACCTTATAGACTTAAGAATGACAAATACAATGAACAAAGCTTACGAAACATCGAGAAACGATTCTTCGTCCTCTATGATCGGAAATCGATCAAATCTGCAAAAATTAGCTGTGGACTCGCACGCAAACGCGAGGAATCTGGCATAGAAAATTCGCTTAAATTTCGGATTTATGGGGCCACCTGAAGGGGACTTTTCAACGGCTTCTTTAGTCTAGCGGATAGTGTGCTAGTCTACGGAAAATATGAGGTTTTTTGTGGCTTAGGTTCGAATCCTCTCATAGTCTCTCATAACCAATTTTCTTGCTTTTTTGGAAAATCCTTTTTTAACACATTTGCATTAAACATTTATGTTTTATGCATCATTTTGCAGCTTCTACAGTTTCTAAAAGACATATCATGCTCATAGAATCTTCTTTCACAGGAGTTTAGACATTTTCGCATCATTTTGACAACTCTGACCTCATTTTTGACAACTTTGCTCGTTTGACACTTTGCATCGTTTTGACAACTCTGACATCATTTTTGACAACTCTGACATCATTTTTGCCAACTTTGACATCGTTTTGACAACTCTGACATCGTTTTTGACAACTCTGACATCATTTTGACAACTCCGACATCATATTTACAACTCTGACATCATTTTTGACAACTCTGACATCATTTTGACAACTCTGACATCATTTTTGACAACTCTGACATCATTTTGGCAACTCTGACATCATTTTTTCATGACTTTGCGAATTCTAAAAATTCAAAACAGTGTTCTTTCTATTGCAAATTGCTTTGTTTGTGTAAAAAGCGAAAACTTTTGCGTTGAGACCCCATAAAAAAAGCTTTGTCTTTGCATTTAAAAAAGTCTGTTGAACTCGATTAGCTACTTTGAAAGCGACAAGTTTTATAAAAATCTTTTGAAGCAGTAAAATGATGCAGAAAACATCTAAATGTTTAATGTAAATGCATCAAAAAAGAGGGTTTTCCAAGAAAGTGAGGTCAAAAGTGAGTTAACTGAATATCTCTGTGTATATTGTGTCTATTCTATCATTGGGTGAATATCTATTGTATCATTTAAATGACTTTATTTCAACATCGAATGTCCAAAAGCTTTAGTTCAATATCAGAGTCCTTTCGTTGCTTCAATTCTGACCGATTATTTGATCGATTTCGATATCGATCAATTTCTTCAACATCTAATCATCATTTTGTTGTTATTGGGTTGATGAATTGAAAACTGCCGAATTGTAGATTATTGTAGAATTCAGAAATCAAACTTAGCAATAAAAAATATAGCTTAATCAGAGCCTAAGCCATTCTTATGATGCAGTACAAAGCTAACAAAGTTTATTTCGTACTTTTAAACCGCCACTGATCTGATTGAGAGTCGAGATCGCTTTTAAGACAGATTGCTCTTCATCATCGTGATCCCTAAACGTGAAAAATATTGGAATACTTTTAATAAATATGAATATGAATCAATCTATTGTTTACAGTTATATTGGGTTCGTGAATTGAAAACTGCGGGATTTTGAACCGCAGTTTGGACTTTGAACTAAAATTTATTCAACATAAAACCATCAATTCATTGCAAATAATTTCCATTATTATTGACGACTTCTGCCCATTTTACAGGCAATTTGTGGATTCCTCTTTCGTAGTAGGATTTTGGTTTGTGTGTGAGACAAGTGTGAGACTCAAAAATGGAGGACTGGAGATTAGAGATGTCCCAGTTTGAGCACTTTCTTCAAAAGAAACCCATTTTGGTGTCAATAGAAAAGTTGTAGAGAATCAAAAATTAGGCTTATAACCAAATTTCCAAAAAGATACACTTAGTAGTTTCGCTTAAAATGCAAGTTTTGTGAAAATTCGTAAATTTGGCATTTCTTGCAAACCAGTTTTTGAATCGTTCGGAAAATTTGGATATAAGCTTAATTTTTGATTCTCTACAACTTTTCCATTGACACCCAAATGGGTTTCTTTTGAAGAAAGTGCTCAAACTGTCACATATGACAATAGCCGGCAGTTTTCAATTCACCAACCCAATATGAATCATTTCAGCACTTCTTTTTACTTTCGACGGGTGTTTGATTGACTTGTTTTTGTCTTCTCACATTGATACCACCCCCACTAAAGAAACCGATTTACGTGGTTGTCACTTTTTTTTCTTCAGCCGAGGACCAATCTATCGATGTCCACCTCTTTCCACTCCCTCAAGGCAAAGAGATTCGAAATAAAATGGGCGGAGTTTAGTGTGTTGAAGAGTGATCAAAAATTCGACACAAAAAGATCGAAAAATTGAAAAGAGATTTGAAAAGAGATCTGTAAAGAGATCTGAAAAGATTCTCTAAAGAGGTCCCTGTTTTGCTCATCGAGACTTTGCTTGGGTTTACACTTGCCAATCAGACAATTGAAGAGATTTGCTTTGATTTGATACTAGATCTTTCTAGAGGCATTGATTTGCTTGTGATGTTTCCAGATTTAGATAAAGATTCTTCATTTGTCCGTTTCTTAACTTTCTTTTGAATAAATTGACTTTTGACTTGAATTGACTGACTCGATTCTTTTGGATGCGCTGATTTCTCTGACTTTTCTTTGACTTTTCTTTGACTGATTTCTTTGACTCACCAATTTTTACACTCCGCGCGCCAAATGGACCACCTCTCTATGCAGAAATTGAGCCTCAATAGACAACAAACAACCAAAATAGAAAGATACTTTCATTTTCATTTTAAACTATCTAGATTTTTCATAGCCATCTATTTAGATTGGCATTTTAAACTATCTAGATTATGGATTGGGCATGACGCTTGCTTTCTGCTTCTGTGATTGTAATCCGAGACGAGGCAGCTCATTGGCGGTTCATCAAAAATTCAACTCCCTATTGATACCTAAGGAATATTTGTGAAAGTGAAGCAATGTCACCGATGAAAAGAAAGCTAAGCTTAAGTAAGGCTTGGACTCAGTCCAAGCTCTATCTAGCTTGTACTGAATTCAAGCTCAACATAGATTCACTTTCATTTAAGTTCTATAAGAAACTATGCACTACGTCTTTTCGCTTTTTTCTTACTTGTCTTTTGATCTTTATTTCATGTTTCAATGAAAGAATTGCTGCTTTGATCTTTATTTTATATTTTAATAAAAGAATTGCTGCTGTTTTTGTTAATCTTTTTGTTAGTTTTTGTTAATCTATTCCATTTCCAGGTAATTTCATCCTCCAGTCATGGATTTCGAAACAGTAACGCGCTATGGAGGCGTCCAAAACGAGGATGATGGTGTAAGATAAAAGAAATATTTTGAATAGTATATGAATAGTAAAATGTACAATTATTTTAATATTTTACTCTAAAGAACACTTCAGGAAGCTCAGCGTAAAGCCGAAGAGCGCGAGGCAAAGAAAGCCGAAGTGCGCAAACGTCTCGAAGAATCGGGAAAAGCTGGAAAGAAGAAGAAACAAGGTTTCCTCACCCCAGAAAGAAAGAAGAAATTGAGAGTAAGTTATTTAAAGTTTAAAGAAGGTAATTTAAAGTTAAAGAAGGTAATTTAAAGCTAAAGAAAGTAATTTAAAGTTAAAGAAAGTTATTTAAAGTTTAAAGAAAGTAATTTAAAGCTAAGGTAAGCTTAAAAGCAAAGTTAGAATGAAAAAAAATGAATATCAACTTTTAGAAACTTCTTATGATGAAAGCCGCTGAAGATCTCAAAAATCAACAGCTCAAGAAAGAGCAAGAGAGGCAAAAGGTTGGTTTTGTCACTGTGAAAAGGAAATAAAGCACAATAGCTCTTGAAATAAAGTTTGTTTACTGGCCAATAAAGGTTATCGGACTCAAAAGATCAACTATCAACTATCAACTATCAACTATCAACTATCATTGTTTCAGTTCCTTGCTGAGCGCACCATTGCTCTTCCCAACCTCGACTCCACCGATGATCACGGTAAGTGGAACTGTTTTGATGTTAAATGAATAAGTCTCCAGCCAAAGCAATTTAATATTTATTTGCTAAGAAACAAGAATGCTAAGAATTTTAACCTTATTCACCTTCCAATTGTCAGGCCAACTCGAGAAAATCTACAACGATTTGTTCTCCCGTGTCTGCAAGCTCGAAGAGGAGAAGTACGATATTCAACAGGTGAGAAACTGCACAAAAAAAAGCGGTAACTTGCTTATCTCGTAAATTTCGACACCTCCAATCATTTTTTTTGTCTGATTGTTGATCTGAGAACTGGTAAGCAGCTGTCATTCGAGTGGTTGCCAATCAAACGTGATCAACCCTGAAACTGGGAGAAACAAACTGAGAGAAAAAAAAAGGAAGAGATTTTCTGAGACATTGCCTTCAATCCATTGCATTACTTGACTGTTTTCCTTTAATTTTTCCTTTAATAAGACAAATTTATCATATTTCTTCTACTCCAATAAGTTAATTTTGTAATTGCAGCAAGTGCAAACCTCTGAAGCTGAGATCAACGAGTTGACCATTCAAGTCAACGATCTTCGAGGCAAATTGTGAGTTGTTAGAGAATTCTTGTTTATATTATTTCCATTAATACAAGCTTTAATCAAAGTTCTCGTTTTAGCGTGAAGCCGACCCTTAAGAAGGTTTCCAAGTATGACAATCGATTCAAGAAATTGGCTGAGGCCAAGAAGGGAGGAGAGAAGGTCGATTTTTATGTAAATTAAGGCAATTTATCAGATTTAATAATAGTTAATATTAGATTTAATGATTTAATGAACAAAATTTAATGATAACTCCTTTCAGGCTGATTTCCGCAAAGATCTCAAGACGGTGAAGAGAGAGAATGTATTCACAGAGTTGGCCAACAAGGTGAGATTTCGTTAAGCAATATTCAATAGGGAAAATAGTCAATCAATTCGCAGCCATTTTAAGCTACTCAATGATTACAAGATAACTTTAGAAGAAGGAAAACAAGCCCGACTGGAAAGCACAAAAAGCTGCCCCAAAGAAGGAGGAGAAAAAGGAAGAAGAGGCCAAAGCTGAAGCTGAAGAAGAGGCGCCAGCTGATGAGCCGGTTGCTAATGAACCAGGTGATCTAGTCAAATCTAGTCAAATCTAGTCAAATCTATTCAAATCAAGTCTAGATCTAGATATCTAGTCAGATCCATGATAACTTGCCTCAAGGAGCAAAAAATTAACTTGTTTTCAAGAGGCAAACTACTCTGAAAAAGTCAGATTAATAGTGAAGCTAGATTTCAGAAGATTTGAATCTTTTAGATTGCATTTGAATCGTAATTATTTCAATAGACGGCCATTCCCTAGGCAAAAATGATCATTTTGTCAGATTTGTTAACTTCCATCCCAGGTTTTCATGAGTTTTCGAGTTTCTAGAGAATCGTTTTAAGAGATTCTAGCCAATTCTAGAGAATTCTAGAGAATCGTTTGAAGTGATAGATGCTTGAAAACCTTAATGGACATATAACCCATATGAAATTTCGCTGCAAACAGCTCTTGAAACTCTTGAACATTGGGAAAATCTCGGATTAGTGGATCCAAGAAGTAGTGGACCTAAGAAGCAGTGGATCCAAGAAGTAGTGGATCCAAGAAGTGGAAAATTTTCAATAGATGGCCATAGTTTTCTATTGGAATAATTACGATAGTCAGTAACTCAAGTTTTGAAAAACAAAACTGAATTCTTCTCAACAATCCTTGCTGGACTTATAAACTTGCTTATCATTAATGATATAATATAATAATAACATAATGATAATGATTATAATGCTTATAATGCTTATAATGCTTATAATGCTTCTAATGATTATAATTGATCAGAAACTTTTAGAAGAAGAAGAGGAAGAGGAATCTGAGGAGGAGGAAGAAGAGTAAACCATTTTTTCGTTCAAAAATCTTTCTTCTATCACTTTTTCTAGTCACTCTTTGTACATCTATTCACTCTCCGATTTTCTATTCCAAAAATGCATTTCCCGATTCTTGTTTGAAATAAAATTTTGAGATTTCACGATTTCGCTTATGTTTTTCATGTTTTGCGATTTTAAAGGAAAAGTTGGGGAGCTAGAGGAGCTAAGAAGGAGAAGCTAAGAGAAAAGGAGTGCGGGGGCTGTTCTCTTGTGCAGAGGAGTGGAGACTTTACACAGCTTTTTCTCCTTTTCTCCCCGATCTGCCCCCTGGATATCTCTGATTCTCGAATTCTCCAATAGATAGACAACATATGGTTTTATTTCTTTTCTTCCCGTCTTTCATTTTTCTCTTTTCTCATTTATTGGAGAGGACACAAACTTTTAAACAACCCAACTATCGATCAGCTGGAATTGGGTGGAGAGATCCTTTCAAATGAAGAACTAGTGCTAAAATCACCACTGAAATCTGGCAACTAGTGACTCGGAAAAGATAAAAAGTGTGATTTAGTGGCAGATGGTTTCATTGGAACACCTGGAAGGATGAAAAAAAGTGTACAGAGTAATCAAAAAGTTCCCGCACACTTGTAAATGATTAATTTTCTAAATGAAAGCTAAAACAAAATTTGTTGTTTTTTATAGGATTTTGAAGCTGAGATCTTGAAGCTGAGATTTTGATGAACATTTCTATAAGTAAATGGCTCCGATCAGAAATTTCTAGCCTTTTCAAGAAGCTTTGGACTGCATTCGAGGCACCAGGCAAACGCCAAACCGCTTTCGAATTTTTTCTAAGACTATTTTAAGTTTTTTATTTCGATAAGAGCTTTTATTCTTTTAAAATAACAATTTAACAAATCAAATTGTTACTTAAAACAAAATTGTAAAGTTAAAAAGTTTTTTAAAGGACTTTTCAATTGAAAACAGATTTGAGCGCCATGACTGTTTCCCTTCAGCGCACTACAATGCTTCTTTGGCTTAGGCTTAGCTAAAACAAAATCACCTAAGCCTGAGCCTAAGCCTAAGCCTAAGCCTAAGCCTAAGCCTAAGCCTGAGCTAGATGGCTTTGATCAAGATGGTTTTGGTGTAGAAGTGCTCCCGAGAATTTCAGCTTCAAAATACTATATATTGGGTTGATGGGTATGACTTGGCACGTTTTTTAAAATTAAATTCCAGAGATGTGAACAAACATGAGGGAAAGGAGTTTATGGAAAATAGGCCTAAATCTAATCTCGATCTAAATGAGGAGTAGCCTCTTGATATCTAAAAATACAAGTAATTTCCGAAAACAAAGCGAACTGTACTCTAGTTTTAATTTGCTGAAGAGCTCGTGGAACTCAGCAAAGGATGGATAGACATAGGTGGGCTCTGGAACGCCCTCTCGATGGACAACGAGTTGGTAGAGCTGGAAATTTTGAGTGTTTACATTGAGATCTACATCATAAGTCGTACTTAAATCTTAGCTATTATTGGGTTGATGGGTATGACTTGGCACGTTTTTTAAAATTAAATTCCAGAGATTTGAACAAACATGAGGGAAAGGAGTTTGTGGAAAATAGGCAAGTGAACATTTACTCTTGCGAAAACAATGAACTTTCAGTTTCAACATAATTGGCTCTCGGAATTTTACTTTACTTTATTCTAACTATTGAAAATCTATCACCTGCGACACGTTATGTTGTACGGGTTTCTACAAGAACACAAGGGCCTCTAGTGTTCAACTAGAGGCCCTTGTGTCCTCTAGTGACGCCTAAACCCGAGCCTAAGCCCGAGCCTAAACCCTCCAGCTACAATGCTTCTTTGGAGAGCTAGATGGTTCTGATCAGAATGGTTTAAGTGTAGAAATGATCCCCAGAATCTCAACTTTAAAATACTATATAGCAAGTCCAATTTTAATCTGGGTTTTAGCTGAAAAGTGGAGTTTTTTGCAAAGTGTGTACTTTTTGTACTCTTTGACCACCCTGTGCTTTTTCTTTAGCTTCATTGTCAGAGTAAATAAGTAATCAAAGATTTTAGAGTTTAAAGTTTAAGTCAAGCGACAGTTTTAAAAGTTTTAAACAAGTTTTAAACTTTAAGATAACGATACATCCCACCAGTTGGCCGTACTAATGATTTTTGGTGTCAACAATGGCTTTTTGGTCTCTTTGGTGTCAACAACGATTTTTTTGGTCTTTTTGGTCTTTTTGGTGTTTAGCTTTTAAGGAATTTTGTTATTTATTTCGCAGAAAGTCCTCTGTAACTTTGTACTAGTTTTTAAGAGGAGATTCAGGGCTATCAAATGATTGTAATAGTTTAGTTTCTCTTTGAATCCTCAGCAAAATATCAGTAAAACAGTTTACGAACAGTTACGCCAAAAATACCATCGTCGCGAATGTGTTAACTCAAAAACCCCAGGTAAAACATTCACTAATGAACTTGGTTTCATTCTAAATTCAAAGAATTACATTCTAAATTCAAAGAATTACATTTTAAACTCGAAGAATTTCATTCTAAAATCCTAAAATACGTAGACAGTCAATAAACAAACAGTTTTGCACAAAGAAATACCTATTTTACGTGTTTCCATCAAAACTACCTACTGTAAATGCCAATACTTTTCGTTTTTTGAAAGTGATGAAAAGGAAAAGTGAAAGTTTGAAAGAAGATACAGCACGACAGTGACATCCGATCCTCTTTGGGGTGGATCTTCTTCGAGAGAGAATGGGGATGAGTGATTGAGAGAAGGCCACCAACTCACAATCAGTTCTGCGAGTATTCTCTACTTTAAAATGTTGCTTTTGATTTTTGACTTGTTGTTTGATTATGCCATGCAAATCGTTGTCGCATTGGTTGATTTAGTTTAACAATTTATAATCAATAATTTTACCTTCAACATCTGTCAGAGCCATTTCACTTCAATAAAGTTATACATTTCAATAAAGTGGTAGATTTCAATACATTTCACTTCAACAAATGCAAAAACGTTATACCAATCGACTTACCTTTTGATTATTTATTCATCTATACCTATAAAGGGACTAAGACGTCTGTCTGTCTGTCTGTCTGTCCGTCTCTCTGTCTGTCAGTCAGTCAGTCTGTCTGTCTGTCTGTTTGTCTGTCTGTCTGTTTGTCTGTCTGTCTGTCTGTCTGTCAGCCACCAGTAGACCGTTTCAAATCTTCTCACCTCATCTCTTCACCTCTTTTCGCCTCCATTTTCCGCTTTGATCGATCACTGATCGGCGTTAGACTTCGAGCTATCGATACTTCTTTCTGAAACAAAATCTACTATATATAAAGGGATTAAGACGTCTGTTCGTCTGTCTGTCTCTCTGTGCGCACTCCTCCTCCGCGCCCAGTGGGCCGTTTCAAATAAATTATAGTTAGTTTGGCTTAGAATTTCATGTAGTTGTGCAAAATGTTCTTAGATTTTAAAAAACCAAAAGCACCCACGCGGGCGGTAGTCGAACCCGGATCGGGTGGGCTAGAGACAAGTACGCTCGTACTGCTCCATCTACTGGCCGACTAGTTAACGCGTACGTCTCTCAAACGAACGGAAGAGAGAGGTTGCGGGTTCGACTCCTCTCACCGCCAATTCTTTTGCTTTTTGCAGTGAAGCTTCTGGTTCAAGAATCAAACGAATTGTTTACAAAATTTCATAGCTCTTTCTTCATAGTATCAAAAATCTAGTTAGTGCCTTATTCTTTGACAATATCGAATCCAGAAAGTTTACCACTTCTTCTCAATCAGATTATTTCATGCAAAATTTGCTTTTAAACTTTCTAATCCACTACATATTCTGGGCTTTTTAAAATTTTGAAATACTCGCCTGAAATACTTGTCTTTAAATCATAGCACTTTTCTCTCTTTCAGGTAAAATGGATTTCGCAGATCTTCCTCGTTATGGAGGTCCTCAAACGGATGATGATGAGGTGAGAATAGTTAAACAAAGAATTAGCAAGCTAATTGCTAATATTTTCTCTTATTTACAACTCATAAAAGAAAACAAATCCAATTCTAGGAAGCTCGCAAGCGCGAGGAGCGCGAGGCAAAGAAAGCCGAAGTGCGCAAGCGTCTCGAAGAATCGGGAAAAGCTGGAAAGAAACAGAAGAAAGGTTTCCTCACTCCGGAAAGAAAGAAGAAATTGAGAGTAAGATTTGTTTTGAGATTTGTAAGATTTGTAAGAGTAAGCTGCTTTAATTTTACAGTAAAGTACAAACGATTTCTCAAAAGATCCATAAACAAGATCCATAAACAGAGCTCTTTTCCAGAAACTTCTTATGATGAAAGCCGCTGAAGATCTCAAGCAACAACAATTGATGAAAGAACAAGAAAGACAAAAGGTAGAAAATTGATCAAAAATAAGCCAGTTATGAAAAAAAATGAACAAAATTGATCAAATGATTAGAGATCAAATGGTTTTTACTTCAAAAGATTTGTTTTGAGATTTGTAAGATTTGTTAGAGTAAGCTGCTTTAATTTCACAGTACAGATTGAACTTTTTCTAGGCTCTTGCTGCTCGAATCCTTCCACTTCCCGATTTAGACAATATCAACGATTCTGGTATTGTTTTTTGTTATTGTTCACCTACCAGGCTTTCAATTTAATGCATTAATAGAATGCAATAGAATACATTAATAGAATTTAATACATTAATAGAATATTTAGCTAGGTTTTCTCTTCTTTTCAAGTTTCAATTTCTTTTCAAACTTTAATCTTTTTAGGTGCTCTCGAGAAAATCTACAACGATCTCTTTTCTCGACTTACACAATTGGAAGAGGGAAAATATGATATCAATCAGGTTTAGATCTTTATTATCTATTATCTATTTATCTAATCTATTATCTATTTATCTAATCTATTATTTATTTATCTAACCTATTATCGATTTATCTAATCTATTATCTATTTATCTACAGGGTGCGTCATAATTATTGCAACAAGAGTTCAAAGGCCGTTTTCCAACCAGCTTTCTTATTTTTTTTGCCCCTTTTTTGTTGTGTTGCGTTCTATCTTCTTTATTCTTGCCTAATTGCCTCCCGCTCACACGAAGAAGACGGTTCAGGACTGGTGTGTGCCCACTTTCCCTCAGTGATCACCAAGGATGAATGGCCTCCAAACTCACCGGATCTCAATGTGATGGACTTTTCCATTTGGGCAATCTTAGAGGCTCTTTGACCTCTTAGAGTCTGCTCTTTGACCTTGAAGAAGTCTTTGACCAAAGGATGGAAGGCGACTCCTCAAGATGACATTCGGGCCGCAGTGGAGGCATATCCGAACCGATTAAGGGATGTTATCAAGGCAAAAGGCGGTCATATCGAATGATCTCTTGTTTCCTTATTTGTTACTGTTAAATAAAGCTATTTCTGTTTAAAAATCTTCTTCCAGTGAAACTTCTTGGTGTGCAATGCCTTGAGTATCCTGTTGCAATAATTATGACGCACCCTGTAATCTATTATCTATTTATCTAATCTATTATCTATTTATTTAATCTATTATCTATTTATCTAAATCCAGAATATCTTGATTATCCAGATCCAAATTTACACTTTTAGTCAGTGAAAGTTAAAGACGCCGAAATCAACGAACTCACCATTGCCGTCAATGATCTTCGAGGGAAATTGTAAGCTTTAAAAATGATAATTTTCGAATCTCGAACGACTAAACTTATCATAAACTAATTTAGCGTCAAACCAATGTTGAAGAAAGTCTCCAAATACGACAACAAGTTCAAATCTAAATCCGGACAAGCTGAGGGTGGAGGAAAGGTGAGCTGAGTTTTTCCCAGCCGCCTTTGTCTCTCTTTACAGGCATTTTATCGTCCGTGTTTTATCGGCAGCTAAGACTTCTTTAGGAAATATTGTAGAATATATTGTAGTTGTGCAATTTAAAATAAAAAAGCAAAAAGTGAAAGCTAAATGGCACTACGGGCGAGGGTGGAGGTCGAACCCGGGTATTGTAGGCCGTAGACAAGCGTGTTCCTGGCTACATCTAGAAAAAGACCATTTTGATATGTTTTCAATCTTTGTCTTTGATGGCTTAACTTCTATTTCAGGCTGATTTCCGTTCAAATCTCAAAGTCGTCAAAAAAGAGACGAATGTCGAGGAGATGCTCAAGGTTTGCTCAAACTCAAGTAAAAATAGGAACAAAGTAATTTTCAGAAAAAGGAGAACAAAGTGGCTGTAGACTGGTCAAAAGAACAAGCCGAGAAACCGCCAAAGCCTGCCGAAAAACCAAAGGAAGAGGTTAAAGAAGAGGTAGAAAATCTAAGATGATGAATTGATGTCCTGTCTTTAACCCAAATTCATTTTCAAATTGAATAAGTTTCAAGCTACCAAATGAAATACGGTTTTTTCATTAGATTTCCCAGTCATTTCTCTTGCAAATGGCTTTTGAAAGTTTCTGAAAAGCTTTGTTTTGAAGGTTTTTCATTAGCAAGAAGCCGGGTGTTCAAAAATTGGTTCAATGATGACAATGACAAGGTCAAATGCCATTTGGACCTTTTCTTCCAATGAAACCTATTTTGATGAACAAATAAAAAAGATTGCGCATAAAAAGTTAGGCTTAGAGCGAAAATTTCAGAATAATTCGTTTAGCGGTTTTATTTATGTGCTTATTTTACTTTATTTTTTAAAATACCGGTTTTCATTCTCACAAATTATACTAAAATGCTTAAAATTGTTTAAAAATGACAAAAAGTAAACGATAAACATTTATAATAAAAGAAATCGTTTGTTATTTGGTAGTTTAAGACTCGTTCATTTAGATAATGAAATGAAGAGTGCAAAATTTAGTACTCAACCTATTTCCCTTGATTTCCCAGAGCTTGATTTTCCAGAGCTTGATTTCCCAGAGCTTGATTTCCCAGAACTTGATTTCCTAGAGCTTGATTTCCCAGAGCTTGATTTCCCAGAGCTTGATTTCCCAATTGTATCTTTATTAACACCGAGTTGACATCTTTATAACACTTACGATCAGCCTATTGAAAATCCATTGAAGATTAGTCTAATCCTGAATTAAAAATAAGATCAAGAATTGACGATTTAGCCCGAAGAGGCACCAGCAGAGGAACCACCAGCAGAAGAGCCAGCACCAGCTGAGGAAGAAGCTGAAGAGGGTGAAGAGGAAGGAGAGGAAGAGGGTTGGTACTTGGGCTATTCTAAAAGCAATTTAATCTGGATTGGGTCAGTTGGTTTTACGAAATCTTTGAGTCAAAATCCACCAGAATTCAGGTCTAAACCTGAACCAGGGTCCAGACTTTACTAGTTCTATCAAAATTTACTAGTTTTACCTCAAAATTCGCAATCTTTGAGGAAACATCGAATCTTTGGGATATTTCAAATTTAAAACCTTTGCTAGCTATTTGTTTTTTTTAGATACAGCTGTTTTAGATACAGCTGTTAGAAACAGCTTTTTAGAAACTACATACAATTCTGTGTTTGGCACATATTAGGTTGATGCATAAGTCTTTTCGTTACTTTTCGTCTGCCGTTTCAAGCCAACAAATGCACCAATTAAACTACGGTTGATTTCATTAGAAAAACCAATTATTTTTCTGCAAAATAACATTAAAACGGGTTTAAAAATATTTTATGCCTGGATTTTCTTGAGAGTATGAAGTCGGGTATTCAAAAAGGGCTAACTCGATGATGCGGTTTAGACACCTTAGCTAAAGAAAACCTATCTTCGTGTCAATAGATAAAAGATAGAGAAAAAAAAGTTTGATATTTCGCCAAAATTTCAGAGAAATTCATTCAGCCAATTTTTCCGTAGAGTTTTTTATAGATTTTTACGAAAAAGGCGTTTTTCACTCTCGAATTTGCTTGAAAGTGAACCGAAATTGATTTAAAAAGATGCAAATTGAACAAAAAAACACTTTTTTTATAGAGCAAACTATAGATTAATTGGTGAATTTGTTACTTTTTAACAGAAGTACGAAGAAAACGAAAAGACTTATGCATCAACCTAATATAAAATTATTTTTGATAAGATGATAACCAAAATAATGCTAAACACCCAACTTTGACCCAACTTTGACCAAACTTTTCTAAAAGATCAATTATCCAGATCAAATTCTTCTTGCTCCATTTACTAACTTTCAGGTGAAGAAGAAGAAGAAGAGTAGACGATTTCAGCAGATTTCCCACTCTTCAGCACCATTTTATTTCTTTTACCTCCACTTTTCTCATCGAGCTTCATCCCGTTAAAAGATTTGGTTGCAAAATTAAAACTTGAACTTTTGTCATTAGCAGTTCTGTTTCATTTCATTAATTTTGATTCAAATAAATGCAATATTTCGGATGAAATCACGTTTTTTATTGCGAATGTATAGAGCAAAACATAGAGCAAAACAATGAGACAAAATTACGTTTATTGTATCGCAAAGCAAAGAGACAATGAGAGGGGTAAATTTCACCGATGAGCACGTAATTTCGATGGGAAGGGCGAATGAATGGAGCCCATTTTAGAGTAAAAAAAAAGAGAGAAAATGGCAAAAAGGATGGGATGGAAAGAAGAAAAGCGCACGCTCCAACGAAATCATCATGAGGCCATAAACGACAATCTAATGTATTAGGTTGACAACATTGAAATTTCGTTTTTGTGCAGCAACAAAATTTATTCGTAAAAAATAAACTAGAAACAACTAATCAACAATATATTCCCCACAGCTATCATTAACATTTTTTCCATCTTTTTCGTTTCACTTTTCGAAAAAAACTACCTAAAATTATTGAGTTCAGAAATGGATCGTTTTTTTTCTTCATTTGATGACTAAACAGTAATTGTAATTGTTGGGGATGAAAGTGAAATGTTAAGAAGCGATTTGTTATTGAGATAACAGGATATGATTAACAGGATTTTTGTTGGCAAATCTTTTTGAAGAATAGTTGACTTTTGACTTCAGGCTTTTAAGTGATACCAAATAGATGTTGATTGGACTAACCAAACCCGAGAGAATCAAGAAACAAAACTCTCAAGTCAGATCGCATTATTCTTGGAATTTAGCTGCTGTTTAGGTAATGAATTAGTTTAATGCTCTATTAATTAGTTTGAATAGAATTCGTATCAAAATTACGGCCAAAATTCCTCCCAAAAATTTGAGTGACGCCCAAAACGTTGAAGTCTCTTACCTAGTTCAGCTCTTAGCCATCCCCTGCTTTCATGGGATGCCCACTGCTCACCATGGTGGCTGAACGTCAAGCAGAGCTCTGGCCCTAATGTTCGGCCAGTGAAGGGGGGGGGGCTGTGGGAGACCTGGCCCACAGCCTGGGCCTAATGACCTGGGCCTAATGATCAGCCCAGGAGGAGGGAGTACGGGGATCCCAAAGAACACCCAACACATCGCCAGTTGGCCATTTAATGGGTCCTGTTCCGTGTGGTTTTGCGCCGAACGGGCGTCGACAACGTAAAGCACACAAAGAGCACTTCGCGTCTCTTTACAAAGGAACGTCTCTTTACGTCTTCTTTTGTTGTGCAAACATTGCTCAGATGAGATATAAGGCCAAAAGTTTGTACTCAGGGGTTTTCGGAGTAGGGGAAGTGATTGACGGGGCTCCTTTGTTGTATCTCCAAGCCAAATCTGTAATTTGTGCTGATCTTGAGCTATTTTCAATTTAATATTTACTTTTCAATGACTTACAGTGTTTATCACAAAATTAATCCTACTTATTGCTAGAACACTTGATCGGAGTCTTGGGACAGCTTCTCAAGCAAGAATTGTTCAAAAATCTTGTCTACAAACCGAGAAACACTCATCATTTTTGAAGTGGCAATGACGTTGTGCAAAAAAAGAGGCTTTTGTTTTCCGTTTGTACCCAAAAAAGGCGTCTAAAGGATAGAATGGCGACAGAATCGGTAAACGGAATCGGAGTGAGGGTGGGCCGATTTATCTTTTTCTCTAAAAAGGACAAAACGGCTCGAATTTCATCACATCATCACTTTCCCCCAAAAAGGTTTTTTTCTCTCGTAATTCCCTCACCGAACACCTGCATTTGCATCAAATATCTTGGCAACCAGCGCTTTCAACGTAGAGTGAGACAGCTTGAAAGAATTTATCTGAATTTTGGAGTTTTCTTCGAACCACACCCACATCTTATAGCATATTCAATGACTTGTATCAACTAATCACTCTTGAGATCTCTTGAGATTAGACTCGTGTTGATTACTCGAATCTTCTTGAGTAATCAACATTATCAATAGCCAATATTTTCTCTGATCTTGAGAATCTTCTTGAAACTTCTTGAAATTCTTTTAAAATTTCTCTATTCCAGTTAAAATGTTAGTTAAAACTTGATTTTTGAACAATTCTTGCTTGGAGCCAATATTTTCTCTGATCTTTCTTTTGTCAAGTGAAAGAATTGATTACTTTTGTCAAGTATAGGGTTGTCCATGATTACGAGGGCTAGGGTATCTTTGACATTGCATATTTTTGCCTACAATTTATATATTGGTCTTTCTTTTAGTTTATTTTATTTATTTAACTATTTACTTACTATTTTTTCGCAAAAAATGTCTCTTTTCTTTGTCTCTTTTTAGAATGGGACAAAGAAAAGAGACAAAAGAAGAAAAGAAAAGAAGTCGAAGTCAGTGTACCGAAATGCGATCATTGACCTACAAAAGATTGGCATTCTGGTGATGAATATCTTTAATTAATTGATAATACGCAAACAACTTGTTTACAACGCGATCAAACGCTTTCAAGAGTTAGGAAGAAATTCTGATCGTCGGTGGTGGTAAATTCGTGGTGTTGTTGCCAAGGCTAATATCAAGAAGGGTCGAGATCAGTTACGCTTGAAAGGCTCATTCGCAGGCCATTCCAAATCCAGATTGCATTGACATTGATTGTTTAGATTGCATTTGTATTAGGGTGGTGCAAAAGAAACTGCCGATGGGTATCAGCTCTCATTTATCAGAAACGAGCGATGCTAACGGCATTATTTTTTTATGTTCGCATATTTTTTTGCTATTTATTTCGACATTTGAATTTTTTAGTTGTTGTTTATTTTATTTTAAAATGCTTATATTTTTTATTTAGATCATGGTCGAGCAAAAGTTTGTGCTACGAGCAGCATCACTGTTTAACTTCAAAATTGGAAAGTCTGCTGCCGAATCGCATCGTTGTCTCGCAAGGAACCAAAAGAGAAAAGAGGACCAAATTTGTAGAGAAAAGGAACCAAATTTGTGGAGAAAAGGAACCAAGTCTGCTGCCGAATCGCATCGTTCTCTCTGTGCTGCTTTCGGAGATGGCAGTTTGTCTCTCAGGCAATGTCAGATTTGGTTTCAACGATTCCGAGAGGGAGACGAGGCTTGGGAAGATTACGAGCACGGTTCGAGGCCAGAAGTCGTGAACGAAGCCAAGCTGAGGGACGTTATTCAGGCCGATCCATGCCAATCTGCTTGAGATTGGCTCGAGCTCTTGCGAAAATATTCCATTGTGATCATGTCACCATCGAACGCCATCTTTTTTGAATTTACCGTCAAATCGGCCGTTTCTTTTACATCACCCTAATAATTTCTAAAGTTTTGATTCCTTTTCTCAAATGAAAAGAACAAAATCATTAGCCGACCACTGTACAAATGAAGTCTTATTCGTCAATTTTGTTCGTTGTTCAACTTCAGCATTAAATGTTTTTTGAAGGAAGTGCCATTGATGGGATAATGCAATTGTGAGGGAAGCAGTTCTTCCCCTTTCCCAGTCTTTTCCTTTCTACATCCATTTCATCCATTCCTCACACATTACGTCTATCCGATAGAACCATTGAGACGAATTTCTCTAAAAGAAACCACACTTTAATCATTTCCGCTTCAAATTTCCCTCTTGTAGCAAATTTCCGCCGATTGTTTTTACCAAAATTGATTAACCAGAGCTACTTTAACACATAAACAAAGCCAGTTTTGTCTTGGCCATTTCCAATGACAGCTATCTATGTTCAATCGAATGAAATATCCAAAAATAGAGCAGTTTTCTCTAAAAACTAAGGATGGATTCGAATTTCTTAACCTTGAAAACCCTTTGGTGCAAATTTTCAGCCCAATCAGCCTCAAAAAATTGCTAAATTAGCCAAATGGTGGGCCATATCGGTCATATAATATTTTTGTACTGAATGACGTGAAAAATTGCCGTTAGACAGAATTTTCTTGGCAAATAACTATGTCAAGTTAATTTCTAATAGTTCTATGTATTATGGAGAGTATGAAATGGCATCGACTTTCAAAGAAACATCGAGTAGTCTTTATCAAATGACACGGCTCTATCAAATGAATACTTCATTAGAAAGATCACCTATTTCCTACAAAATTAGATTTGGACTCAAAAAGAACTCAAAAAGCGGCTACTTATGTATACTGTATGGCAACTTATGTATGCTGTATGGCTACTTATGTATGCTGTAAGGCTACTTATGTATACTGTAAGGCAACTTATGTATGCTGTATGGCTACTTATGTATGCTGTATGGCTACTTATGTATGCTGTATGGCTACTTATGTATGCTGTATGGCAACTTATGTCTGTACTTACGGCTTATGCTCTATCTTCTTTGTTTTGACATAAAGTTAAGTCTAAGAAACGAGTCAGATGACGAGATGAGAAAAAGGACAAATGACGTCATTTCGTTTAAGTTCCGTTCCGTTTAAGGAGCCCATAAAATCAACAAAACAAAAGCTTATCGCAATCTCTTAAAACCCATTTTGTAGAGCAATGATAGAGCTTTTATATGATGATATGGAGCTTCCAGAAAGATCTTTGAAAACCATCGCCATTTCATACTGCCCAACCCAACCCAACCCAATTTTATTCAACTCTCAAAAGCCTTAAAGATACTCTCGGCTGGCTTAGCGAACCTTAGGAGCTTAAAAAGAGAAAACAAGACAACTTTATCATATTTCTTTTATTCCATTCCTTAAACATTGTTTAAAAGTTGGATCTCTTTACTTCAGTTCTCATTTTTCACTTTTTGTTTTACTATTAAGTTTTAAAGCCATTTTAAAGCCAGTCAAATGTTCACATAGCTTCTCATTTAGATTTCTAACGTTTCTACGTTTCTACGTTTCTACGTTTCTAGATTTCTTACGTTTCTACGTTTCTACGCTTCTAACGATTTCTAACGACTCCTACTGACA